AAACGTCAAACTCTCCTCTCAACCTGTTGTTTTTACCTGTATTGTCTGCCGGTTGTAAACTTTAACAACATGAAAGCTGAAACTGTAGACTCCTTTCCTTGGGGCCACGAAGATACTCCTTGCAGGATCAAAATGGCTGCCAACGTTTACTAGAATCTAGATATAAAACAAGACAACAAGAGAGTGTCAATGACACAGCTGATATTCCATTGTCAGGTCAGTAAGATTTCAACCTGCTTTTCACTGTTTTGCATATAACCAATAGAAGACGAACAATTAATGATACAGGACACAAACCAGCCACATGACAACCTGTCACATCAAAATGATGGACTCTGAATATTTGTTAGCTTAGGCTTCAGGAAGTTTCATCACTATTAATTATCCATAATTAAGGCTATTGTGCTAAACTGTCAGACCCAAGCACTGAACCCATTAATAACCTTGTCACGTGGCGCCCTATCGTTGCGAGCTTTAATTAAACTCCAGTGACTCACATGTTGACTCAGATTTTTGATATTGCCTGCCGTACTTGACTAACCTACTTTTTGTTTTTGTGGCACAAATTCCGTATAAATGGGAAATTCCAACTTGGTCTATGAGCGGAAATGACTCCATGTACGTGATGGCTTAGATATTGCCGTTTAATAGCATGTCCGCCACCAATTTAGAAGAAAACAACTCGGTAATTATCAGATGGATTACCTCTGAAATTGGTGCACCCATTTATGTCGTCATTAAGAGGAAGTGGTACAAGTGTGAGATCATCTGGTGTTTCACCGGCGCCACCATCAGGTGTATGTTTTCAGTTTTGCCAATACTTTTGTTAACGGCTAAATACCAGCAAATCTAATGACATATCAACCAACACATAAAGACAAAGAGGAGTTTCATTGGTTTTATAAGTGAACTAGGCTGACCTGGTCAAAGTAGATGGTCATGGTGCGGTTGCTCATCTCCGAGGGTTCATGGTTGGTGTTACGAATGGCCGAAAACGCCACCCTCCCCGTCCCCGATCTCACCGACATCCCCAGAGCACTCCCCGATGGCTCAGCTGCGGGGGTGGAATCGCAGACCACCAGACACTTCCCCTCCAGCACGATTGGCTCTGTATCATTCTGGCAACTGATCTCTGAGGGTTTCCAGAAGACCAGAAGCAGCAGTCCGATTGAGAAAACTGATCGGGGAGTAAGGCGGGGCGAACAGGAAGGAGATGGACAGAGCATAGCTCCAAATCGGGACAAACTTTGTGTGTCAAAGGGCTTGGTGATGGTTTCACTCCTACAAATCCTCACAGAGAACTCTTGACAAGCTTCACTCTTGCAATATCATCGTAATTTCACCTTCTAGGAACTCTTCAAGGTTTCTTTTCGTTTTACTTCCTTGAGCATTTAAGACTCATCAAAATTAATCCCAGCGTAGGGTGGAGATTGGGTCTTTCCGGATAGGATTATAAGATGGCACCAATTTAGCAGCTTCCCACAACAGCAGGCAGAAAGTCCTTATTTGGACTGTCGAGGTTACCCGGATCTTCACCTGAAAGCAACAGTGGCAATCTGCCAGCAGGACGGAGACACGCAAACCAAAAACTGGTTCAGGGGCAATCAAGGCTTCAGACCTGTGAAAAGAATAGAGACGTAACAGACGAGTGAAATGTTAATAAAAACAGATTTTTAGGGTTTGCACATCATTTTAAAGAGAATGTCAAATTCTGATCCATCAGACGTCTAGATTCCCACTGAGCAATAGACGGCTATTAGACTTCTAGTTTTTTTTTAGACCTAATTTCAACCGTCTAGATTCTGTTTACTTTTAGACAGAATTTAGACGATGCAAAAATTGCTCAGTGGGCTGTTAGACCTCTGTTAGCTGGCTAGGCTAAACTCGGTCTAAATTTAGACGTCTAAAAAAACTGTCATTTTTAGACCTGTGGTGGTCTGATTTTAGACCAGTCGTCTAGACTACATTTAGACGTCCATTAGACCTCTTCTAGACCAAAATTGCTCAGTGGGTTTCCACGTTAGAACATCTTTGTCAGGATCAGGAACCACCATAGCTCTTTGTGGTTTCCTCTGCTGGATGCAGTAACAAACCACAGTGTTTCTCCTGCGTTCATTCAGCAGCGGCGCACCGCCACTACCAATGCGCCACTGAGGATTTCTACTTGCACTGTGTGAGTACAAGATCACACAACGATATTTTCAACTTGTTTTGAGTCTTTAACGAGTGCATCAAATCTTGTCGGACCCTCTTCCATCAACGTAAAAGGTAAAGCTGATACACGGTCTATGGGGGGCAACCGCCATTCCAACATCCGGCCATTCCGTCTCTAATTGTTGGAGTGCCGGTATGTTACCATGCTATCAAACGCCCCGTCATTCCGACAGCTCTTGTCTGCTATGGTCGGCCCTCTGCGCAGGTTTGGTGCGGGGCGGACCCAACTACGCCCAGGATTAAATGACGGACTCCAGATTTGAATGTGCCCCCCCCCCCCTTATATGGAAAGCTGCGTCGGAATGGTGAGACGTCGGAGTGGCGGGATGTCGGAATGCTGTGTGAGTACAAGAACACATGACATTATTTTTGACTTGTTTTGAGTCATCAACGAGTGCATCAAATCTTGTCGGACCCTCTTCCATCAGCGTGAAGGGTAAAGCTAATACGCGGTCAATATAGCAAGTAGCATTTATAGCATTAGTAGCAGTAATATTAATGTGCCACTAATGATTTCTACTCGCTCTGTGTTAGCACAAGAACATACAACGTTATTTTCGACTTGTTTTGAGTCTTTAACGAGCGCATCAAATCCTGTTGGACCCTCTTCCATTAACGTGAAGGGTAACGTTCAAGCTTATTCACGGTCTGTATATCAAGTCGTTCCATGAAGGCGTATCCACTAAAGGTTCTGGGCCTTGAATGAAAGGATAATGACACCGAAACAAACACTCGGAATCAAAGTTCAGACAAAGCGATGGTTATAAATCCTTAAGATGCACTCTTTATCTGACAGCGAGCTCTACTTTAGGTTTAATTATAGGGTGGACTGGCGCACAAAAGGGAGCCCCACCTGAAGCCCAATAAAAAGAAGAACCTTGTAGCTCCGGTTTGATTCACCGTGCGAACGTGCTGAATGTTGTTGTTGTTGTTTTTGTTCCTGAGTCATCCGGTTTCTTATTTGGTTGACCTATAATCAGTTTGTGAGGCAATTCAGACATCTTAAAAGCCCCTAAAACCTCAGATACGAATAATTAACTTTTTGATATTTCATTTAGATCTCCATTAGCTTTGGCTAAGGCCATTGTTATGATTCCTGGAGTCTTCATTTACAATTAGTTCTCCATTGCAGTGCAAAGACACAAAAAAGACAACGTCAATATCCACCAAAACTTGCAACAGCCTACAAGACAAAAACAAAACAAAACAACAAAACTAGAACAATACAAACAACATACACATATGACACAACAGTAAACTTAAGACCTACCTTTTTAGTCGGGCTTTTAGTTTAATTTTGTTTTAATCTTTTAATCTGCATTATGTGATTTTACGCTGTTTTAGTCCTAGAGTTACTATTTTGTGTTTTATTACCAGTTTTTTTACATTTATTTTCTTTTACTGTTTGATTTTAAAGGTCCTTTTACACCGATTATTTCAGACGTCAATACAAGCGTTCACATCAGCGATGTTTTCCCAACAACTTGTGGAGAGTCATAGCTTCAGATTTCTCATATGACGATGGTTTGTCTGCTTTAACAGTTTGCTAAACGTCTTTGTTTTAACTTTCATCTGTGCTAAGTAACTTTAGCTCGTAAGCTAACCTGTTCAGATACAACCTACCATATGTATTTTCCAGAGGTGGGGGAAAGTCCCTATGTTGCAAATCCAAGTCGAGTCTCAAGTCTTTGCTCTCAAGACCGAGGCAAGTCCAAGTCCTTTGCTCTCAAGTCCCAGGTCAAGTCCAAGTCCTGAACTTTTTCTTTCGAGTCTCAACTAAGTCCTAGGAATTTTGCTTCGAGTCCCAACCAAGTCCTTACCGTTTCTTTCAAGTCGAAAACAAGTCATATCAAAGCCATAAACCATTTGTGACTTGGCTTGACTTTTCAAGTCAAGTCAAGTCTCAAGTCTTTAGCAATCAAGTCCCAAGCGAGTCCAAGTCATTTCTTGATTTCGTCAAGCAAGTCAAAAACGGGACTCAAGTCCAAGTCCTAGGAATTTTGTTTCGAGTCCCAACCAAGTCCTTATTGTTTCTTTCAAGTCAAAAACAAGTCATATCAAAGCCATAAACCATTTGTGACTTGACTTGACTTTTCAAGTCACTGGGCTCAAGTCAAGTCAAGTCTCAAGTCTTCAGCAATCAAGTCCCAAGCGAGTCCAAGTCATATCTTGATTTCGTCAAGCAAATCAAAAACAGGACTCAAGTCCAAGTCGAGTCTCGAGTCGAGTCCAAGGTGTTCTTGGATAGTATGTCCTGGCAGATCATTCCATATCACTTTGGCCCTATACATTACCGTACTTTTCATCTTGTTTGTTTTTACTTTAGGTAAAGTGAATTTACCCTCCGTGGCATGTCTTGTTTTGTAACAGTGTTCATGTAAGAAAATATTTGAAGCTTTGACAGATTCAGCCTCTTAGTCAGAGAGATCTGATCTTAAAATACCAAGCTGCAACTGATTCTCCTATTCGTTGAAGTTTTGCACAAACTCCAACAACACCAAAATAGTTGGTTTGACATTGTGAATCAATGCGACTTCCTGCACAGACCTGCATAAATAGATGGCCTAAATGTTTTCCCGCCAAAAGCCTTATTTGGCTGCTCCGACAAAGACCAGGAAGGCAGAACAGAACAGGGAGCAATTAAAAAAAGAGCAGAACGAGGGAGGAAATGGCTTGGAATATTAAAAAAAAAAAAAGGATAATGATTATCTGGCAGGAGAAAATAAGTTTTAGAGAAATTGATGAGGTAATGTTTTGGCCAGGAAGAGTCCCATATGAGTAATGCCAGCTGGGCTCAGAAGGAGGAGGGGGCAGTAGACTATCACAATCCCTCCATGGAGAGGCCATCTGTGGGTAAACACTCCCACGCTTTCTCTCCCTGCACCTTTCCAATTGAAGCCTGTTCACTGCAGTCGCATTCCTTCACACTCGCACTATAAATAAACACACTATAAATACAGATATGAGGATACTAGCCCCAATAATATGAGAGTGAACAGTTGCAGAAGACAAATTAACATTTTTCTGTTGGGTTTTCATGCAGTGGAGTTAAATTTTTCAAAGGTAAAACTAGTAAAATAATTCAAGTTATCATGGAAATCTCATATCTTGCTGCAGCGTTGGTTAAATCCCAAAAATGACAATGCAAGAGACAAAAAAAGACAAGCGCTTTTACATCATTTTACCAAAATCTTTATGCAATGTCAAAGTGAAAGTAAAAAAAGAACTTACCTCAGACTTTAGGTGTTGTTGCTTTTTGTAGGAAAATATGAGATTTCTTTCACAAAGTTGGACCATCCCAAGAGTCCGTCTTCTCTGCTACCTTCTGGTTCAGCTCTGTTCCTCCCTCTCTCTTCTCCCCATCTCTCTCTGTTTCTCGATTACTACCTCTCTGTTCCAGATCCCTGCGTTCTAGCAGACGTTTAATCATATCACCAGCATCACAGCCCCGTCTGTTCTCGCAGATCCTCGACCCCCTACTGTACCTGTTTCTCCTCCCTCTTCCTCCTCAGCTCTTCCTCTACCTCACATCACACGAAAGATGAGATTCATGTAACGCTCCAACACAAAACACAACATATATAATTATATAGTCTTGTTAAATTCAGCGCAATTCTTATTTTAAGCTGTCAACCTACTCCAATTTGAAACAGATCTTTCTTAAACAGGGTTGATCACGCAACTTGGACTCAAGTCAGTCATAAGTCATGAATCGGACGCATTTAGATTTGACATGAAAAATGTAAAATTTGTGAGGGTTGAAGGAACATTTCACAACTCTGGTCAGAAAACAGATAAATAAAAAGACTGGTGTCAAACAAAATATCAACTTTGGACTTAAAACTTGACCTAGGATCCAAAGCAAAGACTTTGAAACAACTTGAACAAAGAAAGAATTGCTCAATCTCTGGTGATTTAAACAATAAAATTAGAAAGAAGATTGGGCCCAGTATAGAGTGAAGTGAAGCAGAGATAAGACTTGAAATTTATTTGTATTTAAACAAACAAACAAAAAAAGTTTTATCCCTGGATACGTATAGGGTAGATAAAGAAAAACAAAGGACCCAGTGTCACGCCTTGGTGCACACCAAATGTGAAATCTGGAGGTAAAACTCTCCAGAAGTGAAATCATTTTCCTAAAACACGAAACAACATGAGTCTGAAGTTTAGACTCTCCAGAGCATAGACAAGATTTACAGAGAAAACTGATTTACCCCTGAAAATGAATACGGTGAATTGAGAAAAAGTTTGGGCCCGGTATTGAACCCTGGTGTACGCCAAATGTCAAGTGTGAAGGAAAAGGTAAAACAACGGAGTGTACAGTCCCAAATCCAGAGATAAGACTTGAGATTTACTTACATTTAATGAAAAAAACCAAAAAGTTTTATACCTGGATACGTATACAGTAAAAAGAGAAAAACAAAGGACCCAGTATTGCGCCTTGGTGCACACCAAATCTGACAGAGAAGGTAAAACTCTCCAGAAGTGAAATCGTTTTTCTAAAAACACGAAACAACACGAGTCTGAAGTTTAAACTCTCCAGAACAAAAACAAGATTTATTTGTATTTAAACACAGTGGAAACTGATTTATCCCTGAAAATATATATACGGTAAATTGAGAAAAAAGTTTGGGCCCAGTGTTGAACCCTGGTGTACACCAAGTGGCAAATCTTGAGGAAGAACAATTCACCAAAATTAAAAAACAAAAGTGTACAGTCCTAAATCCAGATAATTCAGTGAAAAGACTTATCTGACAGAAGAGGAAAACAACAAGTCTGAAGTCCAGACTATCCTGAGCAGAGACTGAAGACTCGTTTAAATTCAATAATTTTCTTGTTTCAAATTGTTTCAATCTTAGAAAAGTATTGAGAGTATAGAGAAAAATACAGGACCCAGAGTTGATCCCTGGTGAACACCAAATGTCAAATTTCCGAACGGTAAAACTTTAAAAAACTGACACCAAACTATCTGTACGGTCCCAAGTGCCGCCCTTCAGACTGATTTAAATATCAATGAAATAATGACCACATTAATAATTAAAAATGTTAAAAATGTAGTTTAAAGGTTGTTAGATGGCAGGAAATGAAACAGACTTTGTTTTACAAGTTCCTCAAGTATCTTTGTCGATAGAATTCCCCAGTGGGGTTATAAATAACCGCAGCCTGAATCAGGGGCTTTCCGTTTTGTGGTGATGTCGGCTCAAAATAAAATCCTCCTCATAACTATTGAATGGACTGCCTCCAAATTTGGCGCATCCATTTATATCCTTACAAGGATGAGTTGGCATCAATTTGAGATCATCTGGCTTTTTCTCAGCGCCAACATTAGGAATTTTATCTTCTGATGATATAAAGCTGGTAATAATAAAAACGCTGATTCATAAGAGTTTGAAACACTAAAAGTCCCCTTGATTGTCCGGTGTGGACAGTACGACAATAATAGATCATTGTTACAGAGCATTTTTAAAAAGTTGCTTCGTCATGGAAAGAAAAACAGACAGACGTTGAAAAGAAGTATTCAAACCTCACAATACTCTTTTGTTTGAGTTACTGGCAGCGTGGAAGAAGCAGATTAACCTTCAGAGGCGTGTTTCTTGTCTAATGAGTTACCAAAAACCACAAAGGTGTGGTGCATTTTGGGAATGCTGTGGGTCAGTGAGTTACACCAACATCAAATTCTTACCATGAAGAAAGAAATCAGATGTTTCTTCTTTGGGAAATGTTTGATTTTTTCATCCTACACTAAAAAAAAAGGGTTTTGTTTTTGCAAATGTGTGCATCTATTCAGTGCAGGAGCTTTAAGGTTGAGTTTAGATCCCATGGTTAAGGGTGGAGAAGACTTCGCCGACAACAACAACACAATCCTGGGCGTGAGACTCTAAACTCTGAGCAGGTGTGATGTGAACGGACGTGATGTGCCGGTGATACAAAATGGATATGAACCTTTTGTGTGCGACAACAAGAGTAAAGCTATTAGAAAATAATCAAACATTGTGCTTCAACAAAAGACTCTCAAGGACACTAATGACTGTTAAGCCGGCGCACAAAGCAGAAACGTTCAAGTGAATTTTCATCATTTGTAAAGACAAACGCCTCAGTGCATCGTTTTATTATTGGTCAAAAATAATCAATTTTAATTTCACTTTAAGTAAATTTCACAAACTGGAAGTATAGTCTAAAACAAACACGTGATGTATTTCTATGCGAGTATTAACCGGTGTGTAACGACGTTTAGTCTGTTTTCTAACTACATAAGTCTTGGACCGACCCCCTCACGCTGATTTCAGACATTAAAATAAGTTTATAAAAAAATAGTCTTATTGTTTTTTGACTTGTTTGATTTCGTAGATCACTAATAAGCTTGAAGATGAATTCCAGTTTATTTCATCTATGTAAAAAAAATGAAAATCCCTCTACAGGATTTTTATCTGGGATATTTTTTAGGATATTTTTTATACAAGATATTGTTATACAGGAATATTAAGGCCTCATTGCATATAAATGTCCATCCATTTATGTAAAAATATTAATAAACCTGACGTGTTTAGAATAAATAACGTGTCATGGTATGTTCTGTTGATTTAGTTTTCCCCTGGTTTTGTTATCGAAGTGTTTCTGTTCCTCTCTAGTCCAGTCTCATGAGTTTTCAGTTTGTCTTTGACCCTGTTTACCTCCTGTTCTCTGTTTTTTATCCATTAGATCAGTTTTCAGTGTTTGTTTCCTGTTTTATTTTGTAGGAGTTGATTCCTTGTGTTCCTCGTCTGGTTTTACTTCCCTAGTTTTCCCTCCTTCGTTAATCACTGATGAGTTTCACCTGTGTCTCGTCTGCCTCACCCAGTGTGTGTATATAGAGTCCCTGTCTTTCCCTCTGTCTTGTTTGGATCATTGTGTGTCGATGTGAGCATATGCTTGTGTCTCCAGTCGTTTCCTTGTGGTTTTTTCCCCACTGCCCTTTCAATTCTTTGGATTTTGCTCCTTGCGTTTTTTGGACTTCTGGATTTGTTTGGACGTTTTGAGAGTAAGTTTTAGTTTGACTTTTACTTTTTACTTTTGCTTTCATAAATCCTTAGTTCTAAATTTCTGGGTCCTTTTTCCTTTGTTTTATGTACCAAACATGACATAATGAAGATTAATGTATTCATCATTGATAACTCTAATTTGTGTTTGTCTCATAAATTTTAACTAAATGAATTTTGGTTGATCCACAGTTCATCATAATTAAACTATATTCATACATTTTCATTGATTAAATTAAGTTGGTTTTTGTTTTTGCCAATTTTTGGAAATTTATATGAATTCTAAAAAATTTCATCATTTAAATAAAATGGATGCAAAAAATTATAGAAATGTAATCATTTAAATAAAATAAAATCCAAATAAATTATAAAAAATAAATTTGAAAAAATTTAATAATTTAAATAAAATCAAATCAGTGCAAATAAATGATAATATATATAATTTTAAATATATATGGTGTAAAAAAAATATAATAAATTATAAATAAACTACACCATGATTAATTTTTTCTGAGTATAGGAGCTTGAAGAGAACAATTGTAGATGTTTTTTTACATGAGCAGAAATAAAAAGTGCCCAAAAATTTTGTATTTTTAAGATTTCTTTTTTATTCTTCAGTTTTATAACTCGTATTTCCACGAACACATTCAAATGTCACAGTAACAGAGTGTAAAGCAGGTGATAAAACCTGAATTCACATGAAAAAAAAACTCCTTCATACAAAATTTTATAAAGTAAAGAGAAATCATATAATATATATTTATATATATATATATTCTACATTATAGTATCAGCCTAATTCAGGCCAGTGATGGTTAAATACTGTTACAGTAAATAAATGTGTTTAAAACCTAAAAAGGTTCAAATGTTTCTAAACTCAAAGTGACAAACGTCTCCGTTCATGAACAAAATCAAACGTCCGACTCGATGGTTATGTCCCGTCCCTGGAGAGGACAGATGATCAGCGGCGCCGTGTTTTTCCCGTTTTCCTGAACACAGGGGTTAAAGTACGGGTAGAGCGGCTCCGTGAAGTCGCACTCTCGGTGCGTGTAAATGAGAGTCTTAGCGTCGGCGTCGTAGAAGGACACCGACCCTTCTTCGTAATCCAGGTACACGCCCACTTTCTTGGGCGCTTCCTGGGAATGGAGGGCGACGGAGGGGCTGGCGCACGCCCTCAGACTCCCGCCTTTCCTCCGACAGATCGCCCAGAAACCGCTGTCCGGACGCACTGAGATGGCGCCCTTCCTGTTGATGGATTCCCTCGCTACGCCGAGATCCCAGTCTGTTTTATCTCCCACCTGAAACACAGCGAGCAAAACGAAGAGTCAGACAACCGCAGAATCAATCGATCGATCGATCAATCTGAATTTGAATAGATCTCGTACCTGAACCTCCCAGTAGCACCTGCCAGACCTGAAGCTCTGTTTCCCCAACACGCAGACGCAGGCGTCGAATCTCTGAGGGTTATCCGTGACGGGATCTTTCTTCTTTTGACTGCTCACCTAAAAAAAAACCGATAAAATCAGCGTCACGATCGAGATTTTTCAGCTTCAGGTTTTCACAGATCAACTTTTTCACCTCTATTTTAGAAAAACTGTGAGAGACTGTTGCCGACACAAACACTTCCTTCTCCGGTTTCATTTTTAGACCCCGCACTTCCCACGGATCAAACGATGTGGCGTCTTACCTTCTTTCTGTCTGGAGAGAGGAGCAGCCAGCCCGACGCCGTCTCAGGATCCAGGGTGACGTCGACTGCAGAGACAAAGAGGGAAAACAGTGAGTCAGGTGAAAACAAATCTACTAATCCTGGTTTTAAAGGGTTTCTAACAAAAACGGCAGGATGTGTGATTGTGAGCTCACCTGCGTACTGTTGCATCTTGTCGGCTTCTGCAGAAAAACGAGAATAAAAAGGTTATTTTCATGCATGATTTTGCAGAAACTGAAAATCTGTGGACTAAATCCGCCAAAGTTTACCTTCTGCTGTGAGTTTGTTTGTGAGCTCTTGACAAACATCCACAAGCTTGCAGAAGGATCTGCTGACCGTCTCCATGCAGTTATCCGGGTGAACCACGACCTCGGTCCAATCTCTGGTCGACGGGAGTTCACGCAGAGACGGGTAACTCTGAAAACAGAGAGGAATCTCATGAGCACAGTCCTTTTACACGCTTTAAAGGTGTCGCAGGTGTAGTTCAGGTATCCCACCTGTAGGAGGTGTAGCGGGTTCTGTGTGAGCTCCAGGTGCTGCAGCTCGCTGCTCCTCAGCTGCAGCTCCCGGATCTCCTCCTCCAGCTTCTCCAGCAGCTCCTCCGCCCTCCTCTCCGCCTCCTGCTGCCTCGCGGCGAGCTCCTCCACCAGCTCGGCCTGGTGTCTCTGCACGGCGCTGATGAGCAGGGAGCAGACCTGAGCGCTCTTCTGGACTTCTCGCTCTTTGATTTTCTGTCGATTCGAAAACACGACTTTGTAAATTTTCAGAAAATCAAAAAAATTAAAAGATGAATTTTGTGTAAAAGCGCAAACTTACTCTGCTGAGATCCACAGAATTCTTGATTTGCTCCATTTTTCTCAGTCTCGCGTTGACCATCTGCTGAACTTCGGCTTTGGTCTCCTTCAGATGAGACTGTAAAAGTCCAAAAACACCAGATTAGCACATTTGTTCAACATCTAAAAAGCAGCAGGTGGATAGAATCAGCTCGGTCTTACCTTCACCCTCCTGCTGGCCTTCTCTATGACGACCACGGCGTGCCTCTTGTGGTCCTTCTCGGCGCACTCCTCACACACCGGCGTCTGGTCCTTCCTGCAGAACTGGGTCAGCGGTTTGTTGTGTTTCCTGCAGAGGTGGCTGCAGGTGAAGGTGGCCGGGTCCGTGAGGCGGTGTCTCTGCAGCGCCGGGTCCCTCAGGTGCGGGGCGAGGTGGAGTTCGCAGTACGACGCCTGACACACCAAACACGACCTCACCGAGGTGGACTTGTGCCCGTGGCAGATGTCACAGGGGACTTCATTGTTGTGAAGCTGGTTCTGGTTCTGAGCCTCCTCTTCTTCTGGGTTTGGAGCTGGAGTCACCAACCTTTTAATTTTAAAAGAATAATCACCTTCAGTCTTGGTTAAACTTCCTTTTTTTTTATTCCTCTAAATCAAACGGCGATCGAACAAACCTTTTGAATATCTCCACGATGTCGGCGAGTTCTCGGTTCACCCTGAGCTCAGGACGCTTCCTGAACGTCTCTTTGCACAGAGGACACTGAGACTGGTCCTTCGTGTCCCAGAATCCTTCGATGCAGTCCAAGCAGAAGTTGTGTCCGCATGGGATGGAGACGGGGTCGGCGTAAGTGTCCAGACAGATGCAGCATCTGAGCTGAACCTCCAACGGCAACTGGGTCATCCTGTCTGCTGGGGAGAAAAAAACAACAACACAAAGATGTGATTCATGTCGACCTGAACGTCCGTGAGCGAAGTAGTAAACAGATACTGAGCGTGACTGACTCATCGTACCAGAGGGCTGACGAGGAGTGAGTGAGTAAGAGCGAGCAGAGGAGGAAAAGTTTTACGAGATGACTCAAAGTTGACAGACAGAAACAGTTACACACTCAGAATGTCGTAAAAAGAAAAAAACAGCTGATCACTGGAAATATACGACAAACGTGACGACTCAACGGTGCAGTTAAAGCAAATCGTGCTGCATCAATGTTTTTTGCAACATTTCCATTTTGTATTCTAAAGTAAATAATCAAAAAGTACTAAAGTGTCTAAATAGATGTCAAAAGTTGAATTTTTAAGACAGTAACTTTCCACATAAGCCTAATTTTGGGCTTGAAAAGACTGAACATTTTTGGAGCATCATGCGTTAACTTTACATAGATTCCATGATAACACACATTCAAAAATAATGTGCATTTTTAAAATTTTTTATAAAAAGTTCAGCAAAATTATTGCACAAAAGACGTCTGTCTGCAAATAAAAATGAAAAACACCTGACACAACCTTTTAAAATTCTGATTTTAACAAACAAACATACTTTTTGACACTTCCCTTCAACATTGCAAAAACTCGAAATTTTGTCTTATTTCTTCTTGAAATCTTAAATAATACGTAAAATAATCCACATTCACCTGAAGATGTCTAGATAAATGTCTTGTTGCATGAAATTACAAGTGAAAATGAAGAACAGAGTTTCTTGTATTGAACAAAAAAAAAAAACATATCAAAAATTCTCAAAAATTTTTGTAAAACGACACAAAATCTTAAGTGCAAAAAACAGAAAATCTTAAATCTGAGAGCAGAGGATGCTTTTTTTTGGTTTGTCATTTCTTTTGTTTTAAATCATGTCGCAATTTTTTTTTCAAAACCACAGATAAGACCAAAAAAAGACTCAATTTTTTGTTTTTGCGGTGTAGTGAAACTATAGAATTGACTTAGTTATTTAGCTCTATTTCTTAGTAGTATTTCTGTATTTCTTAGTGCTGTAGTAGATTCAGTGAAGTCTTACCTGTTTGAGTTGTCATGTTGAGTATCCTGATCCTCCGCGCAGACTCAGCCTTTAAATACTCCTCAAACAGTGACTAATCCAAGTACAAACAAAGAGTGACTCCCATTACCATCTCACTCCGCCTCTTCCTCCTCCTCCTCCTCTGCAGGGTTAAGATCCTTTATTTCTCCACTCACAGGATCTGGTCTTTCTGGTCTTCTGGCTTCGTCTGTTTTCGTCATGGTCTGTCTGTCTAAAAGGCAACGTGCAGGAGAGGAAGGGCTGGGTTTGCTCAGAGGGTTTTGAGAGGGTGTGAAGTGGAATCGTGGGAATTCACCTGACCGGACGGTAATTGTCTGAGCTGTGAACACGTGTTGGGGAAAGTATCAGTTGGGTGAATGGGGATTTGTGAAAAGGAGGTGCTTTTTTTTTAGGTCAAGGGACTTTTTCACCTTTTAGTCAGTGGAACAGCTGAAGAAATCAGAGGAGTTATGGGGCGTCCATACTAGCCGAAACCACCGGATCAAATAGGACTCCCTAAAAACATTGGACTCCATCAGCATCCTGGTCACGATCGGGTCTTTTGAGTATCCGGTTATTGCATTTGTGCAAGTAAACCATGCCAGATCAGACTCCCCTACTGTCAAAGACCCGATGTAAAGATGGGATAAGACTGAGACTGATCCATTATAGAGATGAACCAATCCATTTTTTCCCGATCCAATCCTATACCGATACCTGAGCTGAGTGTATCGGCCGGTATCCGATACCGATTCAATAATACTGTTGAATGAATGAACTGTATACCTTGCCCTGTGAGTGAAGGCATAACCCCAATTTCCACCGCATCCAGAATGGCAGCAATCGCGCGATAATGAGTCGTCTCTTAGCCACAGAGGATAAGTGAAATACGATCTGCCAGAAACATGGAGTGTTTTATTTTGAAAAGAAGCCGGATGTTTTATTTTGTGTCTGTGCCCGACTTCCTTTCCAGCAAAGGCTAATCTGTGCTGAATTTATCCGTCATGTTCCGGCGTCCAGAAAAAATAGAATTCGAGCGATCCACAGTGGAACAGAAAGAGGCCGGTGAAAATTGACACATTGACTTGAATGGCTACGATCGGCAGATACGGCCTTTTCGTAGCCGTTCCGTATGCGGTGGAAATTGGAGGTCAGGCTTGACATTAGCCTTGTTAAAAAAAAAAGTAACAAACGGATATAAATTTATTTATTATTTATTGACAAATTGCACATTAGCACACAACAAAAACAAGTAAGACTTCCACGCTGGATCGGCATCATTCATCCGATATCCAATCCAGTTAATTTGTCGATATCGGGGCCGGTATCCGATCCAAATACCCAATCGGTGCATCCCTAATCTATCTGATCAGACCCAGTTCCATCCCATCTGGGACCACAGGAGTGAAACACTTTACAGCATTTAGAAAGTAACAGCGGAGACGAAGAAGTTCCTTAGACAGGCAGAAACCTCAAGCAGAACCAGACTCATGTTGGACAGTCATCTGCAGAGACTGAGCTGAGGTTAGAGAGAGATGGACAGAGGTGCTTGAGGACTCCCAGAAAAGACTGTAAACTCAATATCCTGGCACCCCTGCGAGTCTAAACCTGAAGAAGCATAACTCAGGCCTGAACCATCTCCAACTATGAGTCCACTCAGAGGTATTTTTACCTTTCTCCCGCCTCATGCATGACTGACTCTGCCTAAACAAACAGATTAATGATTAAGAGGATAGGTCTAATGTCAGTAATTACCCAGCGAGGAAGAGTGCATTTCACGTTTCAGTGCACAAACAGAGTAACAGCTGTAATCAGTGAGTTTGAGTGTTTAATATCTTTTGCTAATACATGGAGCTGAACAGGTACAACTCTTAATGCATGATCTATCCTGTAGGCTTTTGTCTCTGCAGACTGCATTTGGAGAGATTGAGCTAATTACCATCATTAGAAAAAGGTTTGACTTAATCGCACTCCGGGACACTAGCGCTGATTATGTTACGGTAACATGAATAATCTGGCACGCAAACGTCACATCCCGAACATGATCACAACCTTGTTAAGACGGGATATGTTTGTTCCGTGGAAAACACACTCGATGACTCATTAGCAGTTAGCAGCCAACTCGGCTAATTAAGAGGAAAATGTTTGTGTATTACGCAACAGCTTTCTAAAATGTTGGCGAATCGCAGAGCCTCCTCCCTACAGTAAATCTGCACTCTGTCAGGAGGATATTTAAGAGTCATAAAACCAAGACTGTTTTGGTGGCTATAAAAAAAACAAGGCTGCCACCCGAAAAGGAACGCAATGAGTCACTTGATACGCTGATGATACCGTGTTATACGTCAGGAACACTTAGAGTGCGAGCATGTGGCCTATAACTCGACTTTTTTTTACGATGAAAACAAATCTGCGTGTGACGTTATTGAAGGATCTCCCCGCTGAAAAACAAAACACAAATATTGAATCAGCTTAATTTTAGGCGCTGAATCAGAAAAAATAGTTTGTTTTTTCTGCAGTTTGACAGTAAATTGAATAGAATCACGAATCTAACTATATATTCAAAGGTTAAAACCTGGTTTGTGGGGACGTGCAGATTTGCCCAGCAGGTTAGCGCGCCCCACCTACAGGGACTACGTTTCCTGCAGCGGTCAGGGGTTCGACTTCCTATCAATGAAGGCAAAAACTTACCAAAAAAATACTTTAAAAAAAAAAGCAGGTTTGTCTATTTTGTATATCACCTCATGAGCTGAAATCAAAATTATGTTTGTAAATATAATCAGAATTTTTACCATGACTGCATAAAAATTGGTTTTCATTACATAAAAATAATTAAATCATTATTATAATCGTAACTATCAGCGTAACCACGTTATGTTACAGCGTAATTGTAACTTTTCAGACTTGTCTTAAGTCTAGTTCCTGCTTTTGTGTTGGATCTACGTTGTCACTTCGCTGTTGTGAGCATCACATACTCTCTGAATTGGAGTGTCTGTGTTTCACTGCAATACTCCTTCGAAACACTAGTTGGCAGTGCAATGTTTACACTAGCCATTTTGCCAGTTTCTAGTCCTGCTATGTTCCCTCCTTGTTTGGAAACCATGGCCTTATATTGCGTTGTAATTTTGAAAACAGTAGAAAAAGTAGACGGGCAGCAGAAGAAGAGGACTGTAAAAAAAGCAGCTAACCGAACATAACCAAACTCAGAATTAAAGCGTCTTACTCCCAATTTCAAACAGATCAGGAACGGCTATGTAAAGGCCGTATCCGCCGATCGTAACCATTCAAGTTAATGTGTCAATTTCCATTAATTTCTGCGCATTAATTTCTCCTCCATTTCTTGCGTTTATTCTTGCATTAATCGGCCTTTTTGAGGAAAATCAATCTTCTATAATCCGATTTGTTGCCTGACAGGAAACATGTTTGACATACTTTCTGAAACACTTTCTCATCTCCTTCTGAAAGCCTACTTTTGTTGCTAACGTGGCAGCCGGAGGCAGAACAGCAGGTCTAGTCTGACATTTAAGATCTTTGACATCTTTACATTCGAAAATATGAGGAATGATTTAAGCCGTAATCAGGTTACACCTTCAGGTTATTCCTTTAGTTTCAATTCTGCTAAAGTTAAAGATTTGACAAGATGACGAGCAAGATGTCTCTGCAGGGCGCAAAAACAGAGAAAAAATTCCAGCTCAGTTTTGTGGCTGATTTAACGAGCAATTCAAACGGATCAAGAAAACACAGTACGGATTGATTTTTACTCTTTAATGGACGAAAGTAAACAAGTCAGTGGGCCACTATGTTAGTCACCAGTGTGTCAGATGGTATCAGGTCAGACGTGTGTTTTGACTTTTCTCCAAACAGGACTTTCGTGTCACTCGTACTTTTCTTCAAATTCCACTTCTCCTCCTCTGACAACAAACGCAAACAGGCGAGAAGTCGTGCGTCAGAGGGGAGATGAGAGAATGTTGCGTACGTGAAGTAGAGTGTTTAAGATCGTTCGATAAGGAACTGTCAAAGTTAAAGCGAGTTTTATCAAATACTTTAAGATTCTCTGATGGGCTGATTCTCTGGTGAGAGCAGAAATTGAAACACAAAGCTAGCAAGTTATGGCAGACAAGGCTAGCATGCTTGTTTGGTTAACGACGATTAAAGATAATGTCTTGCATCGTTGCAGCAAAGATGACCTTTTCAGTTGTCATTTGGTATTTGGTGGTTTGGTCTTGAAGACGCTACACTCACCGGCCACTTTATTAGGTACACCTGTCCAACTGCTCGTTAACACTTAATTTCTAATCAGCCAATCACATGGCGGCAACTTGGTGCATTTAGGCATATAGACATGGTCAAGACAATCTCCTGCAGTTCAAACCGAGCATCAGTATGGGGAAGAAAGGTGATTTGAGTGACTTTGAACGTGGCATGGTTGTTGGTGCCAGAAGGGCTGGTCTGAGTATTTCAGAAACTGCTGATCTACTGGGATTTTCACGCACAACCATCTCTAGGGTTTACAGAGAATGGTCCGAAAAAGAAAAAATATCCAGTGAGCGGCAGTTCTGTGGGCAGAAATGCCTTGTTGATGCCAGAGGTCAGAGGAGAATGGCCAGACTGGTTCGAGCTGATAGAAGGCAACAGTGACTCAAATAACCACCCGTTACAACCAAGGTAGGCAGAAGAGCATCTCTGAACGCACAGTACGTCGAACTTTGAGGCAGATGAGCTACAGCAGCAGAAGACCACGCCGGGTGCCACTCCTTTCAGCTAAGAACAGGAAACTGAGGCTACAATTTGCACAAGCTCATCGAAATTGGACAATAGAAGATTGGAATAACGTTGCCTGGTCTGATGAGTCTCGATTTCTGCTGCGACATTCGGATGGTAGGGTCAGAATTTGGCGTCAACAACATGAAAGCATGGATCCATCCTGCCTTGTACCAACAGTTCAGGCTGGTGGTGGTGGTGTCATGGTGTGGGGAATATTTTCTTGGCACTCTTTGGGCCCCTTGGTACCAATTGAGCATCGTTGCAACGCCACAGCCTACCTGAGTATTGTTGCTGACCATGTCCATCCCTTTATGACCACAATGTACCCAACTTCTGATGGCTACTTTCAGCAGGATAATGCGCCCTGTCATAAAGCTGGAATCATCTCAGACTGGTTTCTTGAACATGACAATGAGTTCACTGTACTCAAATGGCCTCCACAGTCACCAGATCTCAATCCAATAGAGCATCTTTGGGATGTGGTGGAACGGGAGATTCGCATCATGGATGTGCAGCCGACAAATCTGCGGCAACTGTGTGATGCCATCATGTCAATATGGACCAAGCTCTCTGAGGAATGCTTCCAGCACCTTGTTGAATCTGTGCCACGAAGAATTGAGGCAGTTCTGAAGGCAAAAGGGGGTCCAACCCGTTACTAGCATGGTGTACCTAATAAAGTGGCCGGTGAGTGTATGTTGTATGAAAGTTTGGGGCCAGCTGCTACAGTCTGTTGGCTTAACGTCAGGAAAAATGCCAATTAACGTTGTCTGCAGATGTGCGGCGGAAGCTGTTTTCATGTTTTCTTTGACTGAAGTTGCAATAGGGTGACCGTACGTCCTCTTTTACCCGGACATGTCCTCTTTTTGGGAGGGCTGTCTGGCCTTGTCTTGCTTTGTCGGGGGGAGTTTATAAAATCCGTCAAATATCCAGGATTTTGTGTGGAAGTTTCAAGTTTGTGTCACGTGGACTTACTGAGTTCAGGTCCTGACACACAGGGGCCGACGCAAATATAGAGGATATTTTCCTGGGGAAAGTCCCGCCTCCTTCACCTCTGACTGGCTAGAAAAGCTGGAAACGTCATCACACGCTCAAGCCAAACGGTCAGCACTTATAGCCAATCAGAGGCGAAGGAGGGCAGGACCGGGGGGCAACAACCATTCCGACATCCCGCCATTTCGACATTGGTCTCTAATTGTTGGAGTGGCGGTATGTTACCATGCTATCAAACATCCCGTCACTCTGACAGCTCTCATCTGCTATGGTCCCTCTGCAGCTACACTCGGGATTATGTGAATGCGCACCCTCCCCCATATGGAAAGCTGCGTCGGAATGGTGAGATGTTGGAATGGTGAGATGTCGAACTGACAGCATGTCACCCTGTCAAAGCACACAAACCACAAGTTGTCCTTTAGGTCGTTATCTTTTGTAATGTTTGTGTCTTTCATCTGACACGTAAACAATCAGCCGGTCGGCCATGTTGGATATACCGGTGATACTGACGTCGCAACAACACGCAATCTGATTGGTCAGAAGTGGACACACAGTATGCGAAACTTTAGAAAAATCAACCGTGATACAGAAAAATAAATGCCGCATATCGCAGGATGGGAAAATGTTGCTGATGTAAACGCTTGTATTGACAGGATAAATAATTGCACAAAAAAAACTGGTCCCAGTGTGAAAGGACCTTTTTTTAGAGGCGTGTAAAAGACACTCAAACTGAATTAACTATGCGCGACTCCGTGACTCCACCCCCGCGTAGTGGTGTCCTCTTGTTGGGCATTCAGAATACGGTCACCCTAGATTTATAGAGGTACACAAAAAACAAAAAGTCTAATGTTTCTTTTCTAGCAGCTCAGTTTGGTATTTATTTTCTCAGAGCGCTTACATATCCGTCCGATGAGTAAATCCTGTCTGGTGGGTTTCAGGAGCCCGTTTCTGCACGGTGAGCTTTTTGAGTTGAGTTGCAGGTGTAAATAAAAAATCTCCCTGTGGGTTCATTAATTAAGAAGCAGTCGGAAGTGAGCCAATCTAACCCACACCTTTCCTCATCATCTAATTACAACTCTGAGTAGTAGTCGAGACTGCACATGTCCAGGACATGAGGCATCCACGCCTGGCCGACTTGGCCGTAAATAAAATATGAATCATAACGCCCACATGTGTGCAACGACAGACACGTGTTTACAAATGACTGTCTACCTTTTTTCGGTTGTATTTTGAATAAAACTGCTTTGAGAAAAGACTCTTTGTTAATCCTACTTCTTTGTTTTCCTTGAGATGATGCTTCATGTATTTTGAAATCTTATCACATCATAACATCAAGTTCTTTGAGTCCCAGCCCAGGATGGTGGAAACAACAACTTGCCACACACACAGATGTCACGTTTTATTCTAGCGGTAATGATATGGTTTGTCTAAGTCGGTCACATTGAGGTAAAAGTAAATGAGGCTCTCTATCAGTTGGCGTCGAAATTTGAACTCAATCCAAACAAGAATAAAACAGGCCATTGCTGTGAAAGAAACAGAGATGAGATTTTGATTCATTCCCAAACTTTATAAAAACTCATCCCTTTTACTCCAAACCTCGCCGGTTTAAATTAGTATCCAGTAAACATCTTGTGGGATTATCTCCACATTCCGCTCAAACCCAACAACGTCATTGCGGATGTTTTGCCGTGTGAGGTCTGCCGTCAGTAGCCGTGTTTTCATCTGCAAAATTTCTTGATCTGATTTAAAAATTTGAGGGATCCGAACATCTGAATCCACTGTTTATATGGCTCAAATCAAATAATCCGATCATGACGTGCGTATTCATGCACCAAACTTAATTCAGGTTAGAATCATTTGGACATGTGCAGAGTTGCCAAACCAACAAACGCGTTGGTGGCTCAAATCATCCGATTCTTGATTTTTCCCTTCACTCAGAGTGGATCTGGGCATGGTTCTGAGAGTGCTTGTATTGCTCCTAGCGTACATGACCGCCAAGCGGGTCCAGCGGCACGAACTGATCCTTTGTTAGCAAGAAAGTTGTGTCAGACACAGACTAATCGCTCTTGGATCTCGCCATGTTTACGTCTTGTCACTAACGGCGGAAATGCGTCATGTTGACGTACGGCACAAACGTGCAGTCAGCTTAGTTTTGCCACGATCGGAATACTTCTTTACATGGAAGCGTTTCGGCGTTGGTGGCTCAAATCATCCGATTCTTGCCCTTCACTCAGAGTGGATCTGGGCACGGTTCTGAGAGCACTTGTATTGCTACTACTTGGTTTAACTAATGAGGAGCATGGATGATGGTGGTCGGATGCCAAAGTTCATAGAAACTTTGATTCTCAGCAATCCCAGCAATGACTGCAAGAGTTTCTGTAACATTTAAACCAGTTTTCAAAGATTTGCACGGTAAATGTTTGCGTTCGGTTTGACTTTGTGGGCTGGAAAATGGTCGTGAAACATGGAGGACTTTATTTCTGGGGTCTACTTCCACTGCAGATATCAGGAGTTGATTCCTTGTCACATTGAGGTAAAAGTAAATGAGGCTCTCTATCAGTTGGCGTCGAAATTTGAACTCAATCCAAAAATCCACAAAAGACTGTGAGCTCAAGTTGTCTGTGTCATAGACAACTTAAGTGAAGACGGCACGATAGCAACACACAGAGCCACGCACTCAACCAAAACGCCACTCTATAGCCACAAATAATACTCAGAACAGCACCTAACTTCATCAACAGGACATATAGGGTCCCAGCCACTAAACATCTTTTTAACTTTGCCAATTTTTTTTTAGCAAAGAGACTAAACACAACTCACCTACTCTCTTCCAGCAGCCGCTTGTTTGTAGTGAGACCTCAGGCCAGTGGAGCAGCTCAAGGAAGAACATTTATGATCATTTCTTTATCATTTCCTTAAACTAATAATCATCATATTAATCAATTTTCTCTGCAGACGTGGTAGTTCTTCTGCCTTAGTGTCTCGGTCTGATTGTTTTTCCATGAAGAAATGATCATAAATGTTCTTCCTTGAGCTGCGTCACCCCGCAGCAGTTTGTAACGGACTGGCCTGAGGTCTCGCTACAAACAAGCGTCTGCTGGAAGAGAGTAGGTGAGTTGTGTTTAGTCTCTTTGCTAAAGAAATCAGTCAAAGTTAAAAAGATGTTTGGTGTCTAGTACTATGTCTGGGACCCTATATGTCCTGTTGATGAAGTTAGGTGCTGTTCTGAGCATTATTTGTGGCTATAGAGTGGCGTTTTGGTGGAGTGTGTGGCTCTCTTCATTGCTATCCTGTGGTCGTTACTAAAGTTGGTATAACTAGAGAAGCAAGCGGTCAGCAACATTCATCTCTCGACGAGGTGTCTAACTCTGTGTTATTGTTTAAGTTGAGTTAAAATTATTTTTTAATTAGACATCTTTAGACGTGTCAGATAGAAAGATACTGACATAAAGTTGACGCTCATGTATGCGGGCAAACTATGAGCGAAGGCGTTCGCCGAGGCTGCTTATGTGAAATGACACAGTAAAAGAAAACTGAAGGTAGAGGTTTTGTAATGTTTTAAAACCCAACATTAAACTTCAATGTAAACATTTAAACCAGTTATCAAAGATTTCCACGGTAAAAGTTTGTGTTCAGTTTGACTTTCTGGGCTGGAAAATGGACTTGATTTCTGGGGTCTACTTCCACTGCAGATATCAGGAGTTGATTCCTTGTTTTGAAAATCCAACTTTACTTTTTTAAGGTGAGGCTGATGTGCAAAAAACTCATCAAGCAAACAACCCACTAAAGACAGTTTCCACCTGGTACTTAAATGTCACCTTTATCAGCAGGCACGTGAGACTTCACAGGGACGGTAAAACTCACTAATAACAGACAATTCAGTCTTGCACATGACTTCTCTACAGTATTTATTTCGCTGTCATCCAGGTGAATACAGTTTAATTTATGAGCTTGAAGTCATTGGGCCACATTCTTTCTCTGGATGTTTAGCCGCCGCCTAAAGGTTATCCACCTCTGAACATGACTTCACCCAAAAAACTATATTTACGCCGCTCTCTGTGCCCTGTAGGTGTTTACATTTTGTCAAACAATGACATCTGATATGACAGTAAGGATCTCAAACTGGTGTTCATCACCTGTTGAAACTGTGTTTCCTTGAACATAAAACTGTTGAGTTTTTTCCACACGTGAGGAAAGGCCACGTTAACGCTCCTTCTCGGCCCCCTAAGCGAACTGAACTAGTCTAAACCAGACAAAACCTCGTCAAAAGCCCCGATCAGACTTGTATATAGCTAAAAGGACACATTTCTGATTAAACCACAGGCATTTTCTCCAGCCCTGACCTAGTTCACCTCCTTTTTGTTTCAGACCACATGAAAACAATACTTCTTGAAGATCCACCTCTTTCTTTTATGGGTTGCGCTCCTTGTGGTCTACGAATAACAGCCAAAAATCTGGGTGTAACTACTGGCTGTGAACTTGGACGTAGACAAACAACAACCATCACTCAGTCAGTGAACTGAATTCATTATTTTCTTCTCATGTCATTGTTAAAGTTGAGTTAAAATTATTTTTTAATTAGACATCTTTAGACGTGTCAGATTGAAAGATACTGACATGTAAACTAAAGTTAAAAGGTTATTTTATCTCCTGATTAATGAGCTGTACACAAACAAAGCTGCACTAAATGGGAACACTAATACGTATGTGAACTTGTGTGATAGAGTTGACCCCGTTTGCTGAAAACAGTCGCATACTTATTGTCTCGTTACGAACAGAGCTGAGCGGCATCCACTGTGGCTGGCACATTTATCTCGCCTCGAAATATCTCTTTAGAGATTTCAGTCATTTCTGTTTTAGAGTTAATTATTCCAGTAATGAACTATTCTGCTCTAAAGCCAACGACTCTCTTCTCTTAATCTGACTTTAAAGGGATATTCTGGCATAAAATCAATTAAGGGTCAAACACTCTGTGACACCGAGTTAGACACCCCCTTGAGAGACGAATGTTGCTGACCGCTTGCTTCTCTAGTTATACCAACTTAAGTAACAACTGCACGATAGCAAAACACAGGACTGAGGAGCCATAAACAAACCTCAACCAAAACGCCCCAAATAATGCTCAGAACGGCACCTAACTTCATCAACAGGACATATAGGGTCCTAGTCATAGTACTAGACACTAAACATCTTTTTAACTTTGCCTAATTTCTTTAGCAAAGAGACTAAACACAACTCACCTACTCTCTTCCAGCAGCCACTTGTTTGTAGCGTGACCTCGGGCCAGTCCATTATGGACTACAGTGGGGTTTCGCAGCTCAAGGAAGAACATTTATGATAATTTCTTCATGGAAATGCAATCAGACCGAGACGCTAAGACAGAAGAACTACCACGTCTGCAGTGCAAAATGATTAATATGATCATTATTACTTCAAGGAAATGATAAAGTAATGATCATAAATGTTCTTCCTTGAGCTGCGACACCCCGCTGTAGTCTGTAATGGACTGGTTCAAGGTCTCTGTGCAAACAAGCGGCTGCTGGAAGAAAGTAGGTGAGTAGGTGAATATATAACTTGTTCTTGTTTTTCAACTTGGATAAAAAGCGTCTCTCAAAACTACTCCCACATGCAGCTCCTCTTGGATCTTATTTAGTGTTTCAAACATTTCAGTCCAACGATATTTATTTCAACATTGAGGAAGTTTCTGTTTTTTCTTGACTCTGAGTTTTTGTCATTTTAAATCATGATCTTTTGTTACACCACAGTGCAGCTAAACTGTTGAACTCGGTGGCAGCTAACGTGAAGGAGGTTAAGTACATGTTCGTGCAAACTCAAGAAGCTCAGGGTTCTCATGTTTCCCTCTTGATTGACGGGCTCATTTAGTTTCTGCACTTATGAAAACCTGCAAGACCACATCTGATGATAAAACGCGTTTTAACCCAGTTTCATAGCAGGGATTATGTTTCATGAAAGAATTTAAGTGGTTTTGAAAAACTAAATGGTTTTGATCACCTTTTTTTCTTGCGTGAACAGGCGGAAATATTTGACGGCAAGTGAACCGTCCAGTCTTGAGGTTGACTTGTTTTTCACCATAGCCTACATTGTCCTATCGACCAAGACAAACAGGAACACACCCGCCGTCGTCCTATTGTGATGGCCTCGCTATCAGGTCGCCTCGGATCCTCCTCATTCACCTCTAACCACCGAGACAGCCTTTTGTTTGAGCGTCTTTTTTCACAGAGTCATGAAAGGAAATTTTCTTCACGGTGTCGCGAACGAACACTCTTGCACAACAGACGCCTCAGATGTTATGCACCGCTGTAACAATAGGAACTGTCATGTCTGAACATATATCATCTTCATCGTTGTGTAATTTGATACTGATGTTTGTGACTCAGAAGAGTTTGAACAGATCACCGGGACAAAACGTACTTATCTGATCGTCCTTATCTGTCCGATTGGGGTCAGTAAACTTCTTCACATTCGACTCACTGTAACCCTGTTTTTAAGTCTGTTTCGACTTTTCCTTAAACAATACTTTAAAAAGTCGTGTTCATTTTAAACCGCGTCAAAAAGTTTTAAAAAGTGAATAAAAGAAAAGTCTAATGCAAGATAACCAAACTGTTTGGACGATAAACTGGATTCAACTCGATCACATTAAAACAGAGTCATGAAATAGTCCAAAAGTTACAATTTTCTCATTTTTATAAAGTTAAGTTGATCCATTAAAACCAATAAAACTGTTAGACAGTATTTGCATGTTTGTCTTTTATTCATGTTTTACCACCAACTGCAGAACCATCTTCGTGGCATATCGACTTATTTTCAGCCAACCTGCTTCGACAACCCTAATCCCAAAAGAAGCTGGGATGCAGAAATGTTAAAAAAAGCAGATTAGATTCTTTTTTTAACTCTATTTATTTTGAAAATTCTTAAAATACGTGTTAAAAATTAAAATTGAAAATGCAACAAAACGTCAAAGTTGTGTAATTCTGGAAAAAAAACAACAACTTTGGAACATCTCCCAACCAATGAGGTTCGTTTGCTACAGGTCTGAGATATAATTAGGTGTAAAATTGGCACTCGAAGGAGGGCGAGTCTATCAGGAGTGTGAGAGACTGTGTTGGAAAATAGGTCAGCAGTTTAAGAATAATTCTCTTCAACTCATCATCTGTTCTCATCAACTGGCACTCATGACATTGACACACCAGCAGTATTACAGTAACAGTGCTTAAATCCTAACATGTTCATCCTCTTATAAACAACTTCAAGGGAAGCTCAGGCTGGTTACAAGTTTTAAAAGAACTTTTTAAGTAAAGTGCTTACTTACAGATGTATAAATTTACTTTGAGTTTGTCTGGTAGACCCCACACTACGGAGCTGAACTGTTGTATTTTTGGATTAGGTAGAGGTTGCCAAGCTAAAAGAACCGGTATGTGGACTTTCTTGTACCCGTTTACATTTAGCCATTCTGCTTTTCCATTGGGAAGATCTTATGTTAGCATTTAAGCTAGCTACCACACGCTAGGTCAGGGGTGGGTGAGTAATTTTTACATGGGGCCACATGAGAAACCTGAACTGTGTTGGAGGACTGAACCAACAATATCTTCAACTTCAAGCGGATTTAGTAACTATAAGGCGTCTACACATATTTTGCCTAAGTTTAAACTTGTCTCTGTTCACCAATGCAGATCTAGGATTTACACACATGCGTCCAAACGGAAATAAAAAAAACTGCTTGTTTTCCAAAATAAAAGCAACACACTGGTATAGCATGTTGATAATTTGTTTGACAGACCTCCCAAAGGGCTGGATGTGGTCCTCAGGACGTAAAATGCCCAGGTCTGTGCTAGGTGCAGTAAATCAGGCCTCAGCTGCTCCAAAACTCAAAATATTAATCTTATTACAAAATGTATAACATATGATTTCATTGCGTAAGAAGGAGCACATGGTTTGAGAAGAAGTTAAGGTGATGAAATTGTCAAGCAAATTACCGAAATGTCTATAAGCTCATAAGCCGGAACTGGCCTTTCGCCAACAGTTGTACAGTCGTCTTAATTATCGTATACAATGAATGTACAATGATTTAATGATGCTTTATATTATCTAGATCATCTTGTTCAACCAAGATGGCGGTATGTGCTATTTCTGTACCCTTTGTGTTCACATAATAGAAAGAACACATGCATTCAGTTTGAACCCTGAGTTTTCCTTTTCTCAGTGACAAAAAAACATATTTTCATAAAGTAGGAGTGCACTCACTTTTTAGGTCACTCTGGGACCAGGGTTCCTTCAAAGTTGGAATTTCCATAACCTACGTTTTGGAATTATTTTTGGAGATACCTACTTTTCTACTTTAGAAAACAGTATTTTAGAGCTGTGGTAATAGTCTGGAAACATAAATGTTTTTCCAGACTTTGTTTTTCATTTTCCAAACTTTTTAAGACCTGGAAATTGATCAAATTTATTTCCGTACTTTTCCATATTTGCGTAGGAAGCCTATGTGACTCTGTTTAGGAGAGTCAGAAACTTTAAATGAAGTTAAACTTGTATTTTTTTTAATGTGGAATTTTCAGCATAGTGTTATTCTCTTCATTGTGTTTCCTCATACGTATATATGAGGCTGAGAGAGAGGTTGGTTTGTGTACTTAGCGGCCAATGGATTTTTGTTTTCAAATGAAGAAACAAAAATCGGGAGATGAGCCGTCTCCTGACGACCGGATGGGAATTGGAAAATGAAAAACGGAAAACAAACCATTTTCTGTTTCTCATTTTGATCTTAAGAATCAGAGAACAAAAAAACAACTCTGTATTTGACTTTCTTTGTCGTGAGGCGGAAGTTGTGACTTGGAACGAGAGGCTCGTTACCACAGTAGCACCCTCAGGTCACGACAAACAAGTGAATAAAACTTCAAACACAAGATTTCCACGCACGTATTTCGATCTTCGATTTCCGTTGAAAACCACGTCACAGGAAGTCAAGTACTGAGTTGTTTTTTTTTCGTTCCGATTTTCATGATCAAAATGAAATATGGAAAACGGTTTGTTTTCTGGTTTTTTTTGTCTGATTCCCTACTGGTCGTGGTTGTTGAACATCTCCAACTCCATCTTTTTCCAAATTTGGCACTGTTAACATCCAATACTGTATAAGAAAAGAAATCTTGGGCTGATTATAGTGGTTTTCGGGTCAAAAGGACTTCCAGAGACAGTTATTGTCATCCATATTGGTTTAGAGACAACAGTACTTTGAGTATCCAGCACAATGACTTACCTATGACTATTATGTTTCAGTTAAGACTGAGTCGCTTTAAAGCACACAGAGTTTAAGTTTCCTTTTGATTTGCACAGGTGTGCAGACGTTGCATTTCCTTGGAAATGAAAGGGAACGAAAAAGGTGAACAATGGTCTGAAGGCTGGTTATGCAACGAGAAGGGTATGAATGTAAGAATGCAGAGCTGATCGCAAATGTGAACCACAGGTTTTATCCCTCATCTACCCCCATAACAGCAGACAGGCCTATCCAAAGCTCAACCCGGTATAAAGGTTGTGATTCAGAGAGATAAAGAGGTCTTTTTAGGTGGACACATTTGTTTGTATTTCACATCTCTTTGTGCTTTGAGTTTCTGAAATTTTAGAAACTTGCAGGGTTCCTACGCAAGTATGGAAATAAATTTGATCAATTCCCAGGTCTTCAAAAAGTATGAAAAAGGGTTTACTTTTCCAGACTATTACCCCAGTTCTAAACTCCTGTTTTCTAAATTAGAAAAGTAGGTATTTCCATAAATATTTCTAGAAAGTACGGTATGGAAAAGTTTGGAAATTCCAAATGTGCAGGAACCCTGAACTTGTCGGGGGTATTTGTTGCATTCTTAGGGTTACAGGGTCAGGGTGGTAATGATAAGCAGACTTTTGTTTGAAATGTTTCTCCTTTAAACCTCAGACCAGGGGTGGGTAATTATTTTGGCTAAAGGGCCACATTGGGTTTTAGATATCAATTGACGGGTAGGCCAGGTGTTCACAACTACCAACAGTCATAGTCCTTAAACTCTGAGCTCATATGTTGTCACATGTAAGATCGTCAAAGTTAGAAAAAAACAGGATCAATCCCTGACAAGCTACGATAGGATTACCGGAACCGTTACATACCCCTCCTACTTTGTCCGATCGACGAGCGCCCCTTTCAACCATGTGATGCTGCTCAGAAAGTTCGGTGCGCTTTAGAAACAAGTGATAAATGCAACAATGTTGCGACTTTCAGCTCCCCAATCGAACCGAGTCCGCTTGGTCAGGTGTGAAAGCGATCTAATATTGGATTGTTTTCTGGTTGACCTATCGAGACACATACAAAAACAACTGACAAACATGTTATACAGCTTTGTTGCTGTTGTATGTACGATAGCCTCATTATGGCGACCTGTTCAGGATGTACGCCAATTTTTTTTACCCACTTGTTAGCTCGGGTACCACATGTGATCCAAAAGTTATTTCAAGAAAACTGGTTGTACTCCTAGATACAGTCTTTACAGAGATCCTAAATCTGTTCGCCATGAGCAAGTGTTTGGCAGACATCTTGGAGAGCAGCCACTGTGTAGGCCGATAAAGAGGGATAGAGGGAGGAACCAAAAGAGACGTATGAATGGGGAAAACATCACAATAGGTGGTTTGCATGTAGAACGCAACATGGGAATGAGGGATCGCCGAAATCTATAGGTCTTTACTTGGCAAGTACCAATGTTGGGTGGATTGATTAGAAAGGATGTGATATTTCTGAAGCAGTATCATACACTCGCTTTCAGCAAGGAAGGCTAAAAATGGAAGCAAATTCACAGTGCTGTTTGTCTTTGTTTTGAACTCTCGACACCTCTTGTACGACACTAGCTTTTTCATCCGCAGCGCCAGCCTGGACTCCTCTCCTGGCCAGTTGATGCATCCCAGTTCAGAATCTCACGAGGCCCTTTCTGTTTCCAAAAAGCAGCCTGATTTAATCCAAATTTATCTCAGCCAGTGTGTTAGTGTTCAGCTTTCAGTGCCCCTAAAAATAGACGCAGGACAGTCAAATGAAGTGTCAGATTAATGAAACAACAGCCAGAGGATAAAAGTGGCCAAACCTGGATTACCTGCGCCACAACTGTGAAACATGGGAACCAGAATCACGAACACGAGCCAAACCAACGAAGATGTTTTTTTAACAGTAAACCTGTCAAAGAAGATTTGAAGAATGAAACCAAACACGGCGCATTAGTGTGTGTTGACAAGAGAGGCTTTGTCTGCAGACGGAGTGAATCACAGACAATACAACACTCAGAGGTGCATCAGTGTGTGTCAATGCCGTGCAGCCGGTTCCTGTCGCAACACACACACACACGCGTGCACGTCTTTAATACTCAGTGAGGACATTGTCTTGGAGGTTCTTTGTGTGGACGACCATTTAAAGAGAAGCTGGAGACAAAGTCGAAGTTAAACTATCATCAGGAGGTTTTAAAGAGTCAAAATATCACTTTAAATACAGAAAATATATTTTGTTTGGGAGGAATGTGCAAAATGTCCACATGAGCAAAAGAGTGTCCTCAAAAAGAGAGGGTTGGTCCACCGAAGTAAAAAAAAAACCATGACACAGAAACACCTCTGAGAGTTTTCACCTCAGGTCCATCATGAAATAACCCCACAGTGTCTGATACGCTCCCTGTAAGTGGCTCCTGCATTTGTGACAAACAGGCGCCACCTGCTGGTCGTGTCAATGTACAGCAGCTTCACAAATCACAGCAGGTGAAAGAGGTCCCATGTGAAGTTTGTTGAAAGCTGCTCTGTTCATGTTCTTAAAACTTCTCTCACAGCGACCTCTAGTGGCCGAATATGTAGAAGAGCATCCAACGAATAAAAAAGGAACTTTAAAACAGTAATCCATGCCTCCCATCTTGGCCTCCCTCCACTGGTTACCTGTGCATTTTAAAGTTAATTTTAAGATTCTTTTATTTGTTTTTAAATCTTTAAATGGTCTGGCTCCATCTTACCTCTCTGAGCTTCTCCACCCCTGCTCGCTCGGTGCCTCAGATCAGCTGATCAGCTGCTCCTGGAGGTACCGAGGTCCAAACTGAAGCTCAGAGGGGAGAGATCTTTTTCTGTTGCAGCCCCAAAACTATGGAACGAGCGACTCCTCCAAATTAGACAAGCCCCCACACTGTCCATTTTTAAAACTCATCTTAAAACCCGTTTCGGCTCCTGTTTTAGTGTTTTTTGGTTTGTTTTTAGTTCTTTCTTTCTATGTTTTTAAATTAGTTTTTAAAAACATTGAAACTATATTTTACTTTTTAATATCTGCTTTTATTTTATCCATTGTTTTGATTGTTTTTTTAATTGTTTATCACGTCTTTGTTGTTTTGTCTATTTATGTACAGCACTTTGTTTGGCTGTGGTTGTTTTAAAGTGCTTTACAAATAAAGTTGAGTTGAGTAAACGACAAAATGAAGCCCACAAAAATCAAATTTTTATATTGTTTTGTGAATTTGTCTTTATTCAGCTAAAATATACACAATCTGTTCAACACTTTAAGCTTACATCTTCAGAAAACAAACGATTATCTTCATGACAATCTTCAATTTCTTCATAAATGTGAGCAAAGATAAATCACAAAAGAACATTTTTTTAGTGAAAAAGGTGAATATGAAAATAAATACAGATATGACGGCTCATGAAAGCAGGACCAAAACTATAGATGCAGAAAAATTAGAACCACTGAAATTATTTTTGTGTGTGAAGTAAAAGTTTATAAAAAACTGTTTTTAAAGGAATTAGCTAAAAAAGACGCATTGTAGAAGTTAGCATGAATTCAAACAGCAAATAATCTTTCCTTTTTTTACCTCTCTGTTCATTATGTATACATTCTTGGATATAGTTTATATGTTTTACATTTGTTTGTTTGAGAGTTAGTGATTTTGATTTAACAGCCTTTATCAGGTTAAATGTTTTTCCATATACATGATCGAAGCTTAACTATATCAGATTATTTCCAAACTCCAGATGCATCAAGTCAACATTCATAATGCAAAAAAGTTAATGAGTAAATGGTTAACTTTTTAATTTAATATGCATATCAATATCAACAAGTTTCTGAGGAATACACATGGCTTCGACTGATCTTTTTTCTTAACGTCTTTTTCTATTTTTTGCGTTTTTATTCAAAAGTATCTCCGTGTGTATATTTTCACATATTTCACCTGCTGTGATGGAGACATAAATGTACATTATAGTGGCCAAAAAAATGTAAAGTTATGATGAAAACTAAAACTTTGAGGCCTTTTTCAGTTTTGAAGTTTAAGTTTCAAGGCTTTAGCTTAAAAGTGTGTACCACTGCCCCCTGGTGTTGACACATTAAAAGACTTTAAATTCAGTCTTTTATTAGCTTCAGCGTTCAAACCAGGTGAGATTTGAACTGATTTCTTTTAACATCATTAACAAAAACCTTCATGTTTTTGTTTCTTCTCTGCAACATTTCCACACACTACATTTTGTAAAAAGAAAAAACTTCATTTCACAATTTTAACTTTTTTTTTCTACATGTGTTTTCTTGAGATATGATCTCTTTGCTTCTGTAATCAAAATCTTGGTACTTTACAAATATCATTTCCAGGAAAACCCTCACAAGCAGCCTCTGACAGGAGAACATCGGAGGGAGTCCGAGGATACCTGAGTGACACCGCCTTAAAGGTGGGGTAGGCAGGATTCCGTTAAAGAAGCATCTTTTTTTGTAGTGTATTTACAAAAAAGCTTTTGATATCAGTCAATAGCGATTAGTTATTGATGACATTTGGTAATTTAACGATATCGCTGTGTTTTGTTTTGTCTTCGAAGTCAAAATTTTAAATTTTTTGAGTGGCCTGCTCTTTCTGACTGTAAACAAAGCCATTTAAGCTTTTGACAGACTTTCCCATGATTCTGACGTTTATAGTGATGCAGTCTCGTCAGGGATCCCAACTTCAACCGGACAGATGACCAGCGGCGCCATGTTCTTCCCGTTGTCGTGCAGACAGGGGTTCAGGTACGGGTACAGAGGTTCGGTGAAGTTACATCCGCTGTAAGTGTAAATATGACTCTTTGCCTCTGCGTCGTAGAAGGACACCAACCCCGCCTCATAGTCTAGAAACACGCCCACTTTCTGAGGCGTCTCGTGAAGGTGGAGGGTGACAGAAGGGCCGGCACAGGCGCTGAGGCTGCCGCCTTTCCTCCGGCAGATCGCCCAGTAACCGCTGTCAGGTCGTACGGTGATGGCCCCCTTCCTGTTGATGGACTCTCTCGCCACGCCAAGGTCCCAGTCTGTTTTATCCCCGACCTAAAACCCAATAAAGAATCATAAGACACGTTTATTAATCCAACCATGACAGTTTCGGTATTTGATTATGAATCTTTTAAACCAGCCAACCATGAGGCCCCTATAATTCAAACAGGATATACAACATATTCATGAGCTTCATGATTTCAACATATTGTACACTTAAATCATTTGACCACTAGATGGCAGTATAGTTTGTCAACATAAGCTATGGAAGCTCATGTGAAATCATTACATCAAAACAGAGAAAACAGCGTCTCAAGAGCGTTGACCACTGTGTGTACGAAGGTTAAATCAAGTTTAAGAGTCAATTTAGTTCCAGGGTATTAAGTTATACTGTAAATGACTTTATAGACTATACAGTGTTAAAACTGGCTCTATAATGTAGACAGATTATTAGTTATAATTTATAGATGAATACATGAATCTTGAGTACATGTTGAGTTTAGTCATAAAGAAAAGGTGGGGTTGAATTTTCCTTTCCAAGACCTGGTTTTGGTGTCAGAACACAACATAATAGACTTAATACTGTTTGGTATCCTTCAAGCCACAAGGGGGCGTAGAGAACCATTTAGACACAAGAGCACACTGTACAACTCTGCATTATAGTTATGTTCTATTGTTGTCCTTGGTGTTCAACTACACCAGAATTGTGTCCCAGGAGTGCGTAAGAAGGTAAAAACAGTAAACACAAATCTACTCTTAATCAATCTTAGAGCGTTTATTTTTACCTCCGCTAAGGAGGTTACGTTTTCGGTAGCGTTGGTTTGTTTGTTTGTGAGTTTGTTTGTCTGTTAGCAACTTTACGGAAAAAGTAACAGACGGAAGGACCCCGTTAAATTTTGATGGTGATCCGGACAAAATTCTGGATACTGTGATCCAGAACACACAAAAATAAGGGTGTCGTTGGAATTTTCAATGCTAAAAGTTAACCAATGGGCAGCAGAGTGGTGTAGATAGGCGGCATAGTGGTGTAGTGGTTAGCACTATCGCCTCTCAACCAGAAGGTCCTGGGTTTGAATCCCGGTCAGGGTATTTCTTGTTTTAGGAACATTATGAACAGTGAACATACCAGTTTAAACACAAATAAAAGTTAATCAAAGACACGTAACAGTTAAAGTTACAGTTATTATTATTATTATTTTTATTAAAGTTTTGGTGTGAATCACAATATAAGGGGGGACATGAGCTGCTTGGCGGAGGTCTGCGCTCTCCGAGTGCTTTTCTAGTTTCTTGTTGAGTTTAGGACTTTAGGAAATTTCCTTTCAAGCATAAATAAAAGTTTACATTAAAGGGCTTGTTGGTGGTCTTGGTGAATTAGGTTGGATTCCTCACCTGAACAACCCAGTAGCTTCTTCCTGATGTGAAGCTCTGTTTGCCAAGAACTGAGACGCAGGAGTCAAACCTGTGGGGGTCGTCTGGGACGGAGAGTCTCTGACAGCCGAGGCTTACCTGAGGATGAATGAAATCCCGATCAGAACAAGAGCACCTGATGACGTTGGTCATCAACAGAGGTTGCCAGGGCTGATATTTGGCATGTAAAATTAATCTTTATACAAATGCGCTGCTTTAGCTCTGTTGCTTGCAGTTTTACTAACTTCTAACTAGTGTCAGTATCACCTCTGGAAACCCCAAGTTGCCATGTTATTATCATATTTCATCAAGATTAACTTGTTTGTTCAGTTCAGTCTGAACAAACCTCTCCTGAACCTGCTCGAGGGCCTGAAATATGTTCTCATCCATTATAGTACTTACAATATCACCACGGTTAAACCCCATTAATGAACGTGGAAGTGAAATTCTGTGATCGTAACTTTAAGAAAGGAGGCAAATGGTATAAAAAAACAATTCTACAAATCGTGTCAAAAACCAGTCCAACAGTTTACAGTAATGTGGAAGCGAATCTCTTCTTGGATCTGATCTCAAAGATCTTTCTTCTCAACTAAGGACGGTAAACTTTTGGATAAGCTCCAGTGGAGACAAAGACACGAGCACGTTCTGTTCAAACCGATTTATGTAACTGACGTTAATGAAGGCAGTAGCTAAACGTTTTGTCACTGGAATGTCACTTTTGTGGATTTGAACGCTGAGATGGAATGGAGAATTATATAACAGTTTTTCTTGAGTACAAAACAAGCCGAGCGAAAGATGACTTGCATTTTAAGATTGGAGAAACTTGTTTGAAGTTTATTCAGAGGACAGCACTTTGACGTACATAGTTTTTTGTGTTTCATGACTGAGAGCAACCATTAGATAAAAAGAGGAAGGGAGCAGAATGTAACATAAATTGCGGCATATTGTGGGAATACAATAAGGTATCATCGGCATATCAGCGAATATCACTCGTAAAATGCCATATTAAGGCTTTTTCTATGCTGAGAGCAAGTCGTGAATAATGAGGAACAACCTGGGACCTTGTAAAGCAGACTGTAGTGCACAAAGGACAATACTAATGTAAACATAACATGGTGTCATCGGCATATAAATGGGATTTTCACTCTTTTAAACAAATTCAAACATTTTAAGAGATTTGCAAAACAACTGAAGGAGACTATAACCTAAAATTCTTATTCCAAAAAACAATGTGAAATGTTAACAAAAACAGAATCCGATGACTTGCAATTCTTTCAAACCCGATATTAATCTGAAGATTTCGGATAGACAACATACATTCACTCGTGGCGACAATACATTTCTAAAAGTTGAATTCAGGGAAAAACACAGGAGAGAACTTCCTGGTGTTTTTATCTTGTTGTCCTGATCTTGTCTGATATAGGATTTCAACTTTTTAACCTTCACAGGTGTCTTTTGTCGTGGTTTAGATTTAATGATATCCTGACCGTTTCCCCCTTTGCCTTCAGTCCATCTCAAATGAAGTTGAGTCACGTTTGTAAATGTTTTCTTGTTTTCTTCCTTGTGTGTTGCAGTTTAAACCTGATTTCTAAACGCTGATGTTAAACTCTGATTACAGATGCTGTTTTTTAAGGGATTTTAAGCAGATGCAGTGAGTTCAACTACAAAGTGATGCCCATTTTTACATAGATTTCTCCAGATTCTCACTCTTTTAATAATGATATGAACCGTTGGTATGAAATTGTTCAACTATTTGTTCACATGGTCTCTCACACAGTGTTGAACATCTTTCTGTCTTTATACCCATTCATATTACTTACCTACGACGGAGTATTGTTGTAAAGTAATCACTTACGAGAGTAAAGTCAGAATAAAGTCCTTATATCTTAACCTGCTGTTTAGAATGACAGTTGTTGAAACTAGAACCATGGAACATTTTGTGAAAGAACTTGTACTTCAATATCAGTTTCTCAAACAAGGAGATACTTAATCTTCAGGTACAACAGCACCATGTTATCATTAGTATCATAATGATTTTTATCACAACTTTATTCTCGTAAGTGTTTACTTTATAACAACTACATTCTCATAAATAAGGATTTTATTATGACTTTATTCTCGAAAGTAATGATTTAAGTATGACTTTATTCCTGTAAGTAATGACATAATCGTGACTTTTTTATTGTAATGATTTTAGTATGACTTTATTCTCAAAAGTAATGACTTTTTTACGACTTTATTCTCGTCAGTAATGACTTTATTCACGTAAATTAATGACTTTAATCTCAAAGTTTGAATTTTTTAAAACGTTGCTACTTCATAGCTTAATTTTCTTATTTTTCAACATTGTGCAACTTTTTCAGATTTTTAACTTTATTGAAAACTAGCGGTAACATCAGCTCGTGCTCAATGGTCGACATTTGAGATCTTACAGAATTCACGTTTTCATACTATTTATACTTGTTTTATACCTTTTTTCCATCCGGGGACAGAATCAGCCAGCCTGCAGCTGTTTCAGGATCCAGAGTCACATCCACTATAGAGGTCAGAAGAAAAAACAAACAGTAATTCAATTGTAATACTTGGCAGCAAACACAAGATTCACACTAGTTTCAATGTTGACATTGGTTTGAATTTCGGTTCAAATACATACCTGCATACAGGTTTAGCTGACTGGCTTCTTCAAAAGAAAAAAGAAAAACATTTTCAGTTAATTTTTTATTGAATGAAACAACTTGGAGCAACAAAAAACTAAAGTACTCGAGGGGTGGGATTTATTCACATGACACAAACGGTAGATATAAAAAAGTTGGAAAGTTGGTTCTTCTATCGCGGTTACCGACTCCACACTGGTAAAATCTAAAATCACCACAGAAACTACTGACCCTCAACTGACAGATTGTTCTCCAGGTTATTGCAGACATCCGCCAGCTTGGAGAAAGCGGTCCTCACTATCCCAAAGAAGTCCTCTGACTGGACTTTGACGTTGGACCAGTTCCTTGTCCCCGTTGGACAACTCAAAGAGGAGAAACTCTGTAAAGAAGAAACTCTGTTACATATATGTAAGATTTGATGAATTTAGTACCCTGACAGGACGGAGAGCAACACGATCTTACTTGTATGAGGTGTAGCGGTTCATCCGTTTGCTCCAGATGTTGCAGCTCGGTGCGTTTGATCTGCAGTTCGTTGATCTCCTTCTCCAGCTCTTTCAGCAGCTCTTCAGCGTTCCTCTCGGCCACGTCGTGCTTCTCCTCAATGTCTTTGACGAGCAACGCCTGGTTTGACTCAATGGTGCTTATCACCATTGTGGCGACCTGAACACTTTTCTGAATCTCTCTTTCTTTGTTTACCTGAAGAAATACAATATTTCCAGAGGTTAGAGAGCCAGGTAACACAAATCTGGATACAGTGTTGGAAAGCACAACCAAAAATCCAAATACTTCACTTACCTTGCCCAGGTCCACTGAGGCCTTGATCTCGTCAAACTTCCTCAGTCTGGCGTGGATCATCTGTTCAAAGTCCGCGTTGATCCTCCTCATCTGAGACTGTGAAAGCAGGACAAAAAAAGTCGTCAAAATACGTACGGCGCATTTCAGACATTTGTGTTCGTCAAACCGAACTCCTCTCCTTACCCTGATCTTCCTGGTTGCTTTCTCCAGAGGAACAACTTTGTGGTGTCCGTGGTCCATCTCTACGCATTTCACACAAACGGCTATCTGCTCTCTCTCGCAGAACATATCCAGGACCATGTTGTGGTTTTTGCAGAGGTGGCTGGTGATGAAGGTGGTGGGGTCGGCCAGCGTGTGCTTGATCATCTTCTCATCCCTCAGGTGGGGCGTCAGGTGAACTTCACAGTACGACTCCTGGCAGACGAGGCACGACTTGACTGCTGTTATGTGGTTGTTCTGGCACACGTCGCAGGGAACTTCCTCGGCCTTGGAGAGCTGTTTTTGGATAGGTCTCTTTCTCGGAGGGATCTTGTAATTTGGCTTGTCCTTCAAAGACCTTTCCATGAAGAAAAACTCGGGTTAATCTTTGTCAAATAAGTATCTTCTATAAAAAAATAGTGATGAAACGTCAACAAACCTCTTGAATCCTTCGGTAATTTCCTTCAAGCCTAGGTTGATTCTGAGTTCTGGCCTGATTTTGAAGGCCTCTTTGCAGAGCGGGCAATCCGACTTATGCCTTGAATCCCAGAAGCGTTTGATGCATCTCAGGCAGAAATTATGGCCACATGGGATGGAGACCGGGTTTTTGAAGATGTCCAGACAGATGCTGCACCGAAACTGTTCCTCAGACAGCGCAAGAGCCATGTTTCTGTCTAAAGAACAACACCATTTCACTCTTACATTCATACGAAAATGTCAAAAATTTACCGGGGTGGTGTTGTCTGGAATTGCTAAGTGGTAGAATAAGACCCATTTGACTTATAATATGGAAAATTACCTGAATCATCAAGATAGTCAAGAAGATCAAGTGTTAAACTGAATAGCCAACATTACAAGTTTTTTTTTATATGCAAATGACATTTTATTATGTGTTAAATGTGCAAAAATCTAAATGAGTTAGTGCTTATTCAACGTCGTCTTCTATTCTTGCTTTGGACGCAGTAGTTGAAAATAATCAGTCTCACAGTATTCATGATTGATTCCCGCTTTAAACACTGAGTTTACAAACTATTCGCTGGAGTCCAAATTCATTCAACAAACCCACCAACAAGAACAAAACAATAAACCAAAATCAGTACAGAAGAAAAAACAACAGGAATAATGTTTGACAACTATTTCGAAATGTCTTTATATGCAGACGACAGTTTTCTATACGTGTTAAATATACAAATTATACATTTGGTTCAACTTAGTTAGTCCATCTCTGATAATTGACTTATTTTTTTCATAGTTCTCTAACCATTCAACTAGATTCAAGCACATCCTTTGCATTTATTAAAGGATAGTAGTAAAGATGCTTTAATTACACTGACAAAGATTTCAGACATAAACTTAGTGAACTAACACATCTTTCCAAATGTTTCATCTTTTTAAATTTCTTTTCACTATAATTGCATGCTTGTTTTATTTTCAATGGTTTTTATACATTTTTTTTAAAAACAAATTGATGTTTAATTTTTTGCACAGTTTGTGAAATAACTCTTTCATAAATCAACCACCTTAAGGTTGATCACCTTTTCATCTGAATGACAGATTTGACAGACTTGGGTCTTGGTGAAGAACCATAACAAGTTGAGACCTATTAAAAAGTATTAACGTAAGGTGACTGTCGCACATGTTGATTAAATTAGGGATAGTCGACAGAACAGTAAATTGGCTGTAATTCTGCTTTAATTATCCACTTAACTTGATCGTCTTTTGATGATTAAAACTATTTATATTCTCCAAAACTCACAGAGACAGATGCTTTTTTGATGTTTTGGTTTGTTTGTATTTTTTTTCTATGTTATCAGTGTGTCATTCATTCACGGCTCATAACCCCCGAATCTACACTGGTACTCTCACACATTAGCAACCGATTCACCTGTTCATGTGAAAGAGCTTTTCACCAGATAAGATGATTAAATCTCTGCTGTCACGAGAGTCCTGATTATTTGTTAAGATATATTTGTTGACATGAGTTGAAAGAATGTAGCCGTACAGGTGAAATCAGAGATGCGGCAGAGTTATGGGATGTTTTTGACACGTGAACACAGAAATGTCCGAGGTGTGTGGTTGGCTCAGGTCAAAACATTGAGGCTTTAACTCAGTCCAAACTATGATATGTCCTCACATGTATAACATTGAAGTATGAAAGCCTAAACTCGACCATGCTAGTAGGTTTAATAGTTGTTAACCATGTTTGTTTACATTCTGCTCATGTGTACGTAGTAAAATAACTTTGTAAATTTGGTACCAGATTAAACGTTTAAGTGCTGGAATGACTGGAACAAAAAAGTGACTTTTATATCTACTACCAGTTTGCGCTACACTAACAAAATGGAGTTCAACACAGCCAAATCTTTGCTTTAGCTTTTATTGTATATTTTCCATACAAGTTGAATTTGACTGCTCTCAAAAGTGGCAAATGTACCTCTAAAATTCCCATCTCTCAATTTCACAGCCATATATTTAACATCCTATTCTTTACTTTAGTGTCCTTCACTGGCTACGATAGTAAATAATGTCTTACCTGGGTTGACAGCCAGAGACCAACAAACAGAACTGTCGTCAGCAGGCAAATGAACTGAGTCAAGACAACTTCCTCAAATATGTGAGCGCCTAGGACATCCCAGAGAGTGTAACTGGTAAATCTGGTCCTCCCTCTTCGTCTCTGAGAGTACAATTAAAGTCTTTAACTTTAGGTGTTTCTACTATCGGTTGTTTTTGATGGGTTACCTCCAGGAAACTTTCAGACCCGCCTACAAGCTGCATTTGAAGTATAACTCAGAATTTTGGAAAAGTTGATGATTATTGTGACCGTCTTTGTTCTGTGCAGGTATCACAAGTGCTTTTGTTAGATTTGCAAATTTGCAATCTGCTCAGCCAAAAGTTTTCATTATGGAATCGCTAGTTGTAACACCTGTAGATATTAAACATTTACTTAACTCTGACATCACTTTGTGAGAGATGATTAATTATTGTTTAAGCATTGTGTGGGTTTCGTAAGAAGCTGTGGCTGGTTTGATGCTGTATTTGCAGTTTCAAAGTTCAAGTGTAAAGTAAATTCTTTATTGTTATTAAATAGAATAACATTTTTAAGCCGTTCTTTGGACAATCAGTCTTTACTCACCAAGCTGACCGTGATTTAAACGTGACCGCGAGGGAAGAAGAGGGGCAAAAGTGGTTATTAAGCGGCTACAATTCAAAAAAACAATGAAAAGAATAGGTAGAAAATATTCTGATGTGTAATAAGCTCGTCTATTGGTGCATTCATAATTTGTGTACTTTCAAGCCTCTGTGAAGGTGTGTATCTCAAATAAGTACACAACCAATGGACAAGCAAGCTAATCCTTGATTTGCAGATACAAGTGGTTCCCGATTGTTCCTGCAGATCTTCCATCTCATCTTTATGTAAGGCCAGTCATTAGCGTTTATATAATTCTGGGTGGGTCGTACCTCTTTCTAGGGATCTGAGTAAACATCCAATATGGCGGATGGATTCTGACTGTGCCAGGTTGTTTGATGTTAGTAAGTGGACATCGTTGAACTGGGTTAGCCTACCACCGTGTTGCATAATCCATAACTTGAATTCTATTTTTGTTGCGCTAACCCATATGGAGATGCCCAGCCAGCAAACAGGATCAGTGTCTTCAGATGCAACCCGGTGCCAGCAGCGGTTCTCATCTGAGAAACCGCTTTTAATCGAAGTCAAACAAAGATGCAGTGCAATCATGAGAAACGGCTTCATCCATCTTTTGGCAGCTTTCTGTCCTTGTTTAAGGTCGGTCATGGCTTAAGTCCCATTCTCCACCCTCTTCATTATTGGCCTGTAAAGCTCGTCAGACGTCCTGCACCACCCTTGCTTAATTCTCAAGTCTTTATTTCGGCTCATGTCAATAATAAGTGTTCAGTCAGAGCTTCACAGTGGGATTTAAAGTTATTTAGAACATATATCAGTCCAATGTGTTGCTTCTGGGTCCAAGTATACCATCAGAAAGTTCGTCTAACAATAGTAGACAAGATGGCCGTACCACACTCTTCATTTCAACACCATTTAATTACAACGCATAGAAGCTTGTCAGCTGTAGGCGTTTCTTTCATATTACCTCAGATTCATGATTCATTGGCACACAGGCTTGTTGACAGTGTCAAATATAGATGCCAAAAGCTCTTGGGCTCAGCTGTTAGTCTTGGCAGTCAATGAATACCGTCCTGACAATCTTAAGAGAGTTCATTCGATTAATGAGTATCTTCTCCTGCACAGTCTATGTAATTGGGTGGAGTACATGTTGGCGAACTGGAATATAACTTTTACGACATGTGACTGCCGCAGATGTTTTAATTATTATCGCTGTCACTCTGTTAACTGTAATTCTAAAAGACAAGTTTTTGCCGTCTAATGACACTTAAAGCCTCAAGATGAGGCGTTGTACTGTTTTACCAGCTACTACAACAAAGGAGGAGTATTTGTGGTAAGTCGTAAAATATTGTGATATTACATCATAAAATTTTAATTGTGTATATCAACCACTTAGAATATCTGAATGAGCATAAAATTCACCTGTCAGCCAATCGGCTACGGGCCCACAAAGCATTCCCTCTAAAAGTTCTTAAGGGGCCTAAAACCTTCCAAAACATGAATACCTCATTGGCAATTGGCCCCAAACCTTCCAAAGTCCAATACCTCAGTGGGCCCAAAACCTTCCAAAGTCCACTTCCTTCAGTACCTCAGTGGGCCAAAAATCTTCCAAAGTCCAGTACCTCAGTGGACCCAAAACCTTGCTGAAATTCAGTCCTCCAAATGGGCCTTGCAGGATCATATATTTTAATTGGCCTCAAATCCTTTCAGAAATTTTTTACCTCATCGACCCAAAACCTTTCAGAAACCAAAAACTTCAAAACCTTATTAAAGTATTTTACCCCATGGAACCCAGACCTCAATGGGCCCAAAACCTTACGGATGTCCAATCCCTTAATGGGCACAAAACCTCTAGAATCAAATACTGTAATGAGCCCCAAACCTAATACAAGTCCTTTACCCCACAAACCCCAAACCTTTCAAAAAAAACCCAAACCTCAATGGGCCAAAAACCTTCCTGACATCCAGTCCCTCAATGGGCCCAAAACCTTCCTAATGTCTTTGTCCAAAATGGGCACAAAAACTTTCCCAAGTCCAATTGTTCTATGTTTTCAAATCTACTGACGATCCCGTTCTCCCAGTTGTCTAGTTTCTTTTGTGGCCCTAACATCCACCAGTGGTCCAGTTCCCAAATGGTTTCAGAAGCACTAATGTTCTGGATCAACTACATCGGGAGACCTTTAAGACCTGGACCTCAAACTCTGATGAAAGTAACAAAAACACTAGTTTGTACGTACTGTTCTGTTTGAGCTGGTTTCAAGGACGACAGGGAACCCATATAATTTGTTTGAGTTTGAACACTGATGAGTCACTTTCCTTTTTCAGTGACTAACAAAGAAGTTCGGTTAATAAATGACAACCTGCTAGCGGCAGCCACGTGCACTAGAGATGAAATCAAATCTATCAGTTAATCTTTGAAAATGGGATTCAAGAAAACTTTGTGTTTGTATACGATCAGCGCACATTTCAGTCCTAACACACTCCAGTCCTTAATAATGAGATCAACACCTCTTCAGACATCTCATTTGGCAGCTTGCAGGTCTCTGCAGTACCACACCCAGTGTTTAACACTGGCGTACACAGAGTCTGACTTTGATTAAAATCAAGAACTCCAGTCAAGTCGAAAGAAATGTTAATCCGACCCAACAAAACTTCCATCGATTCAAATAATGCAGCCTTTGTCCTGTAGGAAACACAAAAGACAGTCTACCACGGCTCTAAAGCAGTTATAGGAGGAACAATGACTGAACCATGAGTCATTTATAGCCTTATAAAAACTGTCTCTGTTCTATAGGAAAGCTGATATTTCCTGAAATGAGACTCTTTTTAATCAGCGAACACAACCTGAGACATGAGTGTACGGTTTATATGTCCTGGATTGGTTTTTCAGGAATATTGCGAAACAATCTAAAACCACCGTGAATTGGATAATTATTGAATTAAATGGACAATATCATGATTATTTAACTTAATAAATATATTTGCCAGCTGGGTGACAAACTAGTTAAGGTGTTAATTAAGTCAAATTGTGTTTTCTTTTCTATTTTGTCTGCGTGGTCCTACTTGTCTGGCCTTTTGTTTTCGGTTGTAAACATGAGTCATCTCAATTAAGAGTTGTACTATAAAAAAGTGAAAGCTGACGAGATGATAGTCATCCACATTAATAGATGTTCAGATCACATCCTGGACTATGCCTGGTCAAGGTTTACAAATAAAGAACAAGATCACTGAATCAAAGAGCTGTCCAGGAAAAGTCTTAAGTTCGTAGACCGAAAATCTCTTTCAGCTCTTACAGAATTCAGATATCGGCGAACGGTGCCATTTAAACTGTATTGGAGCTTCATTAGTGTAAATTTTAATAAAATCAGAGTGTTTGAATGTAACAAAAGGATGTGCAGAAATCCAGTGATATATTTAGGTAATAATCCTTTGAATTAAGTACAAAATGAGACTAAAAACCTTCAAAAACATGAATACCTCATTGACAATTGGCCCAAAACCTTCCAAAAGTCCTCTACCCCCTATACCTCATTGGACCCCAATCCTTCTGAAGTCCAATACCTGAGTAGGCCCAAAACCTTCCAAAGTAAAGTACCTCAGTGGGCCAAAACCTTCCAAAAGTCCACTTCCTCCAGTACCTCAGTGGGCAAAAAACCTTAAGTCCATTACCTGAGTGGGCTCAAAAACCTTCCAAAAGTCCACTACCCCCTGTTCCTCATTGGATCCCAAACCATCTAAAGTCCAATACCACAGTGGGCCCAAAACCTTCCAAAGTCCAACACCACAGTGGGCCCAAAACCTTCCAAAGTCCAATACCACAGTGGGCCTAAAACTTTCCAAAGTCCACTTCCTCCAATACTTCAATGGGTCCAAATCCTTCCAAAGTCCAATACCTAAGTGGGCCCAAATCCCTCCAAATTCTGCTACCTCCAGTACCTCAGTTGGCCCAAAACCTCGCTGAAATTCAGTCCTCCAAATGCATCCAAAACCTTGCAGCATCATATGTTTTAATTGGCCTTAGAGTACATAATGCAATAGAAGACCATTATATTTCCCTCTTTTGAGTTGACGCACATCGCCGCCAAGCAGCTACAATGTCATGTTTAATTCTGTAGCCTACTTCCACAACCACCGCTCCTCCGCTCTTTAAATGAGACAGTAAATTAAATTATAGCCATTGGCTCAATGATGGTGGCCTACTTGTCTTAATTATACACCAAGTGCACAGTGTTAATTACGGTTGTGGGTCAGATCTCCCGCTCTAAACCTACAGCTCCTTTTCTCTCCTCGTCTGTTTGTGTTTATCTTCCATTCCTGTTGGGTTTTCGTCCTTGAATATCGGACTCCAGTCTTGCAGGTTTCTTTAGGCTGCCAAGATCCTCTGCTTGAGCTACTTCGGTCAAACCTCAGCAATAAAAACTGTTAGTCATAATTATGTAACTTTTATTATTGTCACTGCTTTGTCATACTGTCACTCCAATGTTATTGTCTTTAGTTTTATAGCCTTCATTGTATCGTAGTTTTTGGAGTCATCGTCTGTTCATCTCCACTCCAGTCTGTTTTCTGTTTCCTGCAGTTTCAGCTTGTTGACATGAAGCTTTTTTCTGCCGAGCTCTTCCTCGTGAAAGGAGGAAGTTTGTCGTCTGTCATCAGTATCTCAACCAAGATAACAGGAAAAAAACAAGAGGTTAAAAATAAGGTGAATGCACGACCTCAAACTTGATCTGATAAAATAAAGCCAGTGTTCTCAGGTGCAAAAACAGCTCTGCCGTTTACTTCACTGCCACTTTGTGGAGAATTAAGTGCATTGCAGCAGATATTCCACATCAATGCAGTTCATCTATCTCAGTAATTTGCCACCTGAGTAAAACGGTTAAAATAGAATATAGAGGTTACTCTTTATAGTGGTTTAACACATATTTGGTGTAGTGCAGAAAAAGTAGTGGTATGTTGTGTATTAGGTGTTTTTTTAATCTTTTCACAAATGTATAAAAAAGACACAAATATAAGACACACTTTATTAAAGCTGACGACGACAGTAAATTAGTAAAATTCGTAAAACAAAGAGTCAAACCCTGTTTTCATTTTTAACTTTTTAACACCATATATGACTTTTAGAAATAAAAAAGTAGATCAATATGATGAGAAGTTTTACTTTTAGATATAAACAAAAATTTAAAGCATGTAAGATACAGAAAAAAACATTTAGGAAATTTGCATAGACAACTTCTCTCCACTTACAGGCATTAAAAATTGTTGCTAATTACCTTTTTAATTTTGAATATCATAAAGCTTTAATATGAATTTCAGTATATTTCATAAATATAACAAACTCTTTATAGGTGCTTTAATTCTCAGCATGTGTTAAAATTAACTTTTACCGTGAGCATCAATTAGACCCTTTCACTGCAGTAAAATCAATACGACTTTCTGTTAATTATGAACAAAATGAACAATTTCACTATAACAAAAAAACTGTCTATTGCTGAACTGATCTGTTTACCAGTTGAACTGTCACACAAAAAGACCAAAAATCAAATAAAATAGATGTACATACTTCACTCACAACACCTGAATATGTTAACCGACATTTCTGTGTATTGATGGTAAAAACAGATCTACTTTCTTTGTGGCACAAATATAGTTTTAAATTTCAACAACCAATTCACAGCAACAACAGAGACAGTTTGGTTAATGTCAGTAAAAAAAAAAAAAAATTATATATATATATATATATATATATATATATATATATTACATCAATGACATTTGTGTCCCTGAAGGGTCTGGGTCAGTTTTTACTTCATCAGCTTTCTTCTTTGTTTTGGTGAAGATCAGGTTGTTCGACTTCTTCATAAAGGAAACTTTGAAATCCTGTGTGATTCCGGCCGCTTCAAAATTTTCCTTAACCTGAAAAGATTATGTTTGAATCAATAAAAATAAGATAAATTCCATTTTTGAAAATGTATATGTATTCTCAAAGACATCATGTTTCTTTAGACAAAATCAGAAAATCGTGGTCTCAACAGCGCCCCCTAAATCCCCTAAATGGCTTCAACCTCAAATATGGAATTGACCAGATATTTGTACATACTAAATTCCTCTCAAAACAGTTGAAAGTTGAAAATGTATTAAAGGGTTTTCTGAAGTAGCTTTAACTCTTCCATAAAGTTTTCAGTCAGTTTGATATTTCATTGACATAACTTGATTCCACCTCTTAATATACCCATATGCATAATTTTCATCTATATTATAGCGCCCCCAGTGGAAATGAAAGGTACTAACTTTCACATGCAATGTTCAATCTGCACTGAATTTCACAGGTGTGATGGTGTAAAGCAGAATCATCGCTGCAACAGTACCTGAAAAGGCATTGGCCTGAAAATTTTTAGTTGAACCGTCTCCCCAATAAAAACTACAAATATTAGCTAGACTTCAAAATAAAAAATAAAAAACTAAACTCATTTTTTTCATCTTTGCTTTGACCCCTCTCCACATTCCCTCTTCTTTTTACCTCTGGTGATATATATCCCAAAGCCTTTGAAAAGGAAATCCAATTTACAGCATTTGCGCAAGGTACTTTACCGTATGCCACCAAACGAAAATAAGGCAAAACTCGGCAAGCAAAACATAGAATGAGCATGAAAGAAGAGAACCGTTTCAAGTCTGCTCGAATTTAATTACACTTACAGCGCTTGTAAAACACTCAGAAGTACAAAGACCTGAATACAACCTCATGTTTGTTGATGATTACCTGGTTTAAGATGGCTTCAGTCACAGCAGGGTCATTGAGGTCGATTGTGGATTTATGGGCGGTCATCTTGATGCGAAAGATCTGCTTTTTATCTAGTGTAAATGAAAGAAAATTAACACTATAGGAGATAAGTCATCAACTCTTTTTCATCATGTATTGACTCAAAATTGGTCCAGAGATAGAAATAACTTACTGTTGTGGCAAACAAAAGGAAGTTCTTCGAGGCAGTGTGTCTCCACCCACTCTCCTGCGTGGTTGGTGTCAAACACGCTGGCGCCACAGCGCTCCGAAACATTTTTCGGGTGTCCTTGTACCCAGTTTTCAAAGTTGCTGTTGTCACCTGCCCACAGACTCCAAGTGTTTCTGTAGAGGCCGATCCAGATGGACCTGTCATCTCCTACTAACTGCTGGATCTCATAGTTCTCATCGTCTTTCCTCACGCTGGCCAGATCTGTGTGATTCGTCCGGCAGTACACCTTTGCATCCTGCCAAGACTTGGCTTGGTCAATCAAGACGTATTGCTGAGAAATATTGGTAGTTGAGTCTGAAAAACAATGCAAATTTATCTATTTATTTATCTTTTTGCTGTACCTTCCTCTTTACGAATTAACCGACCCCAAACAATCTTCTACTTACATGTTATGTTCTCGTCATAGCAGACAAAGGGGAATGTTGAGTTGCAGTTCAAATCATACCAGGTTCCTTGTTGGAAACTGACGCAGACTCTTCCACGTGTGCGCGTGTTGTCTGGTTGACCTTGGCGCCACCTGGTAAATTTATATTCCCCAGGTCCATAGAAGTCTGGATTATGAAGAGCCCATTTCCATCTTGAGTTGCCATCATTCAGGCCAAACCAGACTTTACCCATAAAACCATGACCGACAGCTTCCCTGAACAGCCTCATGTCCTCCACGTTGTCGATGGTGGCCAGTGCTGAGTACGTATCCCTGCAGTACAGTTTGGCGCCTCTCCAAGACATTGGTTCTCCGATAAAGTGGTATTCATGGAGGCATAAGCAGAGCCCTGTTAGCAAAGTGACAGAGGCAAGATGGAAAAGTAGAGAAGCATATTGGTGTTGTTTTTTTTTTCCACATCTGTCTAAAACTGTTTCAGGACACTGAAAAATAGTAATATTTCATCTCTGTTAACATTAACATGCAAGAAATGAGGACAACTAATTGAAGCAAAACAAGGGTGACCATATTCTGTCTTCCAAAAAATAGGACACGACTACGCAGGGGTGGAGTCACAGAATCAAACTAAGCTAATTTTGAGAGTTTTTTGAGTTGGATCGGGTGTCTTCTACACGCTTCTGACTCGGCAAGTCCACGTGACACAAACTCGAAACTTAAGTACAAAACCGCGTACATTTGAAGAATTTTATAAACTTCCCCGGACAAACCCGGACAGCCCAGAGAGCCCCCCAAAAAGAGGACAGGTCTGGGTAAAAGAGGACGTATGGTCACCCTAAGCAAAACAGAGAAATGTTTTGCATACTTGAGTAAATTCAATAAACAAACCAGTAACGAAAATCAAGATGCACCCAAGAAAGAATTTGCATACTCTTCTTCACGTTTTCGAGCATTTGGGTTAGAATGTGCGTCATATTTGAATGTAAATTTGATAACCAAACAATGTTAAATCAGTGAGTAAGCTAGTTATGGTTTTGTTTTAGTTACATCTACTTTTTTTCTGCTTGTTTTAGTTTTGGTCAATTTTTATTTGATGAAAATTCAGAATGTTATACCTCAGGTTTGGAATATTGAAAGCTACTTCATTTTGTATCTTCCCATCTTGAAACTTATTTAACTAGTTGTCTTAGTCTTTATCATCATGGGTGTATTTTTGGCTTGTCTTAGTCTCATCGTTGTCATGAACTATTGAGCATACAAATTTTGCTCATGAAAAAGTTGAAATTCTGAATGAAAACAATTTTTTTTATTAGTGTACTTATACTGGCTGTAGTTTAATGTCCACAAACTGTAAGTTAATATCAGAATTTTAACTATCACTCTACCTTCCATTAAAATCTGCACATGCATCTTTATTTCTGTGACAAATGTGGTAATGCATGAACAAAAGTGTGTTTTTAAGCTTTGTAGAAAACATAATTCAATATATGTAGGGGTACAAACTGACCTGAAAAAAGCAGTATATACCACATGGCCCCTCTTATACCTGATGAGAGAAAAACACTCTTAATAAAACAGACATTTTTAAAAATTAGCCCTAAACTTAAATATTTTTCAACCAATCTACTCTCGTTTTTAAGAATAATAGGGCTCTTCATTTTTCCTCTGATCGATAAATCAAATATATTTCATACCTGGACATGATGTTGTCTTCTTTAAATTGTCCTCACCAAATTTTGCCCACATTTTACAAACTGCACAAAAAGTCCCAACTCCACTTTTTAATCCCTCCTTCTAAATCTTTTCCTTATATCCTCTCTTGAGAGCAAATATTCATAGAAGGTATGCAAAGCGTCAACCATCCCAACTCTGTCTCTTCTGAGACGTGTAATATGAACTCCTACGCATCCTTTTGAGACAGCAGAAATTTAAGGTTATGTGATATTTAAATTTCAAGAATCAAAACATAAAATCAATTTAAACAACAAAAATAAATTCTGCTGACTTATGTGGTTATTTAGGAATTAAAAGCAGTTATTTGGCATTCATAGATTTGGGTTTTTAAAAGATGTTGTGGAGCAAAATGAACTAAAACCAATAGTTTCTCAGTGGAGCTTTAACTGAGTCTCAGCCAAATGTAATGGCAAAGCTATTAAAGTCGAGCTAACTGTTTCACCTCCATTGTTGTATGGATGGTTTACGAAATGTTCCTTGCGGGCTTGTGTCGAGTGCAGACATGCAAACCAGATGTAAAGCCACATGGACGCAACTGATGCAAATAAAATGCTAAGATGAGGTGAGATGCAGGCGCTGGTTTGGCTAAACAAATGCACATTTGGCATAAAATCAAGACATGGGCACTGATAACAGTAGGCTGCTTACCTTTTAATATTAAATCTTTTTTAGATGAAAATAAAACATCAGAAGGAAGCGTATCAGATATTAAAGCTAATAAATTCAGCTATATCATACACGTTTTTCAGTATTTATTGGACTACTTTTGGTGGTGGATCCACACAGATTTGGAGCACTATTGTCCACAGGATATCATGTATTAGAAAGTTACTAAATTGAAAAATCTTTTTTGAAAAGTTGAGAAATATCTCTTTTTTTTTTTTAATTAGATTTGTTAAAAAGGAAAGAAAATTGATAAAACAATCACAGCAGTATATTTTCAAAGTATAGATACCAGTCACTTTCAAAAATAACAACAGGGCCTGTTTTAGTCTTTTAACACTTTAATAGTTACATGTCAAAATCACACAGAAACTACATTACATGTCAAATTACATCAAGTAAACTAATATGCTGATAAATTATGATTATGGTTATATTTTTATCATGTAAGAAAAAGCACATCACATGAATTTGCTTTATTTTTCCTGTAAAGACTGGTGCCAAACATTCAGTTTAAGCATTGTTAACACAACTACATTATTGAAAACAGCAAATTGATCAAACCGCATACCATAAACATACAGACACCACCATTAAAAATGATATTCAAAGATTTAATGAACTTTATCCATGCAATCTCAACATCAAACCTATTCACCTCACTAATATATATTGTAAACACCCACTGTTATCTTTCAACATGCCAAGACTAGATATATATTTTTAAAAAGATACAGATAACATGCAGCCAAAAAACAACAACAAAAAAACAATAAAATCCCTTTTTCTTATTTTCTACTTATTGTAATTTTGAGTTTACAGTCAGAGTTCTGACTTTTATCATAAAAATGCTGGATTCTAGGATTAAATTCAGAATTCTTAAGGTTTGTTTTTTTCACAAAGTTGTGATTCTTTTGTCAATACTCTAGGGTTCGAGTCACTATTCTTTTTTAAATGCTGACATCATTCTTAGAATATTAAGTTTGAATCAGAATTATGATTTTTCTCTTAACTGTTTTGTTTTTTTTTAAATCTTAATATTCCAACTTTTGTCCTAGAATTCTAACTTTGGGGTAAGGTTGGAATTTTTAAACAAAATTCGGACATAAGTCTCAGAATTCAGAGTTTAAAGTTTTTATTCAGATAGTCATAATATTGACTTTGAACTTGGAATGCCAAGTAAAAAATTTCAACTGAATTTTTGGATTTTAAAATTTTTTGGTGATATAAGCCCAATAAAACATGATATATTGGTCATATTGACTGAGACCTTATAGAGCAGGAACGTTATAGCCTGTAACATTCAAGGTCCATCTTCACTTCATCGGCTTTCTTCTTTGCTTTGCTGAAGACCTTTTCATCCGACTTCTTGATCCAGGAAATTTTCAGATCTCTTGTGATCCCCATCTCCTCCATTTTCTCCTTAATCTGGAAAAAAAAATTCCTCTGATGACAAAAAATTAATACAAATATTACTGTAACTTCAACTATAAATGCACCCCCATTGTTTTTGTTTAAAAATCGTAATTATAAAGTTAGCTATATTCATTATAAATTAACATCAGGTTACGAGAAATATTATTAATTATCTTTTGTAATCTCCCTCCACTTCTGCGACCCCCTCAATGCTCAGTTGTTGTCCGTGAAAAAAATTACGTTTTTATTCAATTAATTGTGGATAAAGTCGGGTTTGTGCAGCCCTTGGCTCCTTGAAAAATGTGACTCAGAAGGACAATCAAGTTTATCGTTTCATTAGGGTGACCATATTCTGACTTTCCAAAAAGAGCACACGACTACACCGGGGTGGAGTCACAGAGTCGCACCAAGCTGATTTTGAGAGTTTTTCGGGTCGGATCGAGTGTCTTTCACACACTTCTAACTCAGTAAGTCCATGTGACACAAACTCAAAACTTATGTTCAAACCAGGGGAGAACCGCCATTCCGACATCCCGCCATTCCGACATTGGTCTCTAATTGTCGGAGTGGCGGTATGTTACCATGCTATCAAAATGTTCCGTCGTATGTGTGTTGATGATTACCTGGTGTAGGATGGCCTCATTCACAGCGGGTTGATTGAGATCAGCTGTAGTTTCCGACTTCGTGATCTTGATACGAAAGATCTGCTTCTTTTCGAGTGACGGCGCAAGAATTCGCAACCCTGTGAGGGATCAGTATACATAGCTGTTTCATTGTAAGATTGGCACAAATTTGGTCAGAATGGTTCAGAGATAAAAATGACTTACCGCCATGGCAAACAAAAGGAAATGCTTCCCCACAGTGTGCTTCAACCCACTGTCCCGAGTGTTTAGCGTCAAACAGGCTGGTAGCGCAGCCCTCGGATCGATTTTTTGGGTGTCCTTGTACCCAGTTCATGAAGTCACTATTATCGCCTGCCCAATTGTTCCAAGCATATCTGTAGAAGCCTATCCAGACAGACCGGTCATCTCCTACTACGTCCTGGACCTCCGTGTTCTCACTGTCGTTCTTTATAATTGCCAGATCCACGTGGTTACTCCTGCAGTAGGTCCTAGCGTCCTTCCAACTTGAATTGTTTTCACTCAAGACATACTTGGGAGAGACAATGGAAGACAAACCTGAAATAAGAAATTTAAAGCAGAGTTCTTTGATTTTTGAGGAATATATGTTTTGTACAAAAAATACACCCCTGACTTCGTTATTGGATGGAGCTTATAGTGTGAAGTGTCAATTTTGGCGCCCCCTGTAGATAATCTTGTGCGTACTATCTTAGGATTGTTTTTAGTGTTTTAAATCAAAATACTTTATCCCTCATTTTGCTAACAAAAACAAATGTTTACTCACTAGTTTGGCTGTTGTAGCAGACAAACTGTTGTTCTACATGGCACTGTACGTCACGCCAGGTTCCTTGTCGGAAAGCGACACATATTTTCTTGTTTGCTAGTATGATGTTTGGTTCGCCTTGGCTCCACTTGGTAAATTGGTCCTCCTCGTCTTCAGGGGAGCCTGGTTTTATGTCAGACCTTTTCCATTTTACGCGGTCATACAAGCCGAACCACACCTGCCCCTTGAAGCCACTACCGACAGCTGCCCTCACGCGCGTCACGTCCTCCGTGTTGTCGATGGTGGCCAGTTCCTCGTACTTCCCCCTGCAGTAGTCTCTAGCTTGATTCCAAGACTTTGGTTCATCAATGAAGTGGTATTCGTAGAAGCATGAGCACAGTGCTGTAAACAAAGGCACACAGTTACATTAGAAAAGTAGGTCCTTGGTGTGTTTATATTTTGTCCACAAAACCATCAAACCCTCACATTTGAAGGAATCGCTTCACATTAAGGTATGTTGCCATGGCAGCACTTCAAACTTTGACGTCACCATGAAACAGGAAGGTTTGCTGCGTTCCAGTTACCTCGGAAGTCGGAGCTGGGAATGATGTTACACCCGAGTTGACGGAGTTCCAGTAAGCAATATTTTTTTTGTAGGACGGTAGGGGAAAGTCCCGCCTCCTTCGCCTCTGATTGGCTAGAAAAGCTGGAAACATCATCACGCGCTCAAGCCAAACGCGGGCTGTCGGCTCTGTACATCGAACAGAACATTATCGCACTTCTGAACCCGCCTAACCCTAACTTGACAGATGATGACGTTTCACATTCATTCGGAATAACCAATCAGAACCCAGCACTTCTAGCCAATCAGAGGCAAAGGAGGGTGGGACCTTCCCCTACCACCCTACCAAAAAAAAAATTTGCTTCACAAGTCGGAAAACCAAGATGGACGCCCACTGTTAGCTGTTGTTTACAATTGTCAGCTGTTAGTTGTTTTTAGCTATACCAGCAAATAACTCTGTATTTTACTCTTACAAACACCATAGCACCGTGTTCACAGTTAGACGTTGGGCAGTACAACATAAACCACTTACTTAATTTCACAAAAACAAAACAGAAGTGCTAATAAATGAAACATTACGCGAACTTTCACTGTAGACATATAGAAACGAGCAACCATCCACGCTCACATCTACAAGCAAATTGAAAGTGGCCAGTTAACCTAACCCCACTTCTGCATGTTTTTGGGATGTAGAAGGAAACTGGAGTACCCGGAGTAAACCCACACTGACACAGGGAGAACATGCAAACTCCACACAGACATGCCCTGACCCGGATTAGAACCCCTGACCTTCTTGCTGTGAGGTGACAGTGCTAACCACTACACCACTGTGCCGCCCATTGGTTATCTTTCAGCATTGAAAGTTCCAACGACACCCTTATTTTTGTTGCGAACCTTGGAAATTCCAACTTCGGAGTACAACTGGAACTCAGCATTATTGCTACTCATTCATACAGTGTCCACTTTGGTTGATTTCTCATATGCATGATTGAGACCCTTCCCTGAACTCATCTATGTGCTTTTCCCTTAAATTCTGGCATAGCACCACCTTGTGGATAGACATGGTACTACCTTTCTCATGCAACATCGAGTCTGTTCAAGATTTCACAGGTTTGTGAAACAAGTTGGACTGACTTAAAGAAAAGAAAACAGTGTTGAACTCGAGTGTAAACTGTCTAAAACATTCCTACAGATGACAACTTTGTTAAACTCATATCATTACTTTTTTATTTTGGGCTGTATGATAATATTTTAATATACATTATTAACTCATCTGCATATATTTTGCTTTGCACCATGCACCATGTACTGACCATGGACACAACGATAACCAACACAGGTAAAGTTAGGTCATTATGTGAAATAATATCCCTGTCAGACATCAATCATAATAATTACTTTAGAGAGCCTGTTTCAGTGTGACTAAACATCTGAGTGAAATGAACATCCTGTGAAAAAAAAAACACATACATCAGGACATGTTTGGGTCCAAACTGACCTGGAAAAAGCAGAACAAACAACATGATCCCTCCTAAACCTGAAGAAAGAAAAACAATCTTAGATTAATCTGCTTAAGTCATGAATATAAGAGGATATTTAACATTTTGAGGAAACACTCATAAGATCAACATATTATCAAATTTCATACCTGGACTAAGAGGCTTCTTCCAGGACGGTGTCATCTCCAGATTCTTCAGGCCGTTCAGTCTCGGTCTTTCTAGTTTTTGACCGACTACACGGACAAACGCTCTACATTTGCTACATATTCTTCTTTATATCCTCTCTTAAGGGCAAATATTCGTAGAAGATATGCAAAGTGCCAACAATCCCGACATCTGAGAGAGGTAACGTGAGCTCCTTGACCTAAAAAAGGAAACCTGGAGGATATTAAAAGCATCTTTATATTCTAAGAATTGAAACAATAAATCAATTTTAATCATTTAAACCTAGCAGAAGGACTGGAGTAATGAAGGGTTATCTATATAGTACAATCAGAATTAAAGGCAAGTCTATTCTACATAAGCTAACTGTTTCACATTCATCGTTGTATGGTTGGTTTATAATGTGTTTACTGCAGTCGTGCGCTTAGTCCAGATATGCAAAACAGACGTAAAGTTACACGGTTTCATCTGATGCAAATAGTAAGTTAACATGAGAGGATATATTGTTCCCGGTTTGGCTGAGCAGTGTCTTTCAGGTCTTTTAATAAAAGTGGGTCAGCAGGTTTTCACTTCTTCTATTTAGACAATATTAAAGCAACAAGCAGGTGTGAAATTAAAGTTTTTCTTCAGTTTATCAAACCTAGATATTATAATTCACAAAAGTTTATCACTAAAAGTAAAAATGACAACGACAAAGCATCAACTTCCAGAAGTGCAAAAAACTGCAGTTCCTCGGGTGTCCACTAGGCTGACAAAAATGCAGATATAACCATTAAATCCAATTCTAAAAGATCATTTTTACAGCAAAACTTCACGTTTAAAGCCATGTTCATCAGTTTGTGTGAGACTGCGTGATTTGAGGATTGCGTGAACTATGGTACGCTATATTATTAAAAGGCGGAGAATCTGAGGACAAGGCCGAAAACCAATACTAGGAGGCTGTGGCTGCGATTTGATGGAACCCTGCAAATAAGGCGGGCCCAAATTTTTAAAAACACATGACTAACACTAGAAATCTGCTCTTTTTTCAGTTTGTCCAATAATCCAATTTTCTGTTTTGACATTTTATATGTTTCCGCACTTTTTTTAACAATAAAATAAAGAGTTAAATTATTCCACAATCATTCAACCTGCTCCTATTACCACAAGGCTACAACTTCCCTTAACTCCACATTTTGCTACCGGTTGATTGAAAATCATGATGACTCAGCATTTCTAAAATAATAACAATGCATCAGATTTCATATAGCGCTTTATCAGAGACCCTAAAAGCGCCTTACATTGGATACATCATTCATTCGCTCACTCAGTCACACCTTGGTGGTGGTGATTTACCTTGAAAGTCACAGACTGACAGAAATGTGGCGGCCAGTTTGCGCCAACGGCCTCTTCCACCAAACATCACTCACAATCGTACACCAGTGGAGGACACACGCTGGGAGCAAGGTGGGTTAAGTGTCTTGCCCAAGGATAGAATGGACAGACTTGGAATCGGAGGGAATCGAACCACCAACCTTCTGGTTATTGGACGACCGCTCTACCTCCTGAGCTACTGCCGTCCAAAATGGCTCATGAGTCTGGGAAACCAAATTTAGTGAAGGGTTTTGACAAAAGTCTAACTTTCTACATCAGCTTGAGGTCATTTTTACTCAGAGCTGGTGGTTAAAATCTAGAAATGTTGGGTTTTGAACTCAATCATGTTTGAGTTTCTTGAAAAATTCAATTATGGCCCAACGTTACAGGTCAGTTTAATCCAATTGAAGGTTTTGATGGATATCTATGTCTTTGAAAGGCCAAGTCAAAGCTGAAGTTTTGAGTTTAATCACCTCAATTTATTGCCCCTTATTGTTAAACTAAAATCCAACACTTGTCTTTAACAGAAAGCTAATATTCCGTCACGTGTGACATTGTTGGTTGCCGTCTTGATGCAGAGCTAATTCCGTATCCATATCCTTTATGGGTTTCATGAACATCGCCTCGGAGTTCAGCCTTATCTCTTGTGAATAGATGTATTTTCATGAACTACCAGAGTCCGTTCAAACATCCCGTTTGTCTTTTATGAGCCTGTAAAAGTTTCCACCACACACCGATCACATGTTCTCCGATCTGAACGACTGAACTTGAGCCGCCAGTTTGGGACAGCTAATCCCGTCTTTATGTGACAACCGCTCCATTATGGAGAATCTGACGGTAAGTTTGGGGCTTTGAGGCCTTTTCCTCTTCTTTGAAATGTTCGTCTTTATCGCCTTTTTCCAGAAATAAGTGATAACCGTCTCATCTGAGGGAAAAATATGCCACTTTAATGACAGAAACAGAGGATATTTGTGCTGCAATGCAGCGCTGCAGCATTCCTCAGGTCAGGTTTGTGTGTCAGGTGTGTCATAAATGGAAAAACGTTAAACATTGGACTTGAGCGCCACACCCACAAGGAGGCGAACTCAAGTCTCCCCTACTATTATGTATTCCTACGATTTCATATTCCCACAGATGACACATGCGCACTAACTTTGAGCCGGAGCGTAACGCCACCAGTGCAGGGACTAATAGCAGGTTTTTAGCTGAAGCTGTTCCAGTGAGGCAGACAGTCAGCAGGAACAAGTCCTCAGGAGGAGGAGGGGGAGGGCCTAGCTGATGAATAACTGTGTTGACGTTACATTTTCCTGTTTCACAGCTCGATCTGTAATGTGTTCATAAGGATTCATTCAGCAGGAGAGAGACACCGGCTCTGAGGGCAAGAGGAGAGACCGAGCGGCTTCACCACAAACAAACAAAGAGTGAGTAAAAGAAATGATTGTTGAAGATTCGTTTAGTGGACTGATCAGCGGAGGGGAGCAGAACAGAAGATTCGTTTTATCAAGTTTGGTTTGGGTGGTTTTAATAGAGTTTCTTGAAATTTAGGGACTGATTTTGGGACTAACTTCACTCCGACAATCAGGAAAGTTTGGATGAATCAGCTCTGTGAAAGGCCTCGGTTGGCAGATTATTTGGCTCCTGAACAAAACTAAACACATCTCGTTATAGCCGCTGATTTTCTTCAATTTTCAAATTCAGGGTCACATTTTTATTTGTGTTTTTTGGCCGTAGCTTTATATCAAAATGCAAATTCACTCACTCCCTTAAACTCTGAGTCAGCAGGTGATTTTACGTCTCTTGCGCAACCTCTTTCACTTTCAAGTCGCCCCTTGAACCCAAGCGTACGCTGCATTTAGTTAGCAGGGAGATCATTTAAACCCAGTAAAAATAACTCTGTTTTTAAAATAGTGTAACTAAGCGCCTACTTCCAACTCTAAAATTCACTTTTTTTAGTGTTTTCATGTAAAATTTCGTCCAGTTGGATCAAATTATCATCACATAATTTTATGTTTCTAAGCTCCAAAAACATCAAATTGGACTAAAATTAAAATTCACAGACAATTTTTAACAGAAATATCCAGTTAAACTCATTTCTTCTTCATTTTTCTTTAACATTTTGAGGTAGTTTGGTTCCCCACGTAGCAAAATTATTATTTCTCACTTAAAAATAATTACAGGATTTTTCCACCAGTAATAGTCTGTTGGTACACTGGTGTAATTATGTGGCTTTGCTGTGGGAACTGTGGGGTGTGTCTGGTGTGAGTATTAGGCTGTGAAAACACTGACTCATATGCGGCACACACCAAACACTGCAGGGTGTTGAGGTCCTGAATTTCAAGTTAATTTGAAGTTCATGTTCTTTACTTTTACCTGGAATTAACTGTTCAAACTTGTACTTCCTGTATTGGTGTTATCTCTTCACTTCCTTCTTTTCAGACAATGGCTTCCTCGGGTAACATGCTACCTGAAAAACAGTTCCAGTGCACAATCTGTCAGCAGGTGTTTACAGATCCTGTCACCACTCCCTGCGGACACAACTTCTGCCTCTCCTGCATCCAGAGCGAGTGGGACAGCGGCGACGCCTGCCAGTGTCCCGCCTGTGACAAGTCGTTCCCCTCGCGGCCTGAAATCAGCATCAACACGGCCTTCAAAGAGCTGGCGGACACGTTTAGGAATCTCATCGTCTGCTCGTCGGCTTCACCGCTGTCAGCAGCCAAACCCGGCGAGGTCGTTTGCGACGTCTGCGCGACGACGTCCCTGCAGGTGAAAGCTTTGAAGTCCTGTCTGGTGTGCCTGACGTCGTACTGCGAAGCCCACCTGGAGCCCCATCGGAGAGTGGCCACGTTGAAGGTCCACAAGCTGATCAACCCGGTGAAGAACCTGCAGGATAGGATGTGTAAGAAGCACGACAGGCTGTTGGAGATGTTCTGTAGAGACGAGCAGAAGTGCGTGTGCCAGTTCTGCACTGAGACGGAGCACAAAGGTCACCGGGTCGTCACGATAGAGCAGGAGAGCGGGGAAAGAAAGGTACAGATGACATTTGAATTAAAAGAGAGATGGCAATGAGGGTTTCTAATGACAAAGACAACAAAGTCAACCTTTTAATGCTAGCTGGTATCAGGGAGGTTGCGTTACTGCCACTTTAAATTCTTAATCAATCAGTTATCAATCAGAATCCATAACAAGAAGAGCCCTCCAACCCTGGAGTCACTAATCAATTCGAGTCGAGACATTTCAAGTCGATATGACACAATTATTACAATACATTACAACACGATCATCCCGATACAATATGATTATTATGATACGATCGTTATGATTTGATATGATAGGATCATTGAGATACGGTCATTAAAACACAACATGATATAATATGATACTATCATTATGATACAATACAATAGGATCATTACAATACAATTATGATGCAACATGATGCAAAGAGATGACACATGATACGATACAATAGGATACAATCATTACGACACGATATGATACGATACAATACCATACAATCATTATGATATGATCGTTATGACGCGACATGACATGAAGCAATGACACAATACGATACAATAGGATACAATCATTATGACATGATACGATCATACTGACACGACATGAGACGATATGATACAGTACAATACGATACAATAATTACGATACAATATGATACGATATGATCCGATACAATCATTACAATATGATAATTACGACATGATACGATTTAATACAATTAGATACCATACCATATGAGTACAGTTTCATATATATTTATGATATGTAATGACTAAATGGAATAGGTTAGAATACAAAACAATACGAAACAATATGATTTGATTTGTCACAATAGGGTACAGTTTAAATGATACAGCATATGATACGCTATGTTATCGATATCAATAACATAGCATTATCGAATTCCCCCTCAGTGATCAATAAAGTTCTTCTTATCTTACCTTATGAAACTTTATGATATGATGTGATTTGATATCAAAGTATATGCTATGATACACTACACTAGGATAAGGTATGATTCCATGTGTTACGTTAAATTATGTTCAGATAAGGTAAGATAGAAATTTTTATTTATCCCAGAGAGGAAGTTTGTTACGTTAAGGTTATGATAGGATATAATAAAGTAAACTGTGATAGTCTGAAGAACACCCTCCATCTTGTCTCTCCTGTCTCAGAATAAAAAGCTGGATCAGCTTCTTCCCTCTTTTCTCTTCTTGGTTTCAGAAGTGATCCGCCCCTCTCTTAACTTCTTTACATCCAGCTGTCCTTTTCATACCCTACTCTCACTCAAGCCCAAAGCCTAGAATCCACCAACTGAAGGTTCTGGTTTCTGCTTTGGCCTTTAGGTCCAAATGAAGACGACTGAGGCGGGTTTCCAGCAGATGATTCAGGGACGGTTGAAGAAAGTAGAGGAGATCAAAAACTGCCTGAAGCTCAGCATGGTCAGTCATATAAAAATATAGATGATGTGTCTTTGTATTCGTAATTTCCTGTAAAGCGCTAACATTAATCTACCCTTCTCCAGGTCAGTGCGGAGAAAGAGATGAAGGAGAGCGACCGTCTCTTCACGTCAGTCGTTCGCTCCGTCCAGGAGAGACACGCTGAAGTGTCCACAGAGGTCAGAGAGAAGCAGACAGCTGCAGAGAGACGAGCGGAGGAGCTCACCAACGAGCTGCATCAAGAAATCAACGAACTGCAGAGGAGGAACGCTGAGCTGGAGGAGCTGGAGCACTCCGACGACCACCTTCACCTCTTACAGGTTACGATCAAACTTAAAGGAGACGAATTTCAACCTTGTGGTTTCTGGACTTTTCTGGTCAAACTCTACAGCTCAGCAAACACGGTAATACTTCCTCTTCGTTTGTCTTCTTTGGTAGAGGTTGCCCTCTCTTACGTCACCTCCACCCAGCAAAGACTGGAACGAGATCTGCGTCTACCCTGAACTCTGTGTGGGGACCTCGAGGAAAGCCCTGTCCAAACTGGACGACGCTCTGAAGAACGAACTGGACGCTTTAAAGAAAGAAGGTAAACTGACGTGAAGTTTTTTAGGATCATAAAACCACCAACGAATTCTGATGTTGCCGTAAAAAACTGATTGGGACTTTAATCTTCCTTACAGAGATGAAGAAGATGCAGAAATATGCAGGTAGGCACTTATCATGGTAATTCCTGACCTTAAGTGTTCAAGTTAAAGGCATGATATGTATTATATATATTCCTGTTTCTTTGTTTTCTGTCCATAGTCGATGTGGTTTTGGACCCGGACTCCGCTCATCCAAACATCGTCCTATCAGCTGACGGAAAGCAGGCGGGCCGTGGAGAACTGCTTCACATCGTTCCTGATAACCCCCAACGTTTCGACCCCGTCATCTGCGTGGTTGGAAAGAAAGGTTTCCTGTCGGGGAGGATCTACTTCCAGGTCTAAAAGCTGATCAGAAAAAATCTTTCTTAATAAGTGTAGAGACTGACAGTTCAGTGACTCATTTCATGTCATTGTCAACGTTCAGGTCGCAGTGGGAACAAAGACCTTCTGGGATCTTGGCGTGGTCAAGGAGTCGGTCAACAGAAAGGGGATGATCACCTCCAAACCCGAGAACGGCTACTGGACGGTCCGGTTGAGGAACGGGAATGAGTATCGCGCTCTGGACTCCCCCTCGGTCCTCCTGACCCTGAAGGAGAAGCCGCAGACGGTCGGCGTGTTTGTGGATTACGAGGAGGGGATTGTGTCTTTCTTTGACGTGGACGCCATGTCGCACCTTTACAGTTTCAGCGGGTGTATGTTCACAGAGAGGATCTTCCCCTTCTTCAGCCCGGGGGTTTGTGATGAGGGGAAGAATACGGCGCCTCTGATTATCACGGCTGTCAATCATTAGAAAGAAATTTACTGTTTTTGGAGCAAAGAAAGACTTTTCCACCGAGAACTGATCTGGTGTTCAATATGGAAGTGTTTACATTCCCGCTTTACAAACCTACGGTAGCCCTGAAGGTCAATGTCACAAATATATATGGAAGGCAATAATTAAATGTTGTTTTTTTTAAAGAAGAAGCATAAAGTAAAGGGAAGAAAACTTCAAAAACCCACCCCAAAAAGAAAAAAACATTTTATAAAACATAAAAATCTTTTACTTAAACACCAAATATATTTTAGAAAATACAAATAAATTATAAAAACATGAAAATATTGAAAAACCTTTTTGAAAACTGTTTAAATAAAAATACTAAAGAATCAAAATTAAAATATGAATAAAAAATATTATCACTTAAAGATAGTCTGCAGCCAAATATTTTTCAAGGTGATTTTTTTTTTTAGTTTGAGTAAATTTTTCATCATTTTCTAAATATAATGATGTGATTTATTTCCAATATATTATGTTTTCAAAATGTATTTGTATTTCCAAAATTAGTTTTATTTTGATATTTTTGTTCCATTTACCAAAAAAAAATTCTCAAATACTTTTGCATTTTTTGAATTTATTTGCATTTCATTTTTTTTTTTTTTTTTTTTTACATTTTTTTGCTTGTTTTCTAAAGCATATTTCATGTACCTCTAAATTTTTTTGTGTGTTTTACAAAATGTATTTTGGGTTGTATGACGTGTGTATTTATTGTCCTCCAGAATATTATTGCCATTGCCTTCCAGGGCCACCATACAAACCTAGTCAAAGTGTATTACAAAAACGTGCACAATAATTCTTTTCTCATTTCGATGCAAGGATATAGTTTCATCCCCACTTTAAATTTCACAACATTGTAATTACTTCGAACGATGTTGCAGAAATTTAAAAATTTTTTAAATCTAAACGTCTTCTACATTTGTAATGATTTTGATACGTTTATCTTAATATGCTAAAAGATTGTTTATTGTTGACATTTTGCTAGCTTTGATTAAGCCAGAGTTGTTGTTTGCTGGTGTCAAACAATTTTATAAAATTAAGGCCTGATTTTCTCCTCTGAAACAGTATTTCTGGCGGCTGTACGACTACAGATGTGATATTTTTCATTCTGAATTTGTTGATGTTACTTAAAGAATTGAAAGACAAGGATTAAACTGCACGCTATAGAGACAATAGACCACGTTTCCACTCAAAATTGTCCAGTAATATCCTCCTTTGCAACAGCTGTAAATGCATAAATCCTACAATGTTGGCACATCATCAAACCTGTGTGAATTATACCTAAAATGTTTGTAGTTGTGCTGTGGACTCCATGGGCTGAGGATTGTATCACCCTCTCAGGTTTTAAACTGAATGCAGGCGTTGTGTCTGCATTCATAAGGTGCTAATTTACTGACTGTTTACTTCACCTGTTGTTAGCGCTTTAGCATTCAGATTTTTGTTATATTTCAATCAGTGGATCTATGGTGATTTTTTTCCTGGAATAAAATGTGTCTACTTGTCAGGCCTCATAAACTTTTTTTTTCTGTTTTGCAAACCTTTGCATTCGTCTCTGCAGAGATTCAGTGTTTTCATGTGCTTTGCATTCTTACAGGCCATGATGCCGGCCATGCAAGAAGAACATTAGAGGAAAAAATTCAAGAACAAGTTTTAACTGTGCTTTACACGCGAGGGAACAGAAGGGGGAAAAAAGCAAAATAAAGGGGAAACAAAGATTTTTTAAAAAAAGCAAAAGCAAAAAGCAAACAGGAGCCATCATAAAAGGGCAACAATGGACCAGAAGGAAAGGGCAGAAAGAGGCAAATAAGAGTCAAAACGAAACACAAAACGAAATATTCGGAGGCGAATTTTGACGCGCCTGACTATACACATCAAGCCCGATGCGATTTTGCGACTTTCCGGAGGGAAAAAGACGCATCCCAGGAAAGGTCCCGCCTCCTTCACCTCTGATCGGCTAGAAAAGCTGGAAACGTCATCACATGCTCAAGCCAAACGGTCAGGACTTACAGCCAATCAGAGGCGATAACATAAGCACATGAAACTATGGTAACAACCGTTAGCTTACGTTAGCACAGATGAAAGTTGAAACAAAGACGTTTAGCAAACTGTTAAAGAACACAAACCCGTCATATGAGAAATCCGACGCCATGACTCTTCAAAAGTTGTCCTTCAGGTCGTTATCTTTGTAATATTTGTGTCTTTTATCAAAAATCACTCTGTTCTCCGACACGTAAACAATCAGCCAGTCGGCCATGTTGGATATACCGGTGAATGAGACGTCGCAACAACACGCAATCTGATTGGTCAGAAGTGGACACACAGTATGCGAAATTTCAGAAAAATCGACCGTGATCCAAAAAAATAAATTCCGCAATATCCCATGACGGGAATACGTCGCTGATGTGAACGCTTGTATTGACAGGAAACGGGTTCCAAAAAAAATATTGACGTCCGAAATAATCGCATGATAAAAACGGTCCTGGTATGAAAGGACCTTAAGGAGCAGCGTCCGCCTCACAACCAATCAGGTTGCGGGAGGTGTAGCATGGCTACATGGCAGTCAGAAAGAGCGGGCCGCTCAAAAAATGTACAATGTTGACTACACAGACGAAACAAAACACAGCGATATCGTTATATTACCAAATGTCATCAATAACTAACAGCTATTGACTGATATTAAAAGCTTTTTTGTTTATACACCACAAAAAAGATGCTTCTTTAACGGATTCCTGCCTACCCCACCTTTAAACACAGTAAGAAGTTACCTGCTTTGGCCGCTGGGGGCACTGGAGCCTCCACTCTCCTCCTGAGACGGTCGCCGCCCTGCCTGCTTGTACGTAAGGAAGGAAGAAGCAGCCTCTCTCCAAGATGGCGGCGACCATAGACAACAGCAATGCCGTACAGGCGACGAAGAAAAAGCACCTCGGGATCCCTGAAGCTGTGTTTGTGGTGCGTAACTCCGCGTATTTATCTCTCTTAAGAGCGTCCACTGTGGGAGTTGGCGGCTGAAAACACGCCCGTGTCCGCAGAGAGAGTGTGTGTGGACGCGTCATGCTGCTACATGCTAACAGGCTAAGTTAGCCAGAGAGCTAGCTGAGTTAATCCTGCTGAGGGTGCAGACAGGGCGGCTACCACCTCCATCTATGGACCTCAGACTGTCAGAGAGCTTACTGCTGCGACAAAATCACTTAAAACTACAGGCGGATGTAACACAGGGACTGAAAAAATGACATATATGATATTTAACTACATTTTAAAGGCGTTTAGATGTGTGTCAGCTCTGTGAATCAGGTGATTTAAGCGTTAAGTTTGGGGTTAAAAAGGTCCAATTGCAGGATATTCATTGAAACATTCAGGACAAACTTTAAGTTGGGTTAACAAACATTAAATAGAAGACGTAGGAGACACACAGAGTTTTTATTTGATACTTATTTGTTTGGTTATTACTTTAAAAAAGCAGGACTTGTTTTGTCAGGACCACCATCTTCTTAATGATAAACTAAATATGCCCCTTAAAAGACAAACCAACGAGTAGATTTCACTCACATTCACTTAATTCACTGCTACAATTTTCACAAGGAAGTGGGCCCAGAGTGGATCCTTATGGTACTCCTGTAAAGATTTAATAATTACAGTGATTTTTTTTTAAAGGGATATTCCAGCGTTAAATCAATTTAGGGTCAAACACTCTCTAACATCAAGTTAGATACCCCATACAGAGATGAATGTTGCTGACTGCTTGCTTCTCTAGTCACACCAACTTTAGTAACAACCGCACGATAGCAATACAGAGAGCCATGTGCTCAACCAAAACGCCACTCTATAGCCACAAATAATGTTCAGAACAGCGACTAACTTCATCAACAGGACATATAGGGTCACAGACAAAGTACTAGTCACCAAACATCTTTTTAACTTTGCCTAATTTCTTTAGCAAAGAGACTAAACACAAATCACCTACTCTCTTTCCGCAGCCGCTTGTTTGTAGCAAGACCTCAGGCCAGTCCATTACGGACTACAGTGGAGTTTCGCAGCTCAAGGAAGAACACTTGTGATCTTTTTCTTCATCATTTCCTTGAAGTAATAATCACCATATTAATCATTTTGCACTGCAGACACGGTAGTTCTTCTGCCTTAGCATCTCGGTCTGATTGCATATCCATGAGAGATGATTATAAATGTTCTTCCTTCAGCTGCGTCACCCCACTGTAGTCCATATAGGTTTCACTACGAACAAGCGGCTGCTGGAAGAGAGTAGGTGAGTTGTGTTTAGTCTCTTTGTTAAAGACATTTGGCAAAGTTAAAAAGATGTTTGGTGTCTAGTGCTATGGCTGGGACCCTATATGTCCTGTTGATTAAGTTAGGTGCTGTTCTGAGCATTATTTGTGGTTATAGAGTGGCGTTATTTTTTCAACTAACTTTTTTCACATGTTCTCCTAAGTTGAAAAGTAAGGAGCACACAAAGAATTTTCAGGGCACAATGAAAATTAATCAAATAATGTGTGTCTTATCGTCTGAACTTAGTACTTTGATTTGAAATCAATTTTATGTCAATTGGTCACATGACATGGAAGCTATTGAAAAAAACAGCCTATTTTGAGAACATCAACCAGTAATTTATTGATGGTCCCTTATTCAACACCCGATGTTGACAGCAAGGATGCCGAGTAGATTTAACCGCGCTGCTGTTGTTATTCCTGGTTATGGAGAGTGAGAAGACATCGGTAGATCCGCAGTGAATGTCTGTCGGATATCCAACATGATATACATTTGAGATGATTTAAATACCAGATAGTTTGTCCACTGTTGCTTATTTTTCACTAGATACGTCATGTTTCTGAACTCTCATGATCAGCTGATGTTTTTGGGTTAATTATCTTTTATTTCTCACATTTAGATGTCAGTCAGGTCAGTATCTGTGAGTCACTCTGTTCTCTCTGCTGGGTTTCACAGGAGGATGTCGACTCGTTCATGAAGCAGCCGGGCAACGAGTCGGCAGACTCGGCGCTGCGGAAGCTGGACGAACAGTACCAGAAATATAAATATATGGAGCTGAACCTGTCGCAAAAGAAGCTCAGGTAAAAACACGCAATCATTACCACTAAAAGAATCAACATCCACACGTTTTTTTTTGGTCTTGGACTCAAGTTTGTTTCTTCTCTTGATCTGAAGGTTGAAAAATCAGATCCCACAAATCACACAAACGCTAGAAATCCTCCGACACATGCAGAAGAAAAAGGTGAGCGAACGGACTCTGAAATGTGTCTGAAAACGGTGTTAAAATATCTCGTTTTTAAACCTTATTCCCGTGTTTCTTCCAGGAGACCACAGACCCCATGGAAACCTTCTTCATGTTGGCGAACAATGTTTACTGTAAGGCTTCAGTGCCGCCCACCGAAAAAGTCTGCCTATGGTTAGGGGTGAGTACAACTCCAATTCAAAATGAAATTACTAATTAAATGGTTAAAAAGTGTTTAGATGACGAAGTGGTTTAAAAAAAAAAGATTGTTTTGCAAAAAACTTGGCCTTCATTCATCCAAGCAGCCACAAAGCATGCTGGGACACATAGCGATATTAATCAGGCTGATGGCGCCACTTTTTCAGAATTCAAAGGAAGTGGCAAACTATTAAAGCTCCTGTGGGGGAGTTATTGTAAGTCTTGGCGCCCCCTATCTTTGGTAATCATGTCATGAACATGCTCAAGTAGTGTCTTGCGTCAAAAAAATCTCATCCTGCTGATTTTTCACAGTCAAACATTTCATTTATTGTGAATATTTCATGTGGAAAATATGAAAACAGCTCTCTCTGAAGTTGTTTGGCTGCCATTCCCCCTCACACCAGTTTTAGACATTCAGACTAAAACAAATCCAGTCCCCTTCATAAAGAAAACACAGGTTTGTAGACCCTAACTGTGGTCTGTTTTACACACCCTCCCCCACCCTCGACATCCTCCCCCTCCAAAGGCCAACGTCATGTTAGAGTACGACATCGATGAAGCCCAGGCTCTTCTAGAGAAGAATCTATCCACGGCGTCTCGCAACCTGGAGACACTCGAGGAGGACCTGGACTTCCTGAGAGACCAGTTCACCACCACGGAAGTCAGTATCCTTTCGCCCTGCAGGCACAAGAGGAAAAAGTCCCGCTTTGTTGGTGTTTTAAAATGGTTTTTGTTAAAATGGTTTCATGTTTCAGAGAAAAACAGACATCTGCTTTGAGCTCCAGCTGCGATAAGCCTCCATTTTGAATATGTCGGTGTAGACTAGACCAGGAAAACCGGTTTAGTGTTTCCTCCTGGTACAAGGACGTGCTGGTGAAGTGCAATTGGAGCGTGATGCTTTATGAGTGAAATCAACAAAACAAATAATGAAAAAAGTTACACAAAGTGTTTCTAAGATTTTCACACTTATGTTGCAACACGAAAAAGTGAGTGTAGCTGAAGTCAGAATTAAGAGGACAAAAAACTCTGAGGTAAAACAGTCATAATTCAAAGAAAATAATTCTGAAATGTAAGAAAAAAAATCAAGAATGAGGACAAAATGGACAAATCTAAAAAAAAAAAAGACTGCTGAGCTAAAATTTAAGTGTCAGAGAAGAGCCAAAAGTTCTTGGAAGAAAAGAAGCAAAATTTTGACAAAAGTTAAAATTTATAAAAAGGTAGAATTAGAATCTTAAAAAAAGGAATTTTAAGGAAAAAATTTTTTACTTCTTTTGTAAAAAAAAAAATAATAATTCTGTGGAGTCCTGGAATTCTTTGAAAGAAAAGTCAGAAATCTGAAAAAAAGTCAACATTTTGCAAAAAAAATTAAAACTCTGAAAAAAAAATTTGAGGGGAAAAGTGTGACTTCTTAAGGTCCTTACACACGGAAATAATTTTTATTTCGTCCGAAATAATGCACAAAAAAAAGCTTCTGGAAAAAAATCTGTGGAATTCTGTGAAAGAAAAATCTGAATTTTGCAAAAACAAATTAGAATTCTGAAGGAAAAAAGTTTGAGGGGAAAAAGTGTGACTTATCAGACATGATAAAAATCCCTAATTTTATGATAAAATTCTGGTTTAACAAAATTTTAACTCTTCAGTGGCTTATTTAAGAGGACTGCTGTGGCAGATTTTTGTCAGTGGTCTGCCAATTAACATTTTTTTCCCAAATACATCAGTCCTCAGAATACTGCGTGTCTTTGCACCAATAAAGTTCACATACCAGTAATATTGACATTGAAATGAACTAAAAAGGTTTGTGGTGTATTTTCCTGAACTCCCGCCCCCCTCAGACATGGCACGAGTCTACAACTGGGACGTGAAGAGAAGGAGCAAAGAAAACCTCCTTAAATCAGCAGAAAAGTCTTAATACCAACCGAACAGCACCGACACCCCTCTGCTAACTCTCTCACTCTTCTTAGTCAATAAAAACAACCCCTGAAGTCATGTGTATGTTCACCCAGAGCTCCCTCCACTGTTTTCCGTTGATTTGTTACTTTTTAAAGTATTTTTTCAAGTAAAAACGAACAAAAACACAAAGACAACGAGGCAGTTTTTTGTATTCTTTTGAATGGTTTGAGTTTGTTCCTGTTATCTCTGGCAGAACGAGAGCGAGGGTCACCTTCTCTTCCTGCATTTTCCTCCTCTTTTATTTTTTCTTCACTTGTTGGACTTTTTACTTGAGTTGAAGCTTACCTAGTCTCTCCGGTAGAATCAGGCTTGTTCGAAGAAGAATACAGATCAGTTTTTGCTCACGGCGGGACTCGAAGGAGCTCAGAGGGATCACTTTAGTCCTCCTTTATCTGTCCACATTCATCCTCTCATTTTTCTCCTCCTCTTCCTTCCCTTTTCAGCTGCTGTTCTGTCTGTATTTATTTGACTCTCACTGTATTCATTATAAACATGAATGAAGTAAAAGAAGACACTTTGGGCAAAGAGACGAGGTCTTATCTGCTGTTCTTTGTTTCTTCTTTTCCTGATCAAAACTCACCACAGATGAAAAATAATCTCAGATCATCAGATAAATAAAAAAGTCTAAATTTGCATCGTCTGTGGTCGAAAATAATGCATGACCTTGTAGAAAGGCATAGTGTGCAGTTGATAGTGTTTTCGCTTGACTCTAAACATGTTAAATTGTTGAGTAGCTCCCCCTAGTGGTAACATCTGGAACAACATAGGCCTCAAATGTTTAAAAGACCAAACCATGACTATGAAATTGAGATTTTGGCAACAAATTAGCGGCATTCCTCTTTAAAATCCACCGTCCTTATAACTTTGTGTACTAAAGGAGGGAATTCCCAGTTAAAGTAGACAAACATCCTGTACAAGTTGTCTAGATTTTGAGTTGAGTCTTTGTCTTTTGGTGTGGAACCCTGGATCCATTTGTTACTGATAATGTACTTTGGGAGAGGTCAGCGCTAACAAGCAGGGGCGTGTCCAGACCTTTTTTCTACAATTGATAGACCGGAAGCTGAACTTTTATCTCACTTTTATCTAATTTGGGTGGCCTGACCCCAGTACTAACATTGACTGAGGTTGGGGGTTACATGAGTCCATGCGTGAATAAATAGCATTTATTATCGCATTTGTGATTTCAACATAGGTTTTGTATCTGACAAGGCAAATTGCCAAACAAGATGATGTTTTTGTTTTTTGCCCCTGACAGGTAAGCTATGTTACAAAAAACTTCGTCCGGGTTGCGGGTCTGCCTTGGTGAAGAAAGAGCTGAGCCGTAAGGCGAGACTCTCGGTTTACCGGTTGATCTACGTGCTGATCCTCACCTGTGGTCATGAACTTTGGGTAATGACCGAAAGAACAAGATCGCAGATACAAGCGGCCGAAATGGGTTTCCTTTGCAGGGTGTCCGGGCTCAGCCTTAGAGATAGGGTAAGGAGCTCGGACACTCAGGACGCGATCAGAGTAGAACCGCTGCTCCTCCATGTTGAGAGGAGTCAGCTGAGGTGGCTCAGGCATCTGGTTAGGATGCCTTCTGGACGCCTCCCGTTAGAGGTGTTCCAGACATGTCCCATCGGGAGGAGACCCGGCCCAGGACCAGGTGGAGGGATTATATCTCTCGCCTGGCCTGGGAGCGCCTGGGAATCCCCCCGGAGGAGCTGGTGGAAGTGGCTGGGGTGAGGGCCGTCTGGGCTTCCCTCCTGAAGCTGCTCCCCAAGCGACCCAGACCCGGAAAATAAAGTCATGAAAAAGTAAAAATTTAATCAACAAAATACCAATCTATTACAACTTCGAAAAATGACTAATCCAGTAAAAAAAATGGACATTCCGCTTCTGTGAGGAGTTATCTGATATTGAAGAAATTTGTTTTGGTTCCTTTAAAGTAAATTACACAAGCAGCAACTTGTTTAATGATTTTTTTTATGCCTGACATTATTTGGAGGTGGAAAGTGCCAGCCTGTCAGCTGGAGAAACAGTCCTGTTTTTACAAGATTCACCTAAAAGTCCACCAGGAGGACAGTGTTTGTTAATGATTGAAGAGAAACAGTATATTAAAGAGTATTTATATTGAAACTTTAAAACTTTCCTGTCGAACAAACAGGAACAGAATTGCACCCCAACCTAGCTTCATTTTGTTGCAGGGTGCAGTTTTGTTCTTGGCGACCTCTTACTAAGTCCAGCAGCTTTTGCATTCTGTGTGCAGACAGCCTTAATGAAACCAAACTCTGCCAAGGACCCTGGCACAGAAACCCCCAGAGCGCCAGTAAATCACGCCGTACGTTTCCCCGCCAACCGGCCAGAAACCTGATTGCTTTGCTGTCAAATGTACTCTCCATCATGCGAGCGCCTCCTTCCACCTGTCCTCTTCCCTCTCTCCTTTATGAGTCCTGAGGCGACCTTTCCTTTCCTGTAACCGCATCTTTGTTTGAGCCAAGCCTCAGATCAGTAAAGAGGCTTGCGTGTGTGGGGAGGATGAAAAAAGGCACAAGCTTGATGGAGTGGAATACCAAGTCAGCCAAAAATGCTGCTTTCAGGTTTAGTGATATCATGTGACTTCATGGTCTCGTTCACTTTCCTACAGTCGAACCAAAAATAATCACCAGTCACTGACCTAAAGCAGCTGATAGGATCCTGTGAAAAGAGAGGCCATTACTCTTTCCCCTTATATGAAATGAGTTGAATTGGGATGGTCCCTGGTGTTGGTATTTTACCCTTAAATTAGACGTGAAGTCAGTTTAAGCTAGGGTCTATTTGCACAACAGTGATACAAATGGTTACAGACTAGTCCAGGGAAAGTTTTTAGCCTGAGGTGACCAGACATCCCGATTTACGGGGACAGTCCCCATATTGGTTGACCTGTCTCCAGCTAAAGCTGTCCCCGGAAATGTCCATAATTAAAGCGTTTCATGAATGAGAACAAAAATGTTGCATGTAGACTAGAACAACAGTTATTAATGTTATGGTAACCGAGTATGTAGGAAGCACGAGTAAGCATGTTGCGCACAGTCCTGAACAACAGTTTCTACAGGGGGGGTGGGCTGCTACTTAGCTAGTAGTAGCTACTAGCTTCTCTTTACCCCTACAAAAAGTACTGCTGGATTTGTTGTCACTATGGATGCACGATATTGATATCGTGACATGATATCGGTATCAGCAAAATTAATTATCAGTATCAGCAAATGTATCGTCCATGGTAGATGAAAATGCTGTTTGTCGTGTTTATTCTGGTACTAAAACAAATAGACTTCCTGAAAAAAATAAGAGGTTAACTTTATGTCAAGAGAAACTTTTTTTATCGGTATCAGTATCAGGTTGAAAATACCAGGATATCAGATAAAAGTCCAACATTGTTCAAGACTGATTGATTGATTGTCTGTAGAGTTGCCTCTAGAGGCACTGTCATTGCTAATATCCTCTTTAAAAGTCAAATGAACTGTTTCCGACCCGTTTGTCAAGGTTAATTTGTATGGCGACCCCCCTTTAGTGAACAAATCCAACAAAAAGTGAGTGTGCTCGTCAGGTAAACCCAACATTTATCCACTGTGAGTCAGCACCAGGCAGCACTAGCAAAAGGCAGAACCTTGAACAGAACCAAACAGATTAGCGAACAGTGATCCAACGTAAGAAGGACTGAGAAGACTTGTAGTCCAAGTCCACTCTGTTGATCTGGACAACATTTAGGACCTTCTGATTTGAAGTTGAAGGTTTCTGCTGAGTTGCAGAGTTGAAAGTAGAAAAGTGCTCGTATAAAAATGTTGCTGTGGACATTGGTTCAACTTTCAGCCATGACCTTTTTGCTGCACGTCTTCCCCTATGCTAAAATTGGTGGCAGGGAACGTTGAGAAAATAAGACAGAAAGAAGATATTGGTTTTTAGGAAGTGGAAAAACAGACTGTAAACATGGCGTTTTAGAGACTTTGAGTTTTATTGTATTTACTTAAATTCATAGTTCAACATTTTGGGATGTGGCTTGTTTTCTTTCTTGTAGAGTTGGATCATTAAATTGACACCGCTCTCGTCTCCTCTACAGCTGGCTAGCTTAGGCTGAGCTAAAAAAGGAGTTATCTAATTCTACTCTGTCTAATGAAAGCATTCAACCAATATGATCCAAGTCTTTGATGATTTTCACTACTACATCCAATTAATCTATTAGGCTCCCCATCTTTGGGTCTTGATAGGAAGATCTTGGTTCTATCCACCAGGGCCCCCGTTAGCCTCAAGCTAAGCTACCCGGCGACAGTCAGAAGTTTAACATGTGAAAGAGTGGTCCCAATTCTCCCATCTAACTTTGGCAAGAAAGTAAACAAGTGTTTTTTCCCAATATGTGCAACTATAGTAGTATTTTAAGACAATGTTTCAGAGTAGAAGCAAGATATTACAGAGTGTAGAGATATCCAACTGCGTGCTGTACAGCAGAGCAGATCTACCAGCTGGTTGACACCTGGTTCAAGAGTCTTGGCAGTCCTTAAGGTGGAGCTGCACACACACAGGAGACTTGCCTCCACACCCACCCGCACAGACTTTCTTTACACTTCCTGAGCAGTAAACTCTGTGACGTCCACTTGGGAGCGGTTAAAGTCGAAAGCACTGGTGATGATACAGCAAGCACAGGGAGAAAAACATATGGCCGATTGCGCAACGGGACCTCTCATTGTCAAATTTCAAACACAAAGGCATCAAGTTTTCTTTATTCTTCGCAGGGTAGTTGTAGGTCAGTCTTTTCTGACCGGCTTTTCACTCATGTTTATATGGTAATGGACTGTCATTTCAAGTTTTCAATCAAGTCCCAAACCTTTATCTCACTTGAACAAGGAAAGGATGTCATCTTATGTAAAATCTCACCTTTCCCCATTGAATACATTCATTCCAAAAAAATTTTTTAAAAGATAACACGAGCAAAAATCTTTGGAGACATGTCAAAACAAGGCATACAGTGTGAGGAATGAAGCACTTACAGTTTTGTATCGCATCAACCAGCATTGTCATTAGGAACTGTATGGTGAAGGCATGGGATACTCCAGCTACAGCAGGGAAATAGGCTTTCAATCAGAATCGTGTATCAGATATCAGGGTCAAAAAAGGGGATAGACTAGGGCATTAAAATGCTAACAACACTGAAAGTCTCTCAAGTCAAATAAACCCAAATGTATACAAAAGGTTGGCTGACGGAAACAAATAGCTGATTTCATACCAACCATGTGCCCCAAGCCTTGGTTATTCCAAATCTAGTCTGTTTACGAAGCTTGTCAGCATCAAATTCTATGGTTTTTGCCGTCCCTTCAAAACACATTTTATCACCTTTCTCTTTGAAAAAATTGAGAAATATCTTAAATAAGCGAAACATGCAAAACCATTTATGCAACTGAAAAATTATTGCCTGTCAAAAGTGGAAAACCACAGATGGCCTAACTGGGCTGTAACCCTACATTGATGCAATTCAAGGCTCGTCTTGGTTCCCAAATTAAAAATTGGCCTCATGACTTTGAATTTGCGAGTTTTGTTCCTCCAGTAAACATTATGTCCCCCCACCCCCAAATTAGTTCAACCCATAACTATGGTGCTTTAATCTCCTCTGTAACTTGATCACACACGTATCGAATCGATCTGTAGAAAGGTTCTGTTGACACTGTGGCAAAGTGTAAGACCCTGAAATGAAGTGTTAGGTGTTGCTCACCCTGTCCACTCACCACACACCATCCTTTTCATATTTTATTGCTCAGAACTTCTCCATGCAACCCAGTGTTATGTAAAATCATAATGGTAATAAAATATGAGCCAAATTTCAGTGGGTTATGATGCCAAACTGGCAAACGTGGCGAGTCCTCATAGGGCAATTTAAACCGGCTAAACACTTGACTATTTTAGGTCCAATGTGCCACGCCAATGATTGGGCCCATCTAAAAACTGGAAGATTTTTTGAGACCTGGCTGGTTTTCATCTCAAGCCCACTTCCATAACAGGAATTGAGAGTTTCTAAGTGTAAGTAAGATCTTAGACCTGCGCAAAATACCATGAAACTGTGGCCCGTGAGCCAGTCTGTATCAGTGGAGTGAATTGAAATGAAAACAGAAGTTTAATGCAATACACACATAAAGTAAAAGCAGGTGAAAGTGTAATCTCATAATTTCTCTTGTGCCTGTATCTGATGGCTCGATTCAATACCCGCGACTTGGACTATCTATGCATGATTATACAGTCCGTTGGCGTGCATTGTGGGTGGTGGGGTTCTCGTGTGGAGTCCATTGTCTGGTCCTTCTCTGCCTTGCTTTCTAGAAATAAATAATCTCCGGCTTGTTTAGTGCCCTTCAGAAGTCTCTAAGCTCCAGAGTTAAGGTGGACTTGGCTGTTAAGGTGCTTTCTGGCTCCAACATTCAGGACATGTGTGCCTTAACGAGTCAACCTTTGTCACTCTAGCTGTACACGATCTCTTCCTGCTTCAGAGTCCATTAGGAATTAGATGGGTAATGCTGTGTTGTTAAAGCGCAATATTTAGCAGAATGATAGAGGATACAACCATCTGGCCAATGTCATTGAGCTCGCTGAAGGCCCAAATTGCCCCAAAGAGAAGTGATATAGTCTCTGGCGACAGAATCTCAGTTCTGGGAAGGGAATCCGTCTTCGTTTCAGGACCTTCAGGACTCCTCCATTGAGCTCTGATGGTGGACTGTGAAGCAAAATGTCAGCCTCAAGAAAATCTCTTGTTGAACCGAAAGAAGCTTACTAAGCTTTTGAATGATATGTGCAAGGAACCAACGTAAAAGTGATCATTCTGTATGTGGTCATGTAATTGCATATTGGAGGAGAGGACAGTATAAGAAGTGGAGGAAAGAGAGGTGAAAGAAGAGTAAATGGGAGAAAGAAAGATCAAACTAGTCAAAGGTGTTGTCATACGTTGGTGAAGAACCCAAAATGGATCCTCTATCTAAGGCCTTTCCAAGACTTTCAGTGAGGGATTCCCCAGCAAGAATCCCAAACCAATGCCAAAGGAATTGAATCAGGAGAGCCATCGTGAGTAGACGGGCATCTGTGACCGTCCTCTCTCCAAGAAATCAAAGGTGTACAGAAATGGGCCCAACCATCGATGATCCACCACTGTTCCTGATGTTTTTATTGGCCATTTCATCAAATCCCTCGATCATCCCCTCTGGTATCCAGTCCACAGAAGGAACAACAGAGGGGTACCTACAGTTCAGTCAGGGGGCTGATGCCCTAGTCCGTCAGTCACTTCCCTCTGAATCCTTCCTAGATCCTTCCCCTTTTCACCTTCAGTTCCAAAACTCTTCCCAGATCAACATAGACAGCGGCGGTCACTCTTAGTTACTTCCTCTGAAGAGTGAACCACATTGGGGACAAACCCGCTCTTCACACCTTCCCAGCCCTCCTGGATTGTGATGTCGCCAGACCGTACCAATGCGAAGATGTCTCTGGTTAGCTCGGTGAAGGCATGCTCAACGTTGATGGCGTCACGGGCGGACGTCTCCACGTAACGCATTCCGTAGGCCCCCGCCAGCTTCTCAGCTTCCTGGCGAGTTACCTAAACGATAAAATGAGACCAGATTACACTTACAAATATGGGAACGACACAATCGAGATTGAGTGAAAGATCTGAGGTCTTCACCCAGAACGACAGGAAATGATACTTTTGGGGGCCACAGACTAAATTAAGGTCCTGGTTGACAAATAAAGCTCAGAAGGGAGACCTTAATCCTTTACTCTTGAACACCAGTGTGTGTAGACGGAGTGTTTTGCAGAGTCATCCTGCACTGTCTGAATATCAGTGGGGATATTTTTGCTTTCTGCCTGCCAGCAGTGTCAAGAGAATTAAACAAAGAATGATGACTCGCCTGTGATCCGAGTGTGCGCTGATCTAAAAGTGAACTAAAGTTTATTTTTAATGCTTGGTGTGTTACATAACACTTAAAAACGCTGCCATCGAGGAGCCACACGAGTACACCTCTCCATTCACATCCCTGTTAAACTCACCTGGCGCTGTGCCTCCAGGTCACACTTGTGGCCCACCAATAGGAAGACAATGCTGTGCGGCTGGACGTGGCTGCGAGCCTCTTCCAGCCAGTCGTGGACGTTCTGGAAGGAGCGGCGGTTGGTGATGTCGAACAGGAGGAGCCCGCCTACAGAATTGCGGTAGTAGGCCCTGGTGATGGACCTGCGGGGGTTAAAAGACAAAAGGAAAGTAAAACAAATGAGGAGGAATTTGCATCAGTCGGGATGACGCTGAGGCAAACCGACCGGCTGGAAACATTGACGGCATGTTCTGACAGTGTGTGAACCAGTGACAGGAAGCTTCAAACTACTTGCTGTGCACCGCCGCAATAAGACAGTGAAGCATCATCCAGTTATCTCTCCTTTCCTCCACCAAGCTCCAAACTTTGTGCTGCCTCTGATGACATTGAGCTCTGCCCCTCCCCCCACACAGTCACATAGATTAACGCATTTCTGACTGTTTTGCTCCTGGGTTTGTGGTTTCAAATAGACTTTTATCTCTGTCCAAGTATGCCGAGGCTGACAGATAAACCTTTCTCAGTAGAAGGAATGATAAGACTTGATAAAACCAGGGGAAAGCTTATCAGAGGAGAAAGTAGATGACGGGAGGTGTGATGAAAAGGAGAAGCAGAAGCAATGGAGGAGTGAAACGTTTAATTTTGTGCCTTTAGCTGTAAGTTTGACTTTTTAGTTGAATATTCCTCTGAAAAACTTGAGTTGCAAGTGTATTTCTAAGTTTGTAAAACTACAGATTTTTCTTAAGTTTAATCGATAAAACCATAGACTGTATATAGAATGGACGCTGTTTGCCTCCTCGCTGGGTGAAGGCACTCCGAGAACAGCACCCTCTGGTGACAGGCTGCAGTATAGGTCATAAATCCCGCCTCCACCAGCAAAGCTTTTGGAGCTGTGGACAAACTTTAGAAATTAATTACACAGCACAGTTCTGTTTTTAAAAGTTATTAGGGGGTTCATGTTTTCTATGATGGACACCTGATACAGCCTATGGGCGTACGAAGATTGCGTAGCTCACCCGGGGGATACGTTGTTTGAGCCGAGCATCATCACAGCGAGAAAAAACGCAGAATTACAGAGAGCTTTTCGCCTTCAAATCTGTATACTGGCGGAAGGCAGAACCTAGTTGTCCATAGTATATACAGTCTATGGGTAAAACACAATAAAACAGAGTTTTCTGGCTTTTAAGCTAAATTTTTTGTTAATGATTATATCGTAGAAGTTGATTCTCCACTTAGTTACAGTAATGTCAAAAATTAGGGACTAGGGATTAAAGTTTAAGAGGGAGAGATTTTCACCTCATGATTACTGTGGCCTTAAAATATCATGATAATATAATTAATGGATTTAAAATCGAAAATTTCTAAAATAACAATAATACATTTTATTTATAAGCGCCTTCCTGGACACTCTTTACAGATTAAGAGTAGCAACATAAAACAGCAAGATAAGAGCAAACGAGAAAAATAAAATAAAATAGAAAATATATATATATATATATATATATGTATAAATAAAATAAAATCAATAATTTAAAAAATAAAAAATAAATCAAAATAAAACAACAAAATGAGGACAAGTCCTGAAGTCATTAGATGATTGGATGCCAATTTTTAAATGTTAGACAGCTGCTAAAGCTAGTGCGCTAGCAGCTGCTGCTGCTTCTTCCTCTTTCTTTATGGTAAACAGCTAGCACTATGGAGACGTGGTTTTACTGTAGGCTTTTTTAAACATCCCTGTTATTTATTAATAACACCCCCAATAAATTACTGTTATTGGTTTAACATCTCTGATGATTCAAAATTAATATTGAACTACCTTGTTGCCGAGTTATTTTAGAAACTGTTGTAACCTTCATTTAAAAATAACAACATCAACCTTTAAAAAACAAGATTAGCTGTTGTTATTTTCCATGGCGCTCACTGCAGCCTGACTAAGGAGGAGGAGTGCTGCTAGATTTTGACAAGCTGTGACAACCTTACATGCACACAAACACACACCAACCCCCCCAGTGATGCTTCTATCTTCCCACAATAACCTCGCGGAGAAACGTCAGCATAAATATAATGAGAGGGAAAATTACAGAGTGGAGGTAGAGACGGAAAGACGGACGTGTCACGAAAAAGGAGGGAGGGAGGATTAGTCGACAGAGAGGGAGATAGAAGGACAAGACGGGGCGGAAAAAACTCAAAATCCAGTGTGTGATTTATTAGAGTTTGCGTTTAAACACACACACGTGTTGTATTTATATCAAAGCAAGGACTACACACTGGAGACTGAACTGACAAAGATGACATACAATGTCAGGAGGGTGAGATGGATTAAAAACCAGATTAAAGGCTGTCCAGAAATTTGTATTAGCATGAATAAAAACCTAAAATAACTACTTTTCTTAATCCATAATTATGTAAAACCACAAGAACTCTCACTGAGGCTGCTGCAGTGCATCCATCAAAATACTTTAACGCATCAAAGAGTCCTTTCTTGCATCTTTAACCCACTGCAAAACAGGACCAAATCAAAAGAGAAAAGTTTTGCATTTGGAGAAATACAGTCGATCAATTTTTGTACTCTTGTGTCTTTCAGTTGTTGTCTAACAAGGCCGGACCGAAGCTGACATCTTGTTTTACCCGAGATTTCCCCCACGTCCGGAACGGCTCCGATCTGGAACAGTGGCGATCTGTTTGTGAGGCAATTTCGTGGCGGATCACGGACAGCAGAATTCGTGAGAACTCAGAAGAACCCGCGGATTCACATGAAATCGCGCCATAACAAGTTCTACGATCGGCGGATAGGGCCTTTTTGTCGCCATTCCAGATGCGGTGGAAATCGGGGTTAATGTGCTAACCAATCAGGGGTGAATCTACATCAGCTGACCTATCAAGATCCAATGAGAAGCCAGGTGACCCTACATGATCAGAGCAAAGAAGTAGGAAATCAAGCATTTGTCTTGAAAAAGAGGAATAATACAGGGTCATCCTATATTAGGGTTATTACGGTATCTGCAGACGAGGTTGAGTCAGTGGGTTGTCTGGTTGTCAGAGATGAGGCTGAAGTTGATTTTGTTTGAGGAAAAAGTAAAAACAGAAGATTTAAGGCTTTAAAGTTAATCACAAACAGAAGCAACAGTCCTTGAGACAGCAGGTCTAGATTTGACCCCCTTCCAGATGTAAAGCAGATAGATGCACAGTGAAAAGTTGCTCTCTGCTGCCGTTTATATCATAAATAACTGTAATATAAACTCAGACTCTCTTTTCAAAATGGTCCCTCGGCGTTTGAAGGTTTCAGATTTGTCCTTCGGGGCCTTGACGGGGATGTGTCACAGTTACCATGGAGACGGTCTCTCATGCTGACAGGTGAGATTAGTCCCCTTCTGTCGGGGTGATGTGTGGAGCTGAGTGTGCGTGTGGGTGAGTGTGTAAGCATGTGTGAAAAATGCATTTTCAGGCTGTGAGATATAAGCGTCATATACGCCTTATTATCCTCCTCTATACACTCAAACAGGAATATTTGGGATTTGGACATTTAAAGGCACAGTACGTAGTATTTAGCAGACGCGATAGTCCTTAGTCACTTTCTTTAAAACATGTGTGATGACATTATTCAAACTTATCTAGTCGCCTTTGCAGCTGTTACATAACAACTAAATGAAAACAAGGCTATTAAAAGATTATATCATGGGAACACAGCGTTGGCACGCTCAAGTCATCACTGTCAGAGACACACCCACAGACACGAAGCTGATTCAACCAGACCTGGACTCAGGACTGTGTGTGACAGCAGAGGCTGTGGCACTCTTCAGATGTGTATCCGCCCTATTCAAGTCCAATTTCTCTAATCAGTGTTGACAAATCAGGATATTTTGCGTCTAAATGCCATTTAACACCTCTTAGTCTTTTCTTATTGCACTTCGTTTAGCATTAGAAGTCACAGCCAATCATATGTTGCGCAACGTGTAGACCAAAGTCCGCACAGGGAGGAAGGAGTTGTGGTTAGATGGGTCAAACAAACGCAGTTAAGTGTATACAGTGTGTAAGCAAAAGCAACCATTGTGTACGTAACACAACCGGCCGTACAAGTACCTCAAACTTTCCCAAACTTAAGCAGCAGCTTTGGCGACAAAACACCCGACATATGGAGGTGAACACAGCCTGACATGATTTGTTTTTGTCTCGGACATCTTTTCAGGACAGCCTAAAGAACTTTGACCCACTAACTGACTCTCATGTGATCCTGTAAATTTCAGCTGTTTGCTCATCAGAAACAGTCCCTGCGGTCGTTTGCTGAGCTGGAATCACCCGCAGACTCGTTTGTGCAACTGTTTTTTTTTAAGGACAAACACATCCATCTTCAGGTTGTAGTTCTGGCTCAGAAAGCTGCAGGCCGTGTCATTCACGTGAGGAACTAAGAACAAACCGAATCCTGACTCTTGACTTGACCTCGGTCAAAGTTCAACAGTTTTCCCTTTAGCTCTTTCCGAGTAAAAACAAGAAACAGGAACTGTTCTCATACCCCGGACGAATCTGTCTGTTTCAAAATGAACCAGATTATTGCGTCCTGAACCAAAAGTTCCCTTTTATGGCAGTTTTGCTGACGTTTTTTGGAACTCAGTAGTACTCCCAGAAATCACCTGTTAGTCAGCAGGAAATTCTGAATACGCCGACCCGTTGACCTTAACTTACAGCTAAACTAGATTTCCTTCAGTAATGTTGACTTTGAGTACTGTAATAATACCCTCTTTTCTTGATTAACAACCATGAGTAGAGCGATTATAACCCTTGCTGAGTTATCATGGCTGATATTCTGGATTTGGCCGAATATCTGTATCATCTTCTTTTTTGCAGATCACTAACTATAGCTATTTATGATCAAAAAGTGCGCTTTTGTCAATACAAGCGTTCACATCAGCAACACATCTGTCCTGCAATTTTGCGGCACTTATTTTTTCGGATCACGGTCGATTTTTCTAAAGACTGTGTGTCCACTTCTGACCAATCAGATTGCGTGTTGTTGCGACGTCAGATTCACAGGTATATCCAACATGGCCGACCGGCTGATTGTTTACGTGTCAGAGAACAGAGTGATTTTTGATAAAAGACACAAACATGACAAAGATATCGACCTGAAGGACAACTTGTGGAGAGTCATAACGTCAGATTTCTCATATGACGATGGTTTGTGAGCTTTAACAGTTTGATAAACGTCTTTGTTTTAACTTTCATCTGTGCTAGGTAACTTTAGCTCGTAAGCTAACCTGTTCAGATACAACATACCATATGTATTTTCACTGTCTCAAACTCAATCACAGCGTTGCTGTCACAGCACCGTTAGGTCTCGGTTGTTACCTTACATTTATGGATTATAGTTTAATGTGTTTATCTGGTACTGGCCCCGACTCAGTACATGCTATCATGACAGACAGACATCTCAACACTAGTGTCTAATCAGAACAGAAAAACACTCAGTCTGCTGTTGTGTCAGTCTTCTCGCTTCCACCCGGGACGCGTCTTTTTTCCCCCCCGGAAAGTCGCAAAATCGCATCGCGCTTGATGTGTATAGCCAGGCGCGTCAAAATTCGCCTCAGAATATTTCGTAATCCTGAACTGTATATTTGCCTCGTTCCTGGTGTGTAAGGACCTTAAGAAGTCACACTTTTCCCCTCAAAATTTTTTTTCAGGATTCAATTTTTTTTTTTTCAAAATTTTGACTTTTTCAGATTTTGGACTTTTCTGATTTTTACTTTTTTTTAAAATAAAAGAATACCATTTTTTTCCCCTTCAAATTCCGTAAAATCTTCCGTAAAATTAGTTCATTTTTGGGAATCTTAAACTTAAGTTCAAAATGTGGAACTATGAACGATGAACTGATCTAGTTCATTATAAAATGTGTGAACTGAACTTTGAACTAGTTCAGGTAGAAAGTGATTTCCCAACACTGTCTACTCTACATTACTTTAAAACTTAAATAGCCACCATCATGTATTTCATACTGCAGCTGAATCACTATATCTGCTTAATTTCTCCACGTTATTATCACATCGATCGATCCTGATATCCACACGTCCACGCACAGTACCTGACACGCTGTTCTCACCTGAAGCGCTCCTGACCCGCCGTGTCCCAGATCTGCAGCTTGATCCTCTTCCCGGGCTCGATCTCCACGAGCCGGGAGAAGAAGTCCACGCCGACGGTAGGGTCCGACACCTGCGCGAAACGACCCTCCGTGAACCGCCGGATCAGACACGACTTCCCCACCGTGGAGTCTCCGATGACGATCAGCCGGAACTGATAGAGCCAGATCGCCTCCATGACTGTGTCCGTGTCGGTGTGTCGCTCTCTCACCGCGGGGTCTGTGGGTCTGTCCGTCTGTTAGAGAGCTGAAGAGAGCAGGGAACTAAAACAGAAAGAGAAACATCAACCTGCATGTCTTCAGCTGCTTCTCTTAAGAGTTTAAAACCTTTAAAAACTTTTATTTTAACCTTTAATTTCAGTTTTTAAACCCTTAAACCCCGCAAAGACCCGGATGTTGTAAACAAGCAAACGACAATATCCTAAGATTATAAAAAAAGATGGTGCTCATTGTTTCTGAAAGACAATCTAGGTAATATTTTATGTAAAGTTTGTATTAATGTCTAACTTTGTTAGTTTTCACTAACTGGGATTGTATGGTAGCCTAAAAGGGCCAATACTGCAGTGATTCTATTTTTTTTTTCATTAAAAACAAGTAAAAATGTAATTAAATATGAGCTGCCAGAGGCCAAAACAAGCATCACTTTAAAAACAAACAACCTCTGAAGAAGAAATTACTAAATTAAATATATATTTATTTTGCCTTTTGTATCATATTTAATAAATTCTTTTATGATATTTCTATCAAATCAATATGATCAACAAATTACTAAAAAAAACACCTGAATACAGTCCAATAAATGATAAAAATGTCCTTTTGTGGTTTATCAGTTGCCAAAAACATCTAATCTATCAAACAAGATAAATAAATATATTTGTTAAATTTTAAGGACATTTTTTTTTCAGTAGTAAGTGGAATTAAGTACAATAAGTACTATAATTTGAAATCAATTTTAGGTCTTTTGGTCACATGACATGGAGGCTATTGAAGGAAAACAGCCTTTTCTGAGAACATCAACCAGTAATTTATTGACGGTCCCTTATTCAACACCCAATGTTGACAGTGAGGGTGCTGAGTACATTTAACCGTGCTGCTGTTGCTATTCCCGTTTAAGTAGAGTGAGAAGACACCGGTAGATCCACAGTGAATGTCCATCGGATATCGAACCTAAAACTAATTTCACTGCGGTGTATTTACATGAAAAAACATTTGTTGCCTCGGCTATTTTTTTTAAGCACTCATTTGCCCCTAAATACATTCTACAATTCACACACATCTATTTTTAGTCACAGATGCGAGTGAAACAGTCGCACTGTCGGACTCTGTAATGCACTGCTATTGTTACATTAGCCTGGAAGCTAGAAGGGCTAATTCTACCCCATGTTGAAGCTCTGGTTATTGTAGGGTGTTCACTGGTCTTTGCACAAGACCTTTGGTCACTTAGAGGTTAAGGATGTCCATCTTAAAGGTATATTTGGCGTAAAATTAATTTGATACTTCAAGGAAAAATGTTCCTCCTTGAGCTGAGTCACCCCGCTGTAGTCCGTAATGGACTGGCCTGAGGTCTCACTACAAACAGAGTCGGTGAGTTGTGTTTAGTCTCTTTGCTAAAGAAATCAGGCAAAGTTAAAAAGATGTTTGGTGGCTCCTCAGACCTCTGTGTATTGCTATCCTGCGGTCGTTACTAAAGTTGGTATAACTAGAGAGGCAAGCGGTCGGCAACATTCATCTCTAGAGGGGATGTCCAACTCGGTGTTATGGTGTGTTTGACCCTAAATTAATTTTATGCCGGAATATCCCTTCAAGGAGAGGGAAAAAATATGATTTTATAGTCACGTGTTAAAGATGCATGAATGAACCTTTAGCGCCCCCCACAGGCCTGGAGTATCTTCACAATGAGGATGAAATATTAAGGGTTCTTGAGTTGTTTGTTTGCTAGATTTGTTTTTGACTTTGAATTGTTGCTGCATATTTTTTATTATGCAGCAAATTTTTGTAATGAATGTTTTTAATTATTTAATATTATCCAACTTATTTCAGCCAGGTTCCTGTTTGCCATCCCCTCTAATGTTTTTTACATCACCTTAAATATCTACAGCAAAGTCCTGTATTGTGGTATAATCTAATAATTTTCCCTGAGTACAATCTGTGCAGAAATAAAGCCTCAACGGTCATCTAATCTCATATTTCATCACTCTTTCTGAAGGAATCACATGACTGCAAACTCTGCAGAGTCAGAGTCATGGGGGACAGATATATGTAAAAACATAAATATTCCTGTAACCTTACTTTGGCTGATGGCCAGTACACGCTCCCAGCTCCTTTAACACACATAACTGTGCTTCATTGTACTCTGTGCGTGATTTAATTAAAACCACGAGATATACTAGGAAAGCCTCTTACTCTTTCCTCGTCACTTGATGGCGTCAATTGATGTTTTAATAAGCCAGCTTTTTGGATTATTGGCTCTTTTTGATACCAGGCTTTGGTATTTGAATGTGTGACCCCGTTGGCTTGTTGATAAATTTGGATCACAGCAGTGTTTTTTTCTGTGACAGGACTCGAGGAAGATGTCTGAGTGACCCCGTTTTTACAAAGCTTTTCCTTAGACGTACTTTAAAGGGACAGATTGAAGCATGCGTTGTTACAGTGTCATGGTACAGCAACATATACTTTAATGGTTTAAGAAAAAAGACATTCTTGATTGACATTTTGTATTGGATCAGCTTTTTCACTAATAGAGTTTTTAGACTGTGGTACTCATTTTTACGTAAAGCTTCTATAAGGGGTTTTTTACATCTATGGAAAAGATTAAAATTCCCGTTTCTGCTTTTACATGATCTCCAAAAGCAAACTAGGCCATTTGAAACAAGCGTTACAGTGCATATATTATCAATTTTTAATGCCCAAAATCTGTGTCAGCTAAGCAGCTAAAAAAAAAGCCCTTTTTATACAGGTGAGTAAAGAGTGCTTTGTCCACAGGGGGCGCCAAACCAGACTCAAATCAAATTAAATATTTGAGTTCTTGGATGTCATCATAACGTACTGGAATTTCTTGCTGTAATGAAGTGTAACTTGTGTTACTTCATTACAAAACTGTGTAAAAAGTAATCATAAGCTAACCTCTAATTTCCACCGCATCCGGAACGGCTACGAAAAGGTCAAATCGGCCGATCGTAGCTGGTCGTAACCATTCAAGTTAATGTGTCAATTTCCACCGGCTTTGTTCCGTTCCACTGCAGATCGCTTGACTCCGCAGCTGATCGCAAGAGTTCTATTTTTTCCAGACGCTGAACATGCCGGATAAATTCAGCACAGATTAACCCATGCTGGAAAGGAAGTCGGGCACAGACACAAAATCCGGCTTCTTTTCAAATCGTATTTCTCACCGCACAAATGGGCAGAGACGAACAAGTGAAAGGTTTTTAGACAGCATTTAATCCCGTTGACACCATGGATGAGGAGATGCTGATTCTAGATGTTTAGAAGTGGATTTCCTCCTCTGGAAGGACACAATCTACTGCTAATACGGTTAGCCTATGTGGCTAAAGACAACTTGTTATTGCGCAACTGCACGTGAATCTGCGGGTTCTTATTAGTTCTTGGGATTCCTTATCCGTATCCTGTCCATGCAAGCGTACACATCAAGGACATTTTCCCGTCCTGCGATATTGCGGCATTTATTTTTTCGTATCACGTCGATTTTTCTGAAGTTTCGCATACTGTGTGTCCACTTCTGACCAATCAGATTTCGTGTTGTTGCGACGTCTGATTCACCGGTATATACAACATGGCCGACCGGCTGATTGTTTACGTGTCGGAGAACAGAGTGATTTTTGATAAAAGACACAAATATTACAAAGATAACGACCTGAAGGACGACTTGTGGAGAGTCATAGCGTCAGATCTCTCATATGACGATGGTTTGTGTGCTTTAACAGTTTGATAAACGTCTTTGTTTTAACTTTCATCTGTGCTAACGTATGCCAACAGTTGTTACCATAGTTTCATGTGCTTATCTTATTGCCTCTGATTGGCTATAAGTGCTGACCGTTTGGCTTGAGCGTGTGATGACGATTCCAGCTTTTCTAGCCAATCAGAGGCGAAGGTGGCAGGACTTTCCCCGGGATGCATCTTTTCCCCCCTGGAAAGTTGCAAAATCGCATTACAGTCAGGCGTGTCAAAATCCTCCTCCAAATATTTTGTAATTTCACGTATATTTGCGTCGTTCCCGGTGTGGAAGGACCTTTAGTCTGACTTTTTATCAGTGGGATGGTTGCTAAAATAAAACACTTTGGACAGAGGCTAAACAACGTGATAAAATTAGTTTAATTAATTACTTTTTTGAGATGCAAATTGCAAATGAGTATATTATGTTCCCTTTTAACAACATGAACAATAGCACATAGATGCTTAAGTAACCATGACCTAGATGTCTGATAAAGACTCTGATTCAACCAGTCAAAACACTATAAACGAGGCCAAATTTGAAGCAGATTTTGTAGTAATTTTGATGTTATTTTGCTTCTCCATTTTACGTTATCTATCCTTCATCCATCAGTGGGTTTAATCCAGCATTTCCACGCTTTAGCTGCTCATTACAGTGACTGTACTCCACTCAGAGCCTCCCATCAGCCCCTCCGTGTGTCTGTGGAGTCAGGTTGCGTAGTTCGCTCGGTATGCAAACATTAGCGGCTGAATCCCCGGTGAATAGCCGCCTTATGGGCTCTCACACCGGATGCGTTTTAGGGGCAATATGGAGGTCCGGCACGACGCGCACATAAATCACGTGTGCAGCATTTACATATCCAGTCACGTCCTAGAAAGAGTACTTCTGAATCAGCTGATTATTGTTGTGTTTGTGGAAAATTTAAAGAGTCAGAATCCAATATGAGGAATAAATGATATTTTAATGTTGATTATTGAAATAGTGTGCGAGTAAAAAGAACAGTGCGCAAAATAGGTCTAATGTTTCCCACTTAAAAGCTTTAAAAAAACACAAATTCACTCTGTATCTGCTTTAAAAAGTCACCTTACTTGGATTTGGATGGTAAGCCCAGGCCAGACTCTTTCCTTTCCCCCCTCGTTCCGTTCAGGACCGGGCTGATGTGGGCTCCATGGCACCGTCGAGTCTTGTCTGAATCGATCCCCCAGGACGCAGCGAGAAAAAACAGCCGAAACTGTGCCTGACACCGCCTCCGGGACTCGATGTTTGTCTTGAAAACAGGCTGCTGTGTACAGTGAAGGCCCCTGGAGTTAAGAGGCTGTTTCCTTGTTAACGTCAGGCCCGATGGAGAGCGAGGAGAAGACGCATCCAGAGCAGGTGCGATGCGTAAAAAGCGGATCTTGCCCCTTTTTTTCTTTAATCCGGAGCTGAAAATAAAACCACCAAAGAGCTTCTGGGTCTCGGTTTGTTCAGGATGTTTCTATGAAGGCAGGATGAGCGCTGTCAGAGGGGAATCCCGTGGTCTCATGTGTGTGTTTGCTGTGTGTTTGTGGGCTTTTCGCTGCTGATGAAATGGCAGCAGTAGCAGCAGCATCATATAGCCTGACTCATCCCGCATCAGTACCACTACCGTAAAGGACTGAAGAGAGGCGCAACGCTCCGGGAAATCGACCGTTGATGGATCCCTTAACGAAAAATGACGGGCATGTGATAAATTTAAGGGATTAATCTGATTATGTACGACTTTGTCATCATTTTTGTGTATGATGTCAAGACAAAACTGTAAAGAAAGAGGCGTAATTTCAGCTAACGTAGCGTCAAGTGACAAAAACTCTTTTTATTTGGGGGTCTCTTTCAGGAAATATGCGCTGGTTCAACATAAACACACTCTACTTTGAGAAAGTGACACAATAATTGTGTTTTTATGATACTAAAGTGTTTATTTTTCTCGTTTTTGTGTCACGCAGTACGGTTGAAAGAGCAACACAGAGGGAAACAGCACACTCACAAGCACAAGCATTACTGCGCATGAACGGAAGTGGACACACTGTGAGGTGGGAGATGTAGTTTTCTTCTGTTTTTCACAGAATCATGTTATCTGTTGGTTTTAGGACACACGTAAGTGTTAGTGCCGAATTGCAGTGTGTCTTGGGGTTTTAAGATTTATGTTTGTAGGATGAATTTGTGTTTTTTAAGGTTGTAAGACGAACATTAATAAATTTGACTGCAAGTTAGTAGGCTACTACGTTTTTTGAAGATGATTAGATAGTTGTTTTTTAATAAGAAAAGTAGTTGACTTAACACTTTCTCTTCAAAATCAAAAGTACTTTAAATTTTAAGATATAGTTTTGCCAGTTGCACCACTGTATTTTCTTACTTTTTGCTTGTTTCTATATTCGGCAATGGCCGTTAATATAGGCTTTAAAACTCAACTTTAGACACCATGTCACTGGGAACACATCCATGTTTTATTTATTTAAGGCGTGTAATAAACAGTGTCTTTATTTATTTAACAAAAACAACAAACAATTACACACTACAGCGGGGTGACGCAGCTCAAGGAAGAACATTTATGATCATTTCTTTATCATTTCCTTGAAGTAATAATCATCATATTAATCATTTTGCACTGTACTTGGAGTCCCTGAGCTCCATCATGCTGTAGCTTCATCTAGATTGTTGCAACAGACGTTTGGCTGCCTGCTTTCCAGCTGCTTCAGCTAAGTGCATCAGTCTCACTTCTGTCCATCTCTCTCTTTCTGCATCTCCCTCCATCCCCCCTCTTTAAACCCAGCTCAATATCAGCAGATGGCTGGTATTGACGATCCTTTACATGGGTTGCCATGAGTCATAAAGTGGGGGGAGAAGAAAAAAGACAAAAGCAGCTCCCAAATACAGAATTTGAACATCATTAGAAATGCCTCTAGTGCGACTATGTGACTATTAGACTATCTGACATTTCTACTGAGTCTGTTCTGCTAAATGTTGCAAAATACTTTTATACAGTGGCTTAGTTGGTTTTTTTTGCATTCTTTTTTATTTTCATCCTTTTATTTTTGCAGTTCGTATTTTTTTTCTTTGCATAGCCACTGTTTTTGCATGGTTAACTTCTTTTGTGCCTTTTTTTTTGCATCCTTTTATTTTCGAAGTTCGTAATTTTTTTATTGAATAGTTAATTTCTGTTGTGGCTTTTTTTTTTCACATTACCACTTAATTTTTTTTTGCGTCATTAACTTCTGATGTGTTTTTATTTTTTATCTGCACCATTTATTTTTTTATTTGCAGCATGCTTCAGTTTCTTTTTCTTGTATCGGTAAAGTCCGTTGTGTTATTTTTTTGTTTGCTTGTTTGTTTGCATTCTTTTTTATTTTCATCCTTTTATTTTCACAGTTCATAATTTTTTTTAATCACATAGCCACTTTTTTTGTGTGTCGTTAACTTCCGATCTTTTTTTTTTTTTTTTTTTTTTTCTTTTTTTTAATCTGCACAGTTTCCTTATTTGCAGCAGGCTTTGTTTTCCTGCACCGGTAACTTCCGTTGTGGCTTCTTCTTCTTCTTCTTCTTTTTTTTTGCATTCTTTTTTTATTTGCAGCAGTGGTCGAGCAGTTCTCGACCATCGTACTTTTACACACTGCACCTCCAAAACATTGAAACCCTCCCAAAAGAAATAGCATAAAACACAAATTAAACTTTATAAAGTTTATTTAACAGTAGAATTATTAGAATTAAAATACTACAAACCAACTAAACAACACAAAAACACTCACACAGTTTTAATGTTTGACCTGGCCCTCATTAGGGACTTTATTTGACTTTATTTCTCTGTATGCAAAACCAACTATTGACTCAATCACTGATCCTATCAAGGCTTTAGTCCCCGTATTTACCACATAATCTTTGTGTGAGACTGTTTGGTAAATTCACACACAGACACACACACACACACACACACACACACACACACACACACACACACACACACACACACACACACACACTGGAGGCGTGGTCGTCCTGACAGCTCGAGCACGAACTGCTGACAGACAGTCTCGACCTACGCAGCAGTTGTGAGGAGCTGGCAGCAGCAGCAGCAGCAGATGTGCACACAAACCGCAGGCTAAACAGACAATAACACTGTTTTTTTTCCCCTTTTTCACGCTCTTTGAACTTTCTACAGCGTTGTTTTCTCACGCAGCAGTTTGTTTTTTACCTCAGTTGCTTGCCATGGCTGAACTTACGTGACTTTGAGGCGAGTTTTTGTGCTTTTGGAAACATAAATTACAAATAATTTGAGTTTCTCTTGCGTAAAAGTGAACGTTTTATCAACTTACGTCTGAAAACGTCGCCTTTAAACCGCATTTTCCAGTCGAGGAAGTGAATTTAAGAGAACATATGTCTCATTTCAGCAACAAATAGTCGCTTTTTGCCTCTTTACATGACACCAGCCCAACCGTCTCCAGCCAAATCCTCCGTTTATTTCAGCTCGTCTTCATGCGCAGCCCTTAATTGGAGACCACACTCCTCAGCGCGCGCTCTCCTCACCTCTCCTGTCCTCGAGAGCAGGAATGATGCAGCACGAGCGCCTGCTCAAAGTCCTGGTCATCGGTGACCTCGGAGTGGGAAAAACGTCCATCATCAAGCGGTACGTTCACCAGGTCTTCTCCCAGCACTACCGGGCCACCATCGGGGTCGACTTCGCCCTGAAGGTCCTCAACTGGGACCAGAAGACGGTGGTTCGGCTGCAGCTCTGGGACATCGCAGGTGAGACAGAGAGAGAGTGTTTGAAAAAGAGATGTTATCCTTAAAATGTGGTTAAAAGAGCAAGATATTTAAATATATGTACGCTGGATTTGCTTAGTCAAATTAGAAACAACAGGAGTTTCTGAACTTTACTGTGTAGTTGAAGGGAGTTCACAGGTGTAGGGTTTGGTTCGCTTACAGACTGGGTTTTTTTGTTGTTTTAACACCAACAAGGAACAGTTTACCTTGACTGCACCCATCAGTAAACCTCTATACTCAGACATGGAGGCATTTCAGAGGTAAATATTTGAATTTTACCTTTAAATTTAGTCAAACAGCTTAGATGCAGCTCAGATTACGGTAAAAGGGATATCCCAGTGTAAAGTAAATTTAGGGTCAAACACACCGTAACACAGAGATAGACACCCTGTCGAGAGATTAATGTTGCCGACCGCTTGCTTCTCTAGTTATACCAACTTTAGTAACGACCGCAGATAGTAATACACAGCGGTCTGAGGAGCCATAGACAAATTTCGACCAAAACGCCACTCTATAGCCACAAATAATGCTCAGAACAGCACCTAACTTCATCAACAGGACATATAGGGTCACAGCCATAGCACTAGCCACCAAACATCTTTTTAACTTTGCCTAATTCCTTTGGCAAAGAGACTAAACACAACTCACCTACTCTCTTCCAGCAGGCGCTTGTTTGTAGCAAGACCTCAGGCCATTCCATTACGGACTACAGCGGAGTTTCGCAGCTCAAGGAAGAATTTTTATGATCATTACTTTATCATTTCCTTGAAGTAATAATCACCGTGTTAATCATTTTGCACTGCAGACGCGGTAGTTCTTCTGCTTTAGCGTCTCGGTCTAATTGCATTTCAATGAAGAAATGATCAGAAATGTTCTTCCTTGAGCTGTGAAACCCCGCTGTAGTCCATAATGGACTGGCCTGAGGTCTTGCTACAAACAAGCGCCTGCTGGAAGAGAGTAGGTGAGTTGTGTAATACGGTGGCATTTTGGTTGAGGTTTGTTTATGGCTCCTCAGACCGCTGTGTATTGCTATCGTGCGGTCGTTACTAAAGTTGGTATAACTAGAGAAGCAAGCAGTCGGCAACATTCATCTCTGGAGGGGGTGTCTAACTCTGTGTTTTGACCCTAAATTAATTTTAAGCCGGAATATCCCTTTAATCTACTGTTTCTGAGTAACATGAAAAGTTTCTCACGGGCTGAAAATTCTCCTAACTCTTAAACTAAATAAAACTGTTTAAACCTCCTTTTAGATTAGCTGAAAAATGCACAGTCACAAAGCTGAAAACAGGGCTGTTTCTGTGTATGAGCGTATTAAAATTTGGCTTTTTGAGCAACACGTAATTCCCATACAGAACAAATGCTAACGAATAAGTTGCAGTAGTGTAGAGGACACAGGCCCTAATGTTGCTGTAGTGAAGTGGACACAGGCCCTAATGTATAGAACACAGGCCCTTATGTTGCACTAGTGTAGTGGACACAGGCCCTAATGTATTGAACACAGGCCCTAATGTTGCAGTAGTGTAGTGGACACAGGCCCTAATGTTGCTGTAGTGGAGTGGACACAGGCCCTAATGTTGCAGTAGTGTAGTGGACACAGGCCCTTATGTATTGGACACAGGCCCTCATGTTGCATTAGGGTAGTGGACACAGGCCCTAATGTTACTGTAGTGTAGAGGATATTGTACTTTTAGTTTATGCTTAGACACACTAAGCTCTTTTAACACCGGCTAAGTCGACTTTTGAAAGTCACGGTTCACTAAGATATCCTTTCAAATAAGTTGTTTATGGATTAGTTTTGTATGAATGTATTGCAGATATTCATAACTGATGCTCTTTCGTCGGACATCTAAACAGGAATCTTTGGCTTCATCTTGCTGACACATCCAACTATGATGAGGCAAAACTTAAGTGAAAATGTGGTTAACCTTTGTTTCTGCAAATTAGAGCTCCAGCACTTCCTTTTTTTTTGAACCGAGAAAAGTTTTTTGTTCGCTGCTTATAAAACATGCCACGTCTCTCAGGTTGGTTCTTATTTAAGAAACTCTCTTCTTCTTTGTCTCTCTGCCGTCTGTGTGTTTTGCATGATACCTGATAAGAGCTGTCATTTCCATAGATATCTATATGGAGCGAAGGGACTTTGGACCAGTTCATACTGGTCTCCCTTCATTTAACTGAGTCTGTTGGCAGGTAACATCATTTAGTGTGCTTATCTAGATGGCGTCAAGTCTCAGCTCCATTGTCTACTTAGTAAGCCTTCTGTAATCAGATTAAATCAGGATCCAGAGTGATGAGATCAGACTGACCCCCATCTATTAAAGGGATATTCCGGTGTAAATTAATTTAGGGTCAAACACACGGTAACACCGAGTTAGACACCCCCTCGAGAGATGAATGTTGTCGACCGCTTGCTTCTCTGGTTATACCAACTTTAGTAACAACCACACGATAGCAATACACAGCGGTCTGAGGAGCCATAAACAAACCTCAACCAAAACGCCACTCTATAGCCACAAATAATGATCAGAACAGCACCTAACTTCATCAACAGGACATATAGGGTCACAGCCATAGTACTAGACACCAAATATCATTTTAACTTTGCCGGATTTCTTTGGCAAAGAGACAAAACACAACTCACCTACTCTCTTCCAGCAGCTACTTGTTTGTAGGAAAAGCTTGGATGAGTCGATCACCAACTACAGCGGGGTTTCGCAGCTCAAGGAAGAACATTTATGATCATTTCTTCATGGAAATGCAATCGGACCGAGACACTAATGCAAAAGAACGAGTGCAAAATGATTAATATGATGATTATTACTTCAAGGAAATGATAAAGAAATGATCATAAATGTTCTTCCTTGAGCTGCGAAACCCCGCTGATCGACTCCAAGCTTTCCCTACAAACAAGTAGCTGCTGGAAGAGAGTAGGTGAGTTGTGTTTAGTCCCTTTGTTGAATAAATAAGGCAAAGTGAAAAAGATGTTTGGTGATCAGACCAACTCTCATCTCATCTTCAACCACAGAGTGAAACACTTTGCAGCATCTGGCAAGTTGCAGTGGAGAGGACAAACTTCGTCTTAACAGGCAGAAACCTGGAGTAGGACCAGACTGATGTTAGACAGTCATCTGCTTTGACTGAGCTGGGTTTAGAGAGGGGGTAGACGTAACCTACGGCATGATGGAACCCAGGGACTCCTAGAAAAGACTATGTATTAGTTACTCTAATGGGAGGTTCATGTAGCCAATGATGTCTTGCTGCATAAGTCATGCGCGGTATAGCCGTGTGTGTGTGTGCGTGTTTATGTGTGTGACCCCCTCTTGCTGATTCACCACTATATTAGGATCATGTGGAGGAAGTTAGCCTCCAGGATAGAGACTTATTCATGGTCACGTACTGGTATGCGACAACATTTCCCCGTAAACACACCCCCTTACAGAGACGCCGTGACCTTAAACTGATTCAGTCTTGGAGTCGCAGCAGCTTGTCAAACAGTCAGTCAATCAATCAATAATCCACAGGATGGTAGAAGTTTCTTTGGCCGAGAGAAATACCCCAAATAAGCCTTTCTCAGCCTGGTTAACCCCAAAGATTTAAACCTTTTTGGGTCATAAGTGATTATATTTTGAGGGGGGATTTGGGATTTAGAGGTGAAAGCAGCTTTTCTAATGCTCCACATACTTTTACTTCATAGTTCCTGCAGTGTGAAGGTTCCTACAATCCCGAGAACTGGTCCTCTTTCTACAAACCTTGTCAAAGAATTGAATAATTAGGAATTAAAACGTTTATTTTATCCGATCAAATTAACTTTTTTAAGGGCAGGGCTCGCTACGAGAAGTTTCAGAGTCTGTAATCACATTTTAGTCCGAGGACTTCTCAGGTATCTAATCCACTTTAACGGAGTCTCAGATCAGGTTGGTGTCACTAACTGATAACACATGACTGTTTATTCTGTTGTCTTCTTTGTTTCCATATTTAGGGCAGGAACGGTACGGCAACATGACCCGAGTCTACTACAGGGAGGCGGTGGGGGCTCTCGTTGTCTTTGACATGACCAGACTGTCCACGTTTCAGGCCATCCTCAAGTGGAAAGGAGACCTGGACTCGAAGGTAAATATGAAGGAAGAGGGATATAAGTTTTTTTAGTTTACCACCCAACGTTCGACAACATATTCATGCTGTTCGTTCTCCAGGTCAAAGCCTGATGTGTAAACTGTTGACTATGTGTAGGGAAACTTAAGTATGTAAATATATTTGTATTTGAAAAGTCCAGTTTCAGTCGGACTCACGCAATGAGTAGATTTTTTAGACAACATGTGAACATACTGGCCAACAAAAAAAAAAAGAGTTATTGAACTTTTAATCTCATAATTTTAATTCTGAATCTGAAAATTACAACTTTAAATCTCTGTTTCAGTTAATTAGAAAGACTTTTAATCTCATTATTATGACTTCTTATCTCATCTACTGTTTCATCTCATTAATACAAAATTTAATCTCATTTTTTTTACTTCTTCATAATCTCATTATTTAGACTTTTTATCTTATAATTTGTACTTTTTGATCTCATTATGAAGTATCTCATAGTTTTTAATCTAATGACAATGACTTTTTAATTCATAACTATGACTTAATACTTTAAAATTCAGACTTTTTATCATAAAATTAACTTTTTTTACTTAAAATTTTTCCTTTTATTTTATATTTTCCCTTTTTATCATTTATTCTGACTTTTAATCTCATAATTCTTAGTTTTTTTTAAAGATTTGTTTTTCTTTTAGGGTGTTTTTTTTTCTCTTTTAACTGGCAGAATTAGGTTTTTATACAAACTACCATGTTACACTAAAAGCCCAACTAGACTGATCCTAACGCCAGCGCCCCCTACAGGGTGCCACGGACAACGACTTTGTCAGATCTGCCCGAAATTTTACAGGCACGTGTATCTTAATGAGATCTTTCATTTTGCGCGCTTGGACTTTTTTCTCAGACGCACGGTTAGAGATTTATTCTGCTGTTTTCGCCCCCTTCTGGCCATTTGCATATGTCACGCCAAACGTATCTCGTTTAAATTTGTTGTTTCTGCTGGTAAAAAACTTCCTCTAAACACACGCAGGATAGAAATCCCTAATTCTGCTCTTCTTTGCTTCATCAGGTCGCCCTTGGCAACGGGAGGTCGGTCCCCGCTGTTCTTTTAGCCAACAAATGCGACCAACAGCGTCTGGGTTTGTGCCCGAAGCTGCCCAAACTGGAGAACTTCTCCAGAGACTACGGATTCGTCGGCTGGTACGAAACCTCTGCGAAGGTAAGACTCGATTCTCGCTCTCTTGCTCTTCACCGGCCTTCTGTCTCAGCCGATTTGGCTTCAGCTAATTCTTATTCTGTGTCTTCATTTCACACCAATTACTCTCCTTTTGTAAAAGCTCTTCTTGGCTCCATTTATCTTCTTTAACAACAAACAGCTGCTCCAAAACCACCAAACTCAGACGTTCCTTTATCCTGCATCTTCACTAACTCTTTATTTCACTCTGAAAGCAGCAAATCAAGATTGAATTAAAGCAGAAAAACTCCTAAACCTCATTGAAAATAAGTGGATCAGAATGTTCCTCGAGGTTCGAGCCTCTTTAGTGTCATTTACTGATATTTTTGATTCCTGTTAAATCAAGAGTTTATGATTAAAACAGCACTGGGAAGTAGGTGGATGAGGGGCATCTTGTTGCTCATCTGTTGGACTCGGCTGATTTGATTTTCTCTATCAACTTATTCAGCTGATCTCAATCTAGAGGTTAAAGACAGAAGCAGAGTTTTATCAGGAGAACAGTGACGAGCCTTTGTTCCCGATCTCTGACCTGCTGGCTCCGTTTTCACTTACCTCTTTAACCTCTGATCACTTTTTAATCCTCTTTTTATAAACAAGAACTTCAATCCCAACGAAGAAGTCAAAGATCAATCTGAGCCGTAAACACCGCCACCACTTTTTGTAATTCACTTCTGGCGAGTGTTTCAGCTTCTTTCAGTTCATTGTTTTGGTTTTAACGTCCGCCCTTGTTTTGTTTCAGGTCACGACTTCCAGAAATGACATGAAAACTTCAAATAATTGTTTTGTGTCGTCGTTTCTCCAGGACAACACCAACATCGACGCCGCCATTACCTGCCTGGTGAGGAACATCATGTCCGTGGAGGAGGAGAGAGAATCCAGGGACGCCTCTGCCACCGGCGCCGGCAGAGGAGAACCCGACGGCAGCGTTCTGGTTCTTCCTCGGTTCGAGTACAACACCAGGGAGAAGGGACTGAGCGGATGTTCGGGATGTTCGTCGCATAAACACAAAGACGGAGAAAACGCCTGAAAAGACTGAAGGAGAGACTGAAACCCGACAGAGCAGAGCAGGATGGTCTTTGTTACTGTGTGATTATTTTATTATTAGGACTGAAATCCTTCCTCCATCCTGACCTCACTATGAAACGTCAACAGAGATGACTTTAAGTTTTAAAAACATCAAAAATCAAGAATTAGAAATGCTGTATTTAAAAATACAAAAAAGATTTATTATAAAAAATGACACCAAAGCAGTTTTGTTAATCATAAAGAAAAAGTTCCTCTTAGAAACATCTCTGCAGCACAGCGCACCAAACAAAAATAGATGAGTATTTTTCCGACTTAAGGCACACTAAAAATACTTACATTTTCTCAAAAATCGACAGTGCGCCTCATAATCCAGTGCGCCGTATATATGATTACTTGTCGTGTTTATTGACTGATTTTATGTGGTACAATGCGCTCAAAAATCTGTCGAAATGTGGAAGTATGACTTTGGTTAGCAACGAAGCCACTTCGCTAAATGGATATTCGGAGCGTTACGATACGCTGTGTTACTACCTGATCGGTAACGTAACACGACCCCTAAACAGTCTACAACACTGCCTAAACTAGAGGTGCATTCATGTAAGGCAGCCCGCGACGCGAAATTTTATTTTGTTGGATGGTAGGGGAAGGTCCCGCCCTCCTTCGCCTCTGATTGGCTAGAAGTGCTGAGCTCCGATTGGTTATTCCGAATGGCTGTGAAAAGTCATCGTCTGTCGGGTAAGGGTTAGGAGATTCAGAAGTGTGAGAATGTTCTGTTCGATGTACAGAGCCGACAACCTGCATTTGGTTTGAGCATTTGATGACATTTCCAGCTTTTCTAGCCCATCAGAGGTGAAGGAGGCGGGACTTTCCCCTACCATCGTACAAAAAAAAAATATCGCGCCCGGGCCCGGATTACGCTAGCAGCAATAAACCAATCAATGCTAAATGCACCTTACAATCTGGTGCGCCTTAAATGTGAACATGGACATGTTACTTCACAGTGCGCCTTATCGCCTGAAAAATACGGTATTTTGTTTGAAATATTGATTCTAGTTTTAAAAATGTAGAATTTAAAAGTACTCGTAAAATTATTAAACTGCTTTTAAAGTCACAAGTTTGCTGTGTCGTATTGCAAATGTCTTATTTTGTGGATTAACTCTTTTATAATAAAAAGTGAACGGCAGATGTGGATCCTATTTGAAAGCCAAAACATTACATTTATGAAAAAAAAAAAAAGATTTGAGAACTTTTTGAACAATAAAAATTAGACTCAAACTTTTAATTTCAGAACAAGTTTACCATTTCTATCAACAACAGGTTGAGGAAGCCTGAAACATATTTATCTCCCGTCCCTGTTATTTCTGTTTTTATTCTGTTATTTCTGCTCTTATTCTGTTTTTCTGCTTTTACAGCGACCCGTCTGTCGTTCAGAGCTTCAAATCAAACCCTGATTGTATCTCAGATTCTTCAAATCAGCCCACGTGTTCGGCCCCGCGCTCGCTCAATTTGCTGTTCTGCCTGATGGGTAATGCACTGTAATTTTACGCCCACCCATGTGAACATGCCCACCTGCCGTTCCACGGAGAACGGATAATAATAACAGTAACTTGCCGTCAGTAATGAGTTTCTATTTTCCATCAGCTTGTTCCATTTCTGAAGCGTTCGCGGCCTGAAAAGAATCAATTCAAGTCTGACACAAACGATTTCTGGGGAGTCCCGTTTTTCTGAAAAAAATCACAGAGACATTCCCAGCACTCCCACTGCGATATATTGTATGTGTCAGTATTGTGTGGTAGATTTCACAGTATTCCTCATTATTAGCAGAAAATCTTCAATTACCAGATTCCCACCAGAAGGTTATAGCTGCGGCAGAATATGGTCTATACTATCAAAGGATTTATTTATGCGGCTACAAAAATACTCCCCTAGTTTCGCCAGTTGGTAGAGTCTCCATAGCAACGTGAGCCTATTCTTACCGACCGTCATTTTCATTCACAGGAAATCACCAAGAGGAGGTAAAAACTGAAACAGGACATTAAATATCAGTTCATATCATGTGGCATTCTTCGGTCTGGAGAGATGTAGTTAATGTGAAAATGCTAAGAAAAAAAACTGCAGTTCCTCGAGTGTCCACTAGAGGCTGTCTGCAGAAGCACCAAAAACCACATACACACTCATTAAAAAAAGCGCATTTTACGAAAAACAGGTATGTTACAAATGAATATATTATGCTGCGTTTGAGTTTCTTCGGAAGTCAGATGTCCGAGCTGGGAATGACGTCACATCCGAGTTACCAGCGGCAAGTCGGAAGAAAGCAAAATCGGAGGTGCAAACAAGATGGCTACATCTACGAAAGTTATTTCGGCGCTCGCTTTCGCCTTGCTTATCTTCAGACAAGGTCAGATGTCCGAGCTGAGAATGACGTTACAACCGAGTTGACGACAATCCAATAAAAAAGTCGGAAAACCAAGGTAGACGCCTACAGTTAGCCATTGTTAGCTGTTGTTTACAATTGTCAGCTGTTGTTAGTCGTTGTCAGCTGTTGTTAGCAATTTTAAACAACGCCATAGCACCATGTTCACAGTTAGACGTTGGGCGGCACAACATATACCACTTATTTAATTTCACCAAAACAAAACAAAAGTGCTAATAAATAAAACATTACGAGAGATTTCACAGATTTCGGACAAGGCAAGCGCTAAAATAACTTTCGTAGATGTAGCCATCTTGTTTGCGCCTCAGAGTTTGCTTTCTTCCGACTTGGTAACAGAAACGCTGGGAACTCGGATGTGACGTCATTCCCAGCCCGGACTTCTGAATTCTGAGGTGACTTGAACACAGCATTATTATCTGACATTTGTTTTCTTTTTTTTCATAGATGATCTATCTATCTATCTAGACATCTATCCTTTCTTTTGCAAACTCTCACCTGGAATTATGAATTCTGCATCACTGAAATTAGAGCTGCTTCAGTTTTCTTACCACATTTATGTCTTGATTTAGGGGTGAGTAAATCCATGATTGTGTGCAGATTGAACCACTAGAGGGCGCCAAATGTTGTGCTTTCATCCAGAAGTGAGGACCTTGAAAAGACTGTGATTCCAGGTCATATCAGGATTTTAAAGTGTGCATTTAGACTCGTTTCATCCCTGTGTTGTGTTTTCCTTTCTCCCTCTTCCCTCCCTGTCGGCTCCTCCGTCAGCCTCCTCCTCCCTGCTCGTGTCGGAGTAAAACCTCTTTTCTCTGTTGTATTCATGGACGTTGGTCTGATCAGACTTGCTTCGTAAAAAGAGCAAAAGATTGAAGCCAAATGACAGAGGTACGGGGGGATGGGAAGCTTGTCTGTTTGTGAACGGGGTTCCTCCAGCCTGGGGGGACTGACGCCTCCTGAGAGGACGCCGGCTGCTGAACCTCCTCTCTGCATTGATTTGTTTTTCTGAAGCTCTTCGGAGGCGAGCGTCAACGCAGGCGTGAATCTGCCTCTGAACCTGTTGCACCTTGAAAAGACGGATATCTTCACAGTGAGGTAATGAGAAGTTTCTTTATTCCTGAAATTCATTTGTGTCATTTTCCCTCTTTAAGATCTATTCTGTTTGTTTAAAACCTGATTTCATATATCTCAATTAAATGGTTCATTTTGTGAAGCTCTTGTTTTAGATTTGTTCCTTTTTTGACTTGATTGTGTTTTGTAGTTGCAGATTTTTTGCTGTTTTTTGAGTCATTTTGCAAATATCTAGACTGCACACTGTGTCCGCATGTCAAAAATGCTGTTTTTGTGCACCTATCACCTTGACCTACATGTGTATTTCAAAACCTAGACTTGCTCCGTCTCACTTATGAAGGAACTGTTTCCGTCTTTGCTCAAAGTTCCTTATTGCAGCATATTTCATCTGACTCTCTTGTTTTATCTACTGACATTATTTCATGTTTTGTGTGTCGAAAAGAGACTTTAAAGTGCTTAACAACGGTTTTCAATTTATCTAGAAATCTCTAGAAAAAATGGCTGCTGCTGTCAGGATCCTCGTCAGCCTGTTTCTGATGCTTCACCTCAGCAGAGGTGAGTGCTGGATGCCTTTCATTAAAACATTACAGCTATGTTCACACTGCAGGTCAATTCCGATTTTTTAACCATATGTGACACTGATTTTACATATAAGTGTGAACAGTGCAATTCTGATTTTTTCAAATCTGACCCAGGCCTCTTTTGTATGTGGATATAAATTGGATATGTATCCGATGTGACTGCAGCGTGGACGCTCAGGCACGTTCATCCGACCTATACGTCGCCAATATGCGACAAACGTCACCATTGTTCGGCAACACAAACAGGCGCGGAAAGCAATTTGTGCTTTGTGCACACTTCACGGACACATTCCGTTCACATTAGATGCCGCATTCGTTGTTGTAATGTGAACAACCGCACAAAAAGATCGAGAGAACTTTAAACCTGCGAGCTAATAGCTAAACTGTGCAGCAATAGTAATAATAAACATGATAATAATAACATGACTGAATAATAATTACTATTATTATCATGTTATTGTCATGTTATTATTATTTCATGATTATTCAATAATAATAATTCAGTCATTAAGCTAGGGTGACCATATTCTGAATCCCCAAATGAGGACGTGACTAGGCGAGGGCGGAGTCACAGAGTTTGCGCTAAGTTAATTTTGAGAGTTTTTCAGTTCGGATCGAGTGTCTTTTATGCGCTTCTAACTCAGTAAGTCCACATGACACAAACTCGAAACTTGAATGAGTGTTCTGGCTCAAAATGCAGTGGGTTAGCTGATGTTGTCGTTTACTTGCTAGCTTAGTTGTTTATTAGTAACTATGGGAACCCTCGCACAAATTTTTGTTGGCTAGCTTACATTGCTGGGGGGGCAACTGCCATTCCGACATTGGTCTCTAATTGTCGGAGTGGCGGTATGTTACCATGCTATCAAACGTCCCATCATTCCGACAGCTCTCGTCGCTCAGGTTCGGCACAGGGCTCGCTCAGCTACGCTCGGGACTAAATGACGGATTCCAGATGTGAATGTGCACCCCCCCTTCCCCCTTATATGGAAAGCTGCGTCGGAATGGTGAGACGTCGGAGTGGCAGCATGTAACCAACTTAAGCTAGCAAATACAGGTGTCCTAGCTTACACAGTGTTAGCTCGCTACCATCAGATTTTAGGTAAAATTCGCACCTTCACCATGACAGAAGAAATTAAATGATTACCCAGGGTCTGAGTGTTTTTGAGAGCTAAACCAAAGCATAATTAGAAAACCACTTGTAGGACTGGTAGGAAATTTGAATGTTTTGTTCGTGTTTTATCCACATTTTACAGCCGAGATGAGATTTTCATGAGTGCTCAGTCAAGTGGATGGACTTCAAAATTGAAGCGAGCTGTTTAATTCTGAAACATGTTTTGGTTTCAAATTAGAAGATAAGAACCTGTGACTGTGTGTCCACATAAATCTGATTTATGATCCTTTCACTAAGAAGCCGGGTAAACCCCCGTGCTGTAGTCTTAGTCAGGAAACCAATCATCCGCTGCCGCCCCTCACTCTCTCGACCTCATTCAGTGCTTCAACCAATGAGGGGACCACAGTGCAAAAATAAGCCTTCTTGACCAGCAGCCTCCTCACCCTCTCAGCATCATTGGTACACCATGTTGTCTTCAAGCACTCTTCAAGTAAATAGAGAGATTGTTTCTGCAGCAGCGGCTGTGAAGGTTTAATTAACCTGGACTTGAAGAGAGCCTCTATCAATTGTACTGTGAAAGACTTCCCTTATAAATATGTCCCTTTGACTTTCTTTGTCTTTCCACTCTTCATATCTAAACTGCTTCATGGTCCCCAGAGGATGACTCAAATCCAATTACGTTGGTGATTCCCTCAAAGTCTTTGGGGCCCAGTAAGTTTTCCCTTTATTTTGATTTTGGTCTGGAAATGTATGGTTTGGGTTTACATTCATCCCTGGGGAATAACTTTGGTGATTCCAAAAACACACAAAAAAAATAACATTTAAAGGGATATTCCGGCGTAAAATTAATTTAGGGTCAAACACACCATAACACCGAGTTAGACAACCCGTCGAGAGATGAATGTTGCTGACTGTTTGCTTCTCTAGTTATACGAACTTTAGTAATGACCGCACGATAGCAATACAGACAGCCTCGCGCTCAACCAAAACCCCACTCTATAGCCACAAATAATGCTCAGAACAGCACCTAACTTCATCAACAGGACATATAGGGTCCCAGCCATAGTACTAGCCACCAAATATCTTTTCAATTTTTCCTAATTTTTTCAGCAAAGACACTAAACACAACTCACCTACTCTGTTTGTAGCGAGACCTCAGGCCAGTCCGTTACGGACTACAGTGGGGTTACGCAGCTCAAGGAAGAACATTTATGATCATTTCTTTATCATTTCCTTGAAGTAATAATCACCATATTAATCATTTTGCACTGCAGGCGCGGTAGTTCTTCCATCTTAGTGTCTTGGACTGATTGTATTTCCATGAAGAAATGATCATAAATGTTCTTCCTTGAGCTGTGTCACCCCGCTGTAGTCCGTAATGGACTGGCCCAAGGACTCGTTACAGACAAGTGGCTGCTGGAAGAGAGTAGGTGAGTTGTGTTTAGTCTCTTTGCTAAAGATGTTAGGCAAAGTTAAAAAGATGTTCGGTGGCTTGTGCTTTAGCTAGGACCCTATATGTCCTGTTGATGAAGTTAGGTGCTGTTCTGAACATTATTTGTGGCTATAGAGTGGTGTTTTGGTTGAGGTTTGTTTATGGCTCCTCAGACCGCTGTGTATTGCTATCGTGCGGTCGTTACTAAAGTTGGTATAACTAGAGAAGCAAGCAGTTGGCAACAATTATCTCTCAACGGGGTGTCTAACTCAGTGTTATGGTGTGTTTGACCCTAAATTAATTTTACGCCGGAATACCCCTTTTATGGTCCAAATTTCCAATTAGTTGTTATCTATTCGTGGTCTCATAGGATCAACCCCAATATCCTCTATGATCTTGGATGGTCTCTCATGTTTTCTGTGACTGATATTCCCCCTTTTCTCTTTCTTGAATCTCCAGCTCAGGGATCCAGCGATAACTCCTTTAACACCTTCATCATGCTGTTCAGTTTGAGTCCTCAGTCCTTCGCCAGTCTTCTCCTGCTGGGGCTAACCGTGGTCCTGTCAGGAAGTATCTACCTGTGGGTCCTCAGATACATCTGCCTCGGTTGCTGCCAACCCGTGGCAGTCGGTACTGAATCAGACACTCTTGCTGGAGTGGTGTGAAACCATCAGTACTGACCTACATGGGTTGGGAATCACTTATTCCTGAGCAAGGCGAGTTGTCACTGGGGACATGTTCCTTCCGACCCGTGAATTGGCTCGAGTCACGATAGAGGGTTGGACTCTGATGGAAGAAGTCACACCTCATATGAGACATGAAGTGTCCCCCGTTATAGAAGGAATCAACGGTGTAGGCTGAGCGTTTTCACAAATAATGAGCACTTGTGCTTGTTTGAAAGACCAAAATGGTTTTGGCTGCCGACAATGACTTTTTATCATGGGCGGAAACAAACGAATGATCTCTACGCTGAACAGAAAAGGGATTGGAAGTTCCCAGCCAGAAAACGGACACAAAAAGGCTCGTATTTCACTCTGTGGTTCATTTCTCTGACTCAAATGTTCTTCTTTGCTTTGCTATTAAAGCCTTTTCAAGAACCTTCATCGACATCTTTCTGCCACATGCCCCTTTTTCTCCATATTCACACCTTTTTTCAGCTCCTACCAGCCTCACAGTTTCTTGACCTTCTCATCGTATTAGCTCATCTCAATTCAATACCCCCATCAGCCTCAATACGATAGATACTTGACCTTTTCTTTGTCTCATCGTCAAGTCAACCCAGACATCGTTGACCTACTTCCATCTGTACCCTGTCATTGCTCGGCTGACCTGCTTTCCCGTCAAAATCGCTCATGTTTTTCAACTGGTGTTTTTTGATATTTTTCTTTTTTTTTTTTAGCTTGAATTCATATCAGCATCCTCATGCGCCACGTCAGCATAATGCTAACGTTTAACGCTCGGAATAAATGAGTGCCTTAAGCCGGTTTCGGATATCAGTCCATGAGGCAAAAAATGGTCTGGTCCTTCTAGATCTCATATTGTAGTCTAAAAAATGGTTCATAATTGTTTGATACGTGTTGTTTTTTTAGCAGTGGTTGTCTTGTTGGAAGCCTTTAACTGAATTTTTTAGGGAAGGTAATGACTGTTGTGTTATTCTGTGAAATCCAGTATGAAACAATTGAAAAAGCATTTTGGGCACCTGAAAACACAGGCGTTTGATACGCCCCAAAAACTACGTGGACTGGGTCTTACATCTCTTTTCCACTTACATAGGTGAATCAAATACTTAGATTTGTAAAGGAAGCAAGCGGCAAAGTCCAGTCTTAAAAATTAAAGTCATGTAAAAGTGTGAAAAACTGCAGAGGCCAATTTTTAGAGCAAACAAATTCAAGGGTAAACGCAAAAGTTCTTTGCCTAATTGGCATTTGATCTACATGGGAACGGCGTTGTGACTGTAAGCAATACTTTCTGAAAACAGGTCCCAGATTGCAGTAATCTGTATATAACTATTGTTTCGATTCTGTGAGGATGCCTACTTGTATCTTTCTTGAACTGCCGCCTGTGTGGATCCTGCTAAAACACCTTCATACCCATACTCTGTACTCTTCTTTGGTCTTTTGGTACATTTTTGGGGGAGCGTTACAGCGCCATTTACTGGTGTGGCATATGCACTACATTGTTTTCAGTGGTTTCATGTTTGCGTGAAAATTTCCTGAAACGGCAAGCGGTCGGCAACATTCATCTCTCGACAGGGTGTCTAACTCGGTATTACGGCGTGTTTGACCCTAACTTAATTACGCCGGAATATCCCTTTAAATAGACGATACCTCTTGCGTCCAACACAAGGAAGTGCAAAATGAATGTCGTCACTCAGGTTGAAGGTGTGTTAAAACTCGGAAAACACGAGAAGTTTATATAAGCGAGACATACAAACAGAGCAGAATGACCTCATCAATGTGCACTCAAGATGGTTATATCATCCTGAGTACAGAGTGTTTCTCTGATGAACTAGACTCCAGTGAAAGGCGATTGAAAACACAAGGATGCCACAAACAGAAACAAGCAGAAAAACCACAAAGACTGTCTTTTTTTTTCAGTTCTTTTCAGTCTGAGGTAAATAGTACCTTTGTTCACTAATATCTCTATAAACCGCTGAAGTACACTCTGTGACTCTGTGTACCATCTGTGTGTGTCTTTGAATAAATGTGAAATAATAACAGAGAAGATGAGTCACCGCGCAGTCTGTGAATAATGAACTGAGCATCTCTGCAAAGCCGAGGCGTCGGGTTTGAGTCTAAACAGATTTAAGTTTATCAGTCTCATTATTCAACAGCTTGGCATCTTTTTCTGAGTGATTAAGTGACCTGAGAGAATATTAGGCAGCTCGGCATCACAAACACGACATGAGTACACAAAGACATCACAATGTTATGATGTTTCTGTACACTGTGCTGCAGAGGTGGGGGCTTGACGACTCGACTCGAGACTCGACTTGGACTTGAGTCTCATTTTTGACTTGCTTGATGAAATCAAGAAATGACTTGGACTCGCTTGGGACTTGATTGCTAAAGACTTGAGACTTGACTTGACTTGAGCCCAGTGACTTGAAAAGTCAAGTCAAGTCTTCTTAAGTCACTTAATACCTTACAGCCCAAACCGTTTAAAAAGTGTTGCATCAACTAATAGTCAGTAATTACGGCCGTTGGTAACGCTGTGTTATGTTGCCAAGTCTGCTTATTTCCCGCAAAAGAAATTCGCTTGTTTTTGTCTTGTTTCTGGAGGTCTGTTTCCTTATTTCTCTCACAAAACTTGGCAACACTGTCTCAAACTGTAAATCTTTGCATATAACAGATGGCTTATGGCTTTGATATGACTTGTTTTTGCCTTGAAAGAAACGGTAAGGACTTGGTTGGGACTCGAAACAAAAAGTTCAGGACTTGGACTTGACTTGGGACTTGTCTGTGTTGACTTGGACTTGACTCGAGACTTGAGAGCAAAGGACTTGGACTTGACTTGGGACTTGTCTGTGTTGACTTGGACTTGACTCGAGACTTGAGAGCAAAGGACTTGGACTAGACTTGGGACTTGTCTGTGTTGACTTGGACTTGCCTCGGACTTGAGAGCAAAGGACTTGAGACTCGACTTGGACTTGCAACATAAGGACTTTCCCCCCTCTGCTGTGCTGACAGAAATAAAACTGTGAACCCTTTTAAAGTAAAACATGTGGACGGCTTGTATTGATTCTTATTAAGTTTTTAAGAGTTCAAGCTCAGGCAGACCTTGAATCAGAAATTCTGTGACGTGATTGACAGGGAGGGAGAAACTTTGACGTCTATCTTCTGCAAATTTATCCAAGAAATTGAAGAGTATTCATCTTTTCTGTCGATGTTTTTGTGTATTCATGGAGTCGGCGCCGACTGAAGCTCAGCTACCTTTGGGAAAATCCTTGGTGATTAACAACAGAGGAAAAATTATGTAAATTGACTCGACAGCACCACTGTTAAGATATTCAAATGTGTTATCAAAGGACATCTAAATCACTAAACATTTAACGATAATCCAAACTAAACAGAGTCCAACTAGAACAGCCCCGTTCTCCAAGAAATCCTCTTAATCCATCCCCAGAAAGAGCTTCAGGTCTAATCCTCACTGAGCCCTCGCGGGTTTAAGAGTCCAAGTTTAGAAATTCTTAATATCAGGAGGGAAAGTGGAGCTTTAATTTCCATTAAATGTGCCGGATAGACGTAACAGCCGTGAACCGCCGGACTATTAGACGAGCAGAGATCCTCCGACCTCGAGGATTTCCCGAAGCCCCGGAGTAATCGCTTTTTAAATGTTTAATATGATTCACATTTTTGAGATTTATGACTGTGAACCAGTATCTAACCAGCAGGATTGATGCTTTATACCACTAGGGGGCAGAATAAACAATTTAGAGCAGGAAAACTTCATCAGTTAATACTTTTGTAAACTCAGGAGATGCAGAGGAGACTGATTTTGGAGTCACTTCATGAACCTGGGTCCTATTTTCTCTTTTTTTTCTCTACAAACACAAGTCGGTTTTTCTGCTCATACCCTCCACTTATTTTCTAGCGGTCTCTTTTTTAACTCTTTGGTGTTGAATGTTTTTTTTTTCATCTGACTCAAACTCATATTTTGTCCTGAAACAACAGCCCGCTGCCTCTCAGTCTGATCCCCTGCCATCCTTCATTCATCCACCAGATGGCCTCAGAGCAATCACTGTTTCCACTCTGTGGTTTGATCTGTTTGAGTTCATCTGTATTTGAGTCTGTTTTATTTCTAACTCAGTTAAAAAATCTGTTCAACTAAGAACCAAAATAGAACCGTAAACTGGCCTTCTATTGTCCCATATATTTAACTGAACTTTTAACCGTTCAGGAGCCGGGTAGAGCTCTGAGATCGTCGAATCAACTTCTGCTGGAGGTGCCCGGGTCAAAACACAAACACTGGGGTGACCGAGCCTCTTCAGTTGTTGGTCTCAGGCTCTGGATTAAGCTCCACGCTGAAATGAGACTTATTTCCGACCTTAACCCTTTTTAAATCCCGATTGAAAACAAACTTATTTATGCTGGCTTTTAATACCCAGTAGCGTGGTGACACTTTATTTTTTTGGATTGTATTTTATTCTTTTTTAAACTTCTATTATTGCTTTTGTTGCTTTTTACTGTATTTATTTAATCATTTTTATTTTCTATGTATTGTAAAGCACTTAAGTTCACTGAAAGGGTTGTTGTAAAGGGCTGTATAAATAAAGAACATTTACATTTAAAATCTGATAAGTTTGAGACTCTAGATCTCTGATAGGCCACTTTTATATCATTAAAACTCTTGACACACGGGTTTGATTAATATACAGTAAACTAGCAAGGGATAAGTTAAGGTCGGATATTGGGCGTATCATGAAAGAGGGTTCCAGCTCCAACAAAAAACTATTCTCAAAACCCAAGAAGATTCAGTTTGAGAATGTCACGACTAATTTTTATTTCTATTTTTTGCAGGAAACGCATGTCTGACCAGTATATTAGTCTTAAATAAGAAAACACTCAGAAAAAAAAGGTCAAAATTGAGCATAATTTAGTTAATATGGTCAAACGCAGGACAATAGAGTATAACAAAGTTTAATAGCGCCAATTCACAACAGTCATTATCCCAAGATGCTCTCCAAAAAAGGGGCAGGTCTAGGCCACGCTCATTGTTTGATGAATTACCAAGACCCAACCTTAAGATTTCATCTTTTCATTTAATCTAACATGAGTGACAGTGGCGAGGAAAAACGTCCTTTCAACAGGCAGAAACCTCGAGCAGGACCAGACCACATTAGAGCAGTTTATCTTTAAGTGAAGGTCGTGATTTTAAAACACTCTCAGGTAAATTAATATGGATTTAACTGCAGAGATCTGAAGCTCAGACTCTCCAGATCTGTTATCTCCTCGTGTTGAGCCCCCTCCTCGTTCGCAGCCACAGTAACCACACAGGAGTTAACCCTCTCTGACGTCCTACAGCTAATTTACACATTACATATGAACCGTGAGCACCTTTGGGCCCCTCTGTCTTCGACTCCCTGTCAGCTGACCTCGTCTCCATCCGCTGCCTGGTAACTGATTTACCCCCAATCTCCCCCACCCGCCCTGGGTGAAGCAGCCGCTCATCCCCGTGATTGACAACCGCTGATGGGACCGGGAGGCTGTTGCCAGGGGCTACGGTAAGGGTTCTCCCCGCATCTTCGCTGTTGCCATGGAAATAGGGAGTTCGGGCTTTCTGCCTGCAGATGGCAACACAGCACTCCGAGTCGGTGAAGGAGGGGAGGAGAGGTTAAATGAGTACACGGGTGGCAGAGTCGGTGTCTGCAGGATGCAGGTGGGATTTTCGGGGGGCTGCACGAGTTGACATGAGTCTCCTCTGAGTGCTACTGTCTCTGTCTTTTATATTCATGTCAGGTGCGGGCTCTGAGGTCCCTGAATGCATCACTGTTACTGTCTATCTTCTCTTTGTTCTGCATTGCATTGATTCCTCCTCCTTTTCTGCTGGATGCAATTAAGCAATTTTTGGATTTCGCCTCTCTCTCAGTGCACTCAAGAAACTCGAGTATCAAAAGAAATCATGCCGGTGGACTTGTATTTTGAAAAGCTGTTGATTCGGTCCATTGTCACAGCTGTTACAGCACATGAAAGCTGTTTTTGTCCTCAGTGCATGCAAAAATGGGAACTGATCCCTCTTTGGTGGTCTGTGCAGCTCTAACCACTTCCATCCACTGTGGCTGATTTGCTTTCTTCCTCTTTTTTTTCTTTTTCTTCTTCTCTGTGCAGGATTTCGCAAAAACAAGAGGAAGAGGATGACAACAGATGAGAACAACGTCTGCCTACATCTGGATCATACACATATGCACACATTCCCCCCCCTCTCTGAATCTAATCAGTTCTGGCTGTTTCTTCTGACAGTCCATCAAACATGTTCTCATCCCGAGTCGTCAAATATTGACGCTCTGGCACGTCCTCGCGGCGTCTCGATGCCCGGTTGCATGAACAGACCCACATGGTGCCTCTCCTTTTTTCCTCTCCTCATGCAAATCAGCCTCTTTGGTTAATTTTAGACGCAAAATATAAACAGTTTGAAGGTCAGAAGGATCACGGCGAGGGAAAAACAGGCTTTTTAAACAGTAACACGAGCCTTTCGCACAATCTGGAGCTCAATTAACTGGTGAAAAGAGTGGAAGAGCCGACAATGAGGGGGAGAGAAAATTGGTTTCACATGAAAGATTCATCACTGACAGTTTAAAGACAGTGATTTGTCCGTCATTTTAATTTCAGAGCATGTTTCATCCTCGCAACGGCAGCAATCATGAAGATTTCATCCTCTGCGATGTGTTTGAACACGCCTGCAGACGTTTTAGAGCTTCGCTAACAAACTACATCCGCACTTATCTTCAATTTAAAGCCGGCATCGCAAATCCTGACGAGGTATTACAACCGTACAAACACTGATGATACTTGATGTGTGTGTCAGGCTACAAAGAGCTTCATAATGGGCGATAAAAGCAGACAGGCAAAAACTCAAACAGCAATTAGAGAAGAGAAGCGGCGTGTAAGTTTTTGCAAAAACACACAAATGGAGGCAACAAGTCTTTCGTAAATATCACGATATTTCATGGTCGTGATAATCGTCTGATATCATGACAATCCAAGTTGAAATGTGTCCTTTACGAAGATTAGAATTGGCATCTAAAATTATATCTCTTTAGATAGTCTGCTGGTTTGAGAGCTCCCCCTGCTGCCTGGTGGTTGTATGGGCCATAAACTGCCTTCTCCATGTAAACAGATGGGACATGGGTCAAACTTTCAAATCTTTATACGCACAGCAGAAATATTAATCACACATTCCTTCTCTTGTTAAAGATTGTTCTTATCATGCGAAATAATACCCTACTATTAGTTTATTCTCTAAGCGCAATTTTAATCAGTTATTAGCTGTAGAAATTGAGCAATTTTGTGATGATTGACAGCTACATTTCTATGAAGTCACTAACGATGGTTTCCTCATTCAGTACATTTTACATTTGTAGTAATGTTGAGTTACAGTTAGAGCACAATTAGACGATTAAACTGTCAGTGGCAACATGCCCCCTTTAGCTCGCTACTATCAGGTGGACTCCTGGTTAACCGATCAAAACAATTGACAAAACCTGTGAGCGGGAGGCAATATTTTTTTTGTAGAGATTGGCAAACCGCTAGTTTGTAGTGAGACCTTTACGGACTACAGGGGAGTTTCGCAGCTCAAGGAAGAACATTTATGATCATTTCTTCATGGAAATGCAATCAGACCGAGACGCTAAGGCAGAAGAACTACCGCATCTGCAGTGCAAAATGATAAATATGGTGATTATTACTTCAAGAAAATGATGAAGTAATGATCATAAATGTTCTTCCTCGAGCTGCGACACCCCGCTGTAGTCTGTAATGGACTGGCCTGAGGTCTCACTACAAACAAGCGGCTGCTGTAAGAGAGTAGGTGAGTCGTGTTTGGTTGCTAGTACTATGTCTGGGACCCTATATGTTCTGTTGATGAAGTTAGGCGCTGTTCTGAGCATTATTTGTGGCTATAGAGTGGCGTTTTGGTTGAGGTTTGTTTATAGCCCCTCAGACCGCTGTGTATTGCTATCGTGTGGTCGTTACTCAAGTTGGTATAACTAGAGAAGCAAGCGGTCGGTAACATTCATCTCTGGAGGGGGTGTCTAACTCTATGTTACGCTGGAATATCCCTTTAACTACATTACAAAGATATGTAAGTCTGACTATGAGAGGTTCGATTTAGAGTGATTTCAGTTCTATGTGAACACACTGATGTTGAAGTAGAAGGATTTCTTTCGGGCCAGGTGTCTCCAGTGTGAGCTAGTCCATCCATCATTCCAATCATCACATTTCTGCGAGAGTTTTCTTCTCCTTTTATTTGAGGGTGTAGAGGAGAGGTCAGTGTGGGTCGAAAGCATCGAGTCGATTCCACCAATTTGCCTGCTTCTCTCTGTATTTCTGGAGTCAGCGTGTGGTATTTCTCGCCCAGGCAGGAAATACTGCAAACTGCAGCTACCTCCTTGAAAGTGAAAGTAACCGTCTGCCAGTCTGACACACACCCTACAACAATGAAGAAGAACCGCATATGTGGTTTACAGTATCACCCATCATCCAGCCTCTCTTTCTCTCATAACTCACTGTCCTCATGTCCCCCTGCGCTCTCATTGTAAGGTCATGCGTGGATAGAATCAGGTTTTTCACTGGAGCTTTATTGCATCATGGCAGCATACAGCTGTAATCCATGTAAGCCACTTCAGATGTCTGGGAACAGCAGCTTGTATCTCATTTAACATCTCATACAGAGTGTGAAATACAGTCCTCCTCTGCCATAGATTTGATTTATTCAGCTCTCACATCCGCCGTGAAACCCTCTCCACCGTGCACGCCGCTGCACGAGCGTGTCCCCGCTGGTTTTTCAGCACACCGTGTTCCACATAGTCTGGAGTCAAACAAGGACACGGCGTCTGAGGAATCGTCTCATACCACCTTAAATTTGGATTACAGCAGCGCCGGGCGTGCTTCTACAAAGACGCAGCGTGGATATTTCAGTGGGTTTGTCTTTGTCTTTTCACTGGAACCCCTTCAAGGTGTGAAAATGAATTAAAACGTGACACTTTGGTTTCACAAATTCCGCTAGGATTTCACTCATGACACCTTAAAAACTACTCTCACTCCCCAGGTCTTGTCCAATCGACTATTGAGGCGTTCAAGTGCTTTCGGAGAAAAAGAAAGTACTTGTAGTTTAAGGACAAGTATTGTTGAAACACTGCAGCACAAAGTATCTTAGACATTTTCTTGCATTAATGAAAGAAACAACACCATTTTGGGTTATTTAATTCACAAGTTGGAGTGTTTATTTTATATACATTTTCCATTTTGTCCTTTAGCATTTTTTTTAACATTCCAGAATTTTTTTCAGTTTTTCCATTACCAAAAACTCTTTTTTAATATTTGAGATCACTCTTGTTTTTTCTATTTCCATTTTTTCATAATTCCTTATGTTTACCCTTCCCCAAATCCTATGATAACTGAGTATATTATAGTACAGTGAGATAAAAATGTTATATTTCAGTATGATAAAAATACCATAGTATAGTGCAATAAAATGTCATAGATATACTATCGCCGGTTGATTTTCACTTGA